TACGTATCGTACTAAATTTTTTTTTTCACACTTAAACTTTATATTTATTTTCACAATTAATAAAAAGTTATAATAATAACTAATAATTGTTATTTTTCAATTATTCGATTATTTATTATTTTTTTATATAAGAAAAATGTATTTGATATTAAATTATGAACTATAAAATAGTTATAATTTGGTTTAAACTACCATTAATTGCTACAAAGTTTGAAACAATCAAAAACTTGAACTGCTTGAGAAACCCGTCTCTATAGACTTAGACTATATAGAAGTTTCTTATTATGCAATATTCAAGAACAATACGTTATTAATAGCATATAGACTAACATAAAGCACTTAATAGACTCAAATCCGATTTACATGCTTTTATTTTAAATTACTGATAGTTAAATATACGTAATATTGTAAATAATAATGTTACAATTTAAAAAAAAATCGTTTTTTCATGTTTCAAATTATGTTAAAATATCACCAATAAAAAAAATACTGTGATTAAATTAACCAAATATTTGATTGAATTAGCAAAATATTTAATTATGAATTGAACAAACATTTGGTTCAGTTAGACAAACATTTGGTTGAATTAATCAAATATTAACTTGGTTTAGCCAAATAGTTGATTGTGTTCGTCAAATTTTCGGTTAAATTAAAATTAATATTAATAATAATAACAAATAATAATTAATAATTTTTTTTCGGTTTATTAATCAAATATTTTGTTAGCCAAAAACGTTTGATTCCTTCAGTAAAATATTTGATTTAATTAATCAAATATGTATAGTTAAAATAGCTAATTATTTGATTACATTATAGTCATTAACTAAACATTTTGGTCATATTAATCAAATATTTAGTTGAATTAACCAAATAATTGAAATCGATTAGCTAAATGTTTGACTAAATCAACTAAACAAAACAATGAAAAATTTATTTCATTCAATTAAACTGATGAAATCAAACCAAAAATTTTCGTGCTTTTGATATGATTTACAGTCAAACATTGTTCACGGTATTAATAATTTATCAGGATATACAATCAATAAAATGTAATTATACATTATTAAAAAAAAAGTCAATATCAAAAAGAAACAATTATTGATTACTTATACCCGCTTTTTTTTCTTATTTGAACAATAACTTCAACGAAGTCATAAACAAGTCTTAAATAAAAGAAAAAATATAGTTATATAGAAACTATTCTACATCATTCGTGATGCTGGAGAAAAAACTTGAAATTTATTATGAGAAAAATTTTTTAAATTAAAAAGAAAAGGAGTTATATATATGAAGGAAATAAAACTATATTAAATGAATAATTATTATAACATCAAATACAATTATGTACAAGTGTACAAATATTTGCGTATAATAAATTTATATATGAATGTTATATAATTATTAGAATATAAATAATATAAAAATTGTAATAAAAGAAATTTAATTTATTTTTATATTGTTATCGACTAAACAAATAGATGTAAAAAGTTCAAGAATTTCTCGTTGACAGCGTTACTAGTTAAGATGATTGTAAATATAAATCCATTCACTTTTTTATATATATATATATATATATAATATATGTAACGTAAATAAATTGTATTAAGTACATTTTAATTTCAATACGATAAATCAAATGGATTATTAAATATATTTAAAATTTTATTCAAATTAAATTAAAACTCGATAATTTTTTTAAATAATAATTTTGATAGATAAACATTAAAGTTTTTTTTATCCGCCGAAAAAAATTATTCTCAATTTGAGAATATATCCTTATCACACCTGTTTCAAAAATACTTAAATGTAATATATTATTCTCAAACTCAGAATAAAAATAAATTAGAATAAAATAAAATACATTATATTCTAAAATTTAGATTATCGTTTTTTATTGTAAAGATTGATAAAATTTTTTTTTTAATTCGTTATTGTAGTAGAATGTTTCTTAAAATTTTCAAAGAAATTTTTTTCTTATTTTCAAATATAAATTTTGTACTTTTTTTTTTTAAAGGAATTGCTATTTATTTATATACAATATAAGATAATCAACTTTACGAGAATATTATCCTCTAAAAAATCATTTTTATATTTATTTCGTACATTTTCTTTTTTGAATTTATATGATAATACAAGGATTGATTATTCGATTATCGTTGAATTTATTTGGTACATAAAATATAGACTGTATATATTGTATATAAGCAAAAAAAAAAAAAAAAAAAAAACAAATTCCACATGATAGAAAAACTGTCATATATAGTGATTGTTTCTGAAATACGTTGTAAATTTGATATTAAGAGAGACTGCTTTATATTCCAATTACTCCGAAACCCTTATATTATTTTACTCTATATATTGCTATAAAACTGGAAATATTCAAAAAAGAAATTTTTGCAAAATAAATGTAAAAGTAAAAAAAAAATCAAAAATATTTTAGAATATTTTTAGGATTTTAATTATTTATAATTTTTCTTGATATGCGATTAATATTTACAGAATATTATTCTCTTATTAAGATTATTATTCTCAATTTAAGAAAATGTTATAAAAAAAGGCTATTATATTTTGAAAATAAGTGCCAAAATAATATTCTCAAATTGAGAATATTTTGAAATACTTCCGGGGTGTAAAATAAATTTTTAATACCTATCTATTTTTACATTTTTTTTTTCTATTTTTTTCTTTTCTTTTTTCTTATATGGGCTTTATTTTTTCCGAGACTATATATTAATATTCTTTAACATTGTTAAGCTGTATATATAAAATGTAATCAATAATTTTTAAATTGATTTTTGAAACCACCGATTATCATCATTATGGTATATATATATATATATATATATATATATAAAGAAAGCTTTCGCTGACAAATATAGGTATATAATTAAAGTATATAATTGAAAGTATCAGGAAGTAATAAGATCAAGTTAAACTTTCAAAGAATTCAGAAATATGTTTGAAAGTGGAGATTTCATTGAAAAAAAAAATATATATATAGATGAATGCGCCCGTGACGAGGTCGCATCCATATAACGTTTCTAAAAGGAGAGCTAATTATATTGGTGTATAATCAGATTTCAAATATAAATTACGGAATACTTAACTAGACAAAAATCGAGAAATCGAATTATAAACAGAAAAATATACATTATAACGAGTATTATTATAACTATCATTAATATACAGAAAAACGCCTCTGTGTTTTAAATAATATAATACTCACAATATATTAATGTCATTATCAATATAATATTAATTTAAAAATGAAAATCACTTTCTTTTTTTATTTCCTGCCGAAAAAAATAACGTTTACGCAATTTTTTGACTAACAAAAAAAAAAAAAAAGAATTTTTTTCGCCATTGACATGAAAAAGTGTCTTTTTTGTGCCTGTTTTGGGCAGATAAAGTAGCACTTTTTAAGGCAGTTTGGGCCAACTGCCTAAAAAAGACTTTTTTAGGCAGCAAACTGCCGTATAAAGTCTTTTTTAGGCAGTAAACTGCCCTATAAAGTCTTTTTTAGGCAGTTGTTAATTTTTGCATAATTTTTTTTTTTGCTTTTATTTTATTTATCAATTTTTATTATTTTTTTTCTTTAAAATTGTTTCACTTTTTCATAACAATGGCGAAAAAAATAGCGTATGTGGCTCGCACGTAGTAATTTTTAGGTTCGGATGATTTCAATACTCGCTGTCTGTGCGACTTCGGTTCGACTCGGCTCGCTTTCGGCTCGACTCGACTCGCCTTCGGCTCGTCTTCATCTCACCTACAGCTCGCCTTCGTCTCACCTACGTCGCACTAACGACAGCTCGTACTGAAAATTACATCCTCACCTAAAAAGTACTACTTTACGTGCTTGCCACATAATATACTATTTAAAGAAATTTAAAAAATCTTTAATCTTTAAGTAAAATAAAAAAGTGAAGAAACTAAATAAAGAAATATGAAATTAATTTTTAAAAAACAAATATTTATTTGTATTAAAATAATATCAATTTATGTTTTTTTGTATACCTCGCATAAAAACAAGAAATTTAATATCATTTTAATGGCATCAAAAGAAAAACTGGTATTTGAATAAATTTCCAACATTAAGATTTTTTTTCATAACATTTTTCTCTTCCCATATTTTTTATTATTATTATTTTTTTTTTGTATACCAGTGAATAATAAATAATAATATTTTGATGAAAATTCTTGCAAAACGTCTAAAAATGCGAATAATGAAAAATAGAAAAATTTCCATAAGTCATTTTTTTCACGTATCAGAAAAAAAGGAAAATTAACTTGGCCTACGAATGAGATTTAATAAAGTAGATAAAATAAAAAAAAACTTCTTTTCGCGAATACATAAAACGACATTTCACCCGCGCTCGTACTTTCATTTTATAAGCTCTCCACAATGCTTTGCATTGAGAATTTCAATGGGAACTTATATTCTTGTCATGTAAAACAAAAAGATGATTATCAAAGGCATTTAATAGTCACTGAATTAATTTTACACTTGAATATATCACTATCATTACGAGACTTAATTATTTCTAAAAGTTTCTTCATTAACCATAATAATAAATAATTTCATTTAATTTTATTAAATAATCTTTATAAAAAAATTATTTTAATAATTTAATTACTAATTAAATTATTGTAATTATTCAACTAATGTCTAATAATAATTTTAATTATTAATAAATAATTACAATAATTCCTAATTATTAATTAAAGTATTGAAAATATTAATGAAAAATTTCAATTATATTAAATAATAATAAGGAGAGAATTGTATTTTTACCAAAAGAGTTTAGGATAACCTAATTATTTTGCTTGGTGATGTAATTAAGTTTATTAAGGAAAAGCAATATATTAATTGCCAAAGATAATTTCTTTTTATATAGTAAATTAAGAAAAATTAAAAAAAAAAAAAATTTCGATTAGATCACTAAAAGCCACGTGATTTAAAATTTTCAAGAGTGGGAATCGGTATATAGTGAGAGGAAATAGTCTTTAGCGACAGTCAGTGAGTTCAGTGAGAGTGCTGAGAGGTTTCAACTGATCTGCGAAAGTTTATACCATGAAGTTTCATGTACACACGTTTAACCATCGATTAATGTGTCTTTTTTTTTTAATTCGTGAGTGAAGTGTCAAAAAAAAAAATAAATAAATAAATAAAAAATTGAGGATTTAACAACAAAATATCACTGGAGAAAATTAATTTACCGCTGTCGTCATATTTTTTTTTAAAAAACATTTTTTCCACCTTCATTACACGGAAATGGAGAGAAAATTCAAGGCAAAATTTATCATTTTTCCAATATACTTTTTTTTTATTGACCAGTTAAAATCAAAAATTTATTATAGTCAATAAATAAATTCTTTTTAAAAAAAACTTGTAATCAAAAAATTATAAATTTTCAAAAACTAATTTATAAACTAAATTTAACAAACTAGGAAATTAATTAATTGAAAAAAATTCTAAAATATGAAGTTTGCAACAACCTGTTTGCAACAACTTTCGTTATGAAAATCAAGTGGAGAAATTGTAGAAAGAATTTTTTTTACATTTTTTTTGTTATTTATCCAAAAGATCAAAGTCGATTAACTGACATGTTTAAATGAGAATATATTCCATCAAGAATCTGTGACTTTCGACCGCAAATCAATTCCGCTCAATTTATTCCAAGAATGAATTAAATTTTTTTTTTTTTATATATATATATATATTTATTTATATAAACGATTCAAGAGCAAAATGCGTCAACATGATCGTCTTTTATATATGTGAAAGTTACATTCATCTGCCCGTAACCTTTTTTTTTTCTTCCTTATTGCAATATGACTCTGATTTTGTGTGTGCGAATTTCTCACACAAATTGCACAAAAGAAAAATTATTAATTTTAATTATATACCCGCGACACCGCAAATATTGTCTCTTTTAATGACAATGAGAAGAAAAAAATTAGTATTCATTGCTTCGTTAACAAACAAAATATTATCTTTTCCGTTATATACCTACATATATATATGTATAACCGGAAGTTTTTCGAACGTTGCATCATTTCTTTTATAATTTACATATATTGATGCGATTAGTCCACTTTCGTTCAAAAAAAAGAAAGTTCTTCTAAAATCGAAGATTTTTCTCTTTTTTAATTAAAGTTTACAAATTTTATTTAATTTAAATTTAATTCAACAAAAATCGGTAAACAAGAAACAATTTTTAAATTAAAAAAAAAATTTTAATCGATATCATTTTTTTAATTATAAAATAAAAATTATTTGGTTCAAATAAATATATTTATTTTCAAGTAACCGATTATTTGAATCAAATAAATTTTTTTATTTATTCTTAATTTGAAAACCTTTTTTTAAAATCATATTAATTTAATTAACAAAATTCTAGTGAAAATTTTAATATTTTCTAACCGCGGCATAAACAAATAAAATTGTATGGACCAATAGAAATATTTATTTCATAATAGTTGAAAAATATTTACTTCAAACAACTAAACTATTCACTTTCGCTATTTTAAAGAAAAGTATTTATTTATTCACAGTATAAATATTTTTTTTTTAAGCCTGTTTTAGGAATATAAAATGTAATTTCACTTTCTAATATTACTGTATATATTGGCAATGTTAAATATTCGATTTTGAAATTTTGAGAAAATAAATGTATTGTAAAAATTTCTCTTTAATGCGCGCCTGAAGAAAGGATTTGGGTCACGTGTCAAACCCCGCGTGGTAATACAAGATCAAGGACGCTTTGAGCAATGACTTTCGTTTCTTGAGCTATGAACCTTTGTCTTATAATAATGAAAGTATATAAAATAATAAAGGAAATAGAATTTTATCGATGGAATTAATTAAATTAACATTTTTTTTTTTTTTACTAATCCACGCAATAAATTATTATTATAAATTGATGAAAAATTATTAAATTAAAAATATTTAGAGTAGAAAAAAAATAATAATTAAAAAATCATTTTTTTCAAATTTGTAATTCATTTAATAATTAAAAAAATTATTATCAATTAATTTAATTTTTCTTTTAGAAAATAAAAATGATAAATATTATATAATATTTTTTCAAGGGAGCTTTTTTCATCAATTTATTTTACGAGATTATTTTAATTTCTGATTTTTAATCTCGTTTCTCGTTTATTCGTGTGAATAAAAAAAATTTGTCTGTTACATGCTTTAATGTATTAAGCCATGTGCGTAGATCTTTTGTCATAAAATATTTAAAAAAAATATACGTATATGATTTTATTTTGTGTTTAACTTTCACCAGTTTTGCTCCACTTGTTTTAAAATGCACTTTAAGTGCTTATAACGTCAAAGAAATTATATATATATATATATACCCCCTATATAATGTTTATTTCCGTCATTATAATATATAATAATTATCAAATTATTAAATGACCCTATAACATGATTACAAAGTTTGTAAAAATAATTTAAAACAATAAAAGTTAATAACATGATCATAAAAAAACAAAGAAAAATTAAAATAATATAATTTTAATTAGAAAATTGGGGGAAAAAAATATTCTGCAATTAAAAATAATGGGAATATATTAATTAATGTAATAATAATTTATTCTTAAATTATTTCTCTTATTAAAAACATAGATATATATTCTTATTTTAAGAGTATTATATAATACTAAATTTAAGAATAAATAAATTATTAATTAATAATATTTTTTTTCAAAAACTTATTGTAATTGAGAAAACTTTTTTCTAGAAGTAAAAAATTAATATTATATAATGTTGCAGTTTGCCCTATTGTTGACATTAACATGTACAAGTGTAAGATCATTGGATGAGAAAATTTTAAAGGAAGAATTATTAGAATCGGCAGCAGCACAATTGGAAAGACTTGCACCATTTCGTCAAGCTAAACAATTCACAACTAATGATTTAATCGATAATTCGAGAAATCATTTTTTTTATCATTCCAATAAAACAAGAAATCGTGAAAAAGAAAAAGAAATGATAAATGAAAAAAATGAAAAATTAGATGAATTTCAATTTCCTCTTCAACTTTTAAAAATACTTGGTGGTGACATTAATAATAATAATAAAAATAATAACAATAATAGTCCAATAAAAGAACCAATGGGTTTTCAATTTGAAAGAAGAGGCGACAGCAATACATTTGATGCAAATCCAAATTCCCTACAGGATGCAAATTTCGATTTATTTTTACAAGAAAGAATCAAACGTTCCGGATCCAATTCGGGAAGTTTCATTTCCGGCATTGCTTCCAAAGTTATTGGCGGCATTGCCGGTGCATCATCAGGTCTCTCTAAAGGTTCATCAAGTTCATCTGATTCATCTCATTCATATGGTAACACTGCCTATGGACCACCAGTTTATTCAGTAAGTATCACAAAAGTCAAATTAAAAAAAGAAAAATATTAAAATTTTAAAAAACAATAAAATGTAATTTTATTTCAAAATGAAATTTTAAAAAATTGACCTTTTAGCAAAAATAACTAGAAGAATATTTTTTCTTTTTTTTTTTTTTTTAATTTAACGCATGAAAGAATAACAATATACAAAGCTTGATATTGCCATTTGCAGATCATGCTCTACATTCTAGTATGTATGTAGAAACATTTTGCTATTATGGAGGGAAATCCGGGCAAGTTTTTTTTTTAACTTGCTCACCTTGCAAGCAGATTCCCTCTATATATACAAATAGGTAACTGCAAACGTCAATTACAGGTTTAAGTCGTAATGAAAAAAAAAAAAAAAAAACTACATCAGTTTAAAAAAGGAAAGGCTTTCTTGTAATTCTTATAAAAATTGCCTGTTACATTACAAACTCATTAAAAAAAAAATGTTATCTAATTTTTTTTCCAGAAAAAAAAAATGCTCTACGAAATCTATTATAGAACAATTTTTACATATCTAATTCAAAAAAATGAATTAAATTATTCTTAATTTTTATCAAAAATTTATTTTCTTTTTTCCTAAAAAGTACGAGCAACAATCGTTCAATGCCTGGGACTTTAAGAAAGCAATTTTGAATACTGTTTTTCAAGCAATCAAAGCCATTAGTGGAGGTGTTCTCGCACTAAAAGGGCAATTAATTAAAGGAGGTGGATTTCTTATTTCAACAAAGGGACGTCTTATCAGTAGTACAGGGGAAGCTATTTCAAATTTAGGACGTAATATTGCAAGCAGTACTTATGTGGTTGCACCAAAACCAGTTTACACTCAAACTGGATACGCCTATAATCCACCCTCAAGTCAAAGTTACAGTAAGTCACATTTTTTATTACATTATTATTATTATTAATATTTTTTATCATTATTTTCTTATTATTATTATTTTTATATTTTATTTTTATTATTATATTTATTATTTTTTTTCACCTCATTTGATTTATTATATTTAATTTTTTTTTTTTTTTATAAATGGAATTTTCAATAACTGCATATATATATTTAAAATAAAATATAATTCATTTTCAATATATTGGAATTTTTAATAAATGAATGAAATATTAAACTTTAGGGGGGAAAATATCATAATCGAATTTTTATATACTTATATGGTATTTTTTTTAACTAGGTCACACTGATTCTTTCGAGGGACCACCCCCAAGTTCCCACGATTATTCATCTGCTGCATTTGAAGACAGCTATCATCCTCAAAACACCTTTGGAGCAGCATCCGATGGTATGCATTTTTTATTTTTATAAAAATTTCATTAGTTCAATAAAATAATAATAGTAATAATAATAATAATAATAATAATAATAATAATAATAATATCAATAAAACAATAATAACATTAATATAATAATTTGTAGTTTTGTAGTTGTAGGTTTTTCGTATTTTATAAAATTAAAATTTTTCAGTTATAATTTATATAATTTTTAAATTTGGATTTCTAACGCATTAAATGGGAATTTTTCACTGTTAAAAATGTATTGCTGTACCATTTTTTACTTTATTTATTATTTATTTATTATTTATTTATTTATTTATTTAAATGAGTAATTTTCTTTTAAATCGTAAAAAATTATTGAAAGATTTAGCGTGAAAATATATACAATTTATGTTAACATAGAACATATTATATGAAGAATAAAATTAAGGGATAAAAATTAGGTTCGTGAAAATATTTTCATGTCTCATATTCACACCCAACCCTCTTCTGTATATATATATAAAAAAAGTGGAGATGATAAATATGATAGGTCATAAAAGAAATGTATATGCCAGTCCCTCAATTTGCTCCCACATTAATTTACCGATGACGTGAACTAACTTTTTTTTTCAATATATATACTTTATTCTTATTCGACTTTTATTTTTAATGCATATTATACGCTTTTATTGATCTCAAAAAATATTTATAAATTATAATAATTTTTTTAAACATTTATAGATAATTGTTGATTTATTTATTAATTTATTTATTATTCAAAGAAAATAAACGTGACAAAATTTCTATAAAAAAAAGTAAGAGAAATTTAATAGATATTCCGTTATTTATTTTTTAAAAAAAAAGATTTTATTATTATTTGATTTTTATTATTATTGAAAGTAATTATTATGAAATATAAATGAACAGCAATTAAAAAGTATGGAGTTATGTTTTGTATTTTTTTTTATCATTTTTAAAGTAATTTAATTTTTTTTTATTTTTTATATTGGCTTCATTTTTTCATTGTTGAAAAATATAATATATTGAATAACGCGATATATTTCTAACAGAGAAATGGAAAAAAGTTTGTTTTTTTTTTTTTAATTATTCCAAATTCATTAGGAAAGAAATTTTAATTTTGATTTCGTCATTTTTATAAATTTAGCGTATCAATATATATATATATAGTATCGAATGGAAATCCTCACTAAACTTTCTATTTAGTTTACTACCTTTCTTCCAAGAGGTTGTTGCTTTCAAACAACCGGATATGATAAATTAGATACTGAAAAAATTTTTTCTCTTTCTTTTTCAAAAAAAAAAAGCTAATATTTTTTACATTAATTAATTATTATATTTGCGACAATATTAACAATTATTAATTTCAATATATATATAATTGAAAATAATTTTATAATGGTGTTTGTATTTATCGAATATTTTTATTTTGTATATATAACATATTTGACAAAACTAACTTTATTCTATAATATTTCAGGACATGTACTGTAGAAACTTAAAATTTACCATACATGTATGTTGGGTATGGTAAAAATTACTCAAACGAAACATTAATTTATGATTAATAGAATCGTTACTTTTTCCAAAAGAGTAATTTAAAAAAAAATTAATTTAAAAATAAATTATTCTATTTATATAATTAAATTTCAAAATTCAATTTCTAGTACTATTTTTAAAAATTTTCTAAAATATTGATAAAAAAATATTTTTTCCAATAAATTATATATTAAAAGTTTTTTTTATCAATTTAAAATTAAGAAGTTTTTAAATAATTATTATTTTTGAACCGATTTTAAAAGAGTAAAGCTTATCCAACATTACATGTCACATTTAACATTAACAAAAGGAAAAAAAAAGAAAAAATACTATACATATACTAACAAAATACAGTTGACAGGACCTGACAGACGTTACATTTACAGACGATGTACAAGCTGGCCTGGTGATAATGACTCCAAGTCAATCTAATCAACTTCATCATGATGATTTTTCAACTGAATTGGATCCCCGTCATCCAAATATTCAACAAGCACTCGAGGAGAGTTTTGGAGGTTCACTAAAAGGCTCATCAACATCTGATATCATTGTGAACAACAACAACAACAACAATCTCCATTCAACTGATGATCAATTTTCACTTCAAGAATTACAACAATTTCAATTGCCAACAACAAAACCACATTTACCATTTGTCACATCGTTGAAGCAACATAATGAATTATTACCTGACAATAATAAACATTCATTGGAATATGATTTGAAAAATCAAAATTCCAATTATAATGTGGAAATTCCAAAAATTTCACCATTACCAATTTCACCAACAAATCCTAGCAATAGTTTACACATTGATTATCCACCTCACAATAATCATAATTCAAATCAAAAGCCAATAATTAATTTTGCAAATAAATTTCAAGAAATTGATTTTTCAAAATTTAATCAATTAATTATGAAAAATCAAGGATTTTCTTTGGATAATTATCCACAATTGATTAATGATATTAAAGCAGAGCCACTTGTTTCTGGAATACCAATTACATTAAATCATCAAGAATCATTGAAAATACCAATTCTTAATAATGAACTACCAAAGGAACATCGTTTCTATGAATATCAAGATATTGGAAATGGACCATTTCCATTGGAAATGTTTGAAACTCTCGATACGAAGAAGCAAAATGAAATATTTGGAGGAAAATTAATTTCACAGAGCCTTCAAGTTCAACCGGCTATTGGATATACTCTACAGAACACTGGACTACATAGGATATAGAATTTGAGACTGAGATTTTGAGACTAAGGTATAACTTACGATATAGACCTTTGACGTTGACATAATATCGAAAAAGATGATATTCTAAAATTAAGAATATTTTTTAACTTTTATTTCTGAGAATATACATCCAAATGAAGTTTTATTCTCCAAAATATATATTCTTTGAATAAAAAAAAAAAAACAGTATTAAATATTCTTATTTTAAGAATATTTTCTTTTCTTTAATTTATTTATTTTAAGAGTATTATTCTACTTTAAAAATATTATTCTTATTTTAAGAATATTATCTACTCTCTAAATCTAAATTAGTAAAAATGTTTACTAATTTGAATTAGTGGCTCACTTTTTGCTTCTGAATTAGTAAAATTTTACTAATTATAAGTAACATTTAACTAATTCTAAAGCAAAAAGTGAGTCACTAATTTAAATTAGTAAAGATTTTTTCTAATTCAGATTTAGAGAGTAAGAATATTTCTATTTTTTAATAGAAGAATTAAATACCTAATTAGATAATTACACGCAAAAAAATTTTCACCTAGAACAGCGATATGTTCCACTAAAACAGCGAAAGTTTTCGCTATTCTAGAGAAATATATCTTTGTTCCAGAGAAACTTATCGTTGTTTCAGGTGAAGATTTTTTTGCGTGTATAATTTAAATTTGGAATATTGTTTTCGCAGTGTATCTTTTGCTATAAATTATTAAAAAATTAACTAAAAATTTTGTAAAAAAAAAAATTGTTTTACTAGTTACCTATATGAAAATAATTTATTAGTCTTAAGTAATTCATAGCAAGAGTTAGTTAATTAATAAATCTACTAATTAACTCACTCTCTAAATATGAATTAGTAAAAATGTTTACTAATTTGAATTAGTGACTCACTTTTTTCTTCTGAATTAGTAAAATTTTACTAACAATTAGTAAACTAATTTACTAATTAGTCTAACTAATTTAGAAGCAAAAAGTGAGTCACTAATTCAAATTAGTAAACATTTTCACTAACTCAGATTTAGAGAGCACTTTTTGCTATTAAAAATAAAAAAATATTTAAATAAAAATAGTTTTGCTAATTAAGTTTGACTAATAAATTAATCAAAAAAAATTTGTTCTGTTAATTTATTAATTAAACTTTTGTAATTTATAGCAAATAGTTAGTTAATTAGCAAATCTATTAACTAACTTTTTTTTGCTATGAATTACTTAATTTACTAAAAAAAAATTTTACTAATTGACTGGATTAGTTAAAATGATTTTTATTATTATTACTATTATTATTGCATAAACGATTGCTTTTTTTCTATTATCTTCTTAAACGATATATATATATTTATAAAAAAAAAACTTTTACTAAATTCAATAAAAAAAATTTTTTTCGTGAAAAAAAAATGCATTTAATAACAAAGAAACAGTCTTTACGCCCGTGACACCTGTTGTAGAACATTTAACTTTCGTTTTTCATTGCCAACCATCTAAATATTTAAAAACAGTAATCAAGCGCAGTTCACTGAATTTGTCGGTTAAATTCTTATTAAAAACACTTTGGGTCCATCGCAGGAGGCGAAAGTGAGAAATTTTTCTTTATGAAAAAAAAAACTAAACATCTTCTGCGCGTAATAAAAAGAGAGTTTCGTAATCAAATTATTATTTTTTTTTTTTTTAATGAAAATTATACCATAGTTTCTGTAATAATAAATTAATTTACATATATTATTTCACTCGACTGCCACCTGATAAAGCATATGTATAAGACGTCATTTTTAAAGGATTATACTTTCACGAAAGCTCGACAACAAATTTTTTTTTTTTTTTATTTTCATTAAGCGCGTACATAAATTAATAACAAGACAGTTTTCTAATTGCTTGCAATTAATTTAATCTACATTTACTGCGGAGAAAGTATTTCGTATAAACATTTTAATCAATTAAAAAAAATTCAAAATTTTATCATTTTTATTACCTAAAATGTTAAAATTTTAAGCGTAAAAAAATTTAAAAAAAAAATTTTATAGAATAATTTTAAAAAGTAATAAACAATAATAAAAAAAAATTATAAATCAAAATATATAATTAAAAATTATTATATTATAATTATTTCTAATAAAATTTCTCTAATTTTCAGTGGTCTATGCTTACGCTTTTTATCCAACCCAACCGAAGTTTTGGATAGGAAAGAAATAATATTTATTCCATCACTATATGAGGATCAACGAAAGAAAAAATGTTTTCAGTCTTTTGCAGAAATAATATTATATATATTTTTCTGTAACAATTTCTGTTTTACGAAAAAAAAAACAAAACAAAAACTCTTAGTTAATTATGTGTGCACTAAGTGTTGCGTATTTTTAAAAGTATTTTATTAAATTTAAAAATATGTGTTTCAACATTGTTAATAAAGCATTTTTCAAATTTTTCAAATGTAATTAAAAACGAAAAATTCAAGTATACGCTACTTGAAATAAATTAAAAAGTTAAACTCATTAAAATTAAAACAGTTTCACAGAAAATTAAAAGGCATTAAAATAAGCTGCAACGCTTATTATTTTAATTCAATTTTGCTTATTTTAATACCAAAATGGATTAAAATAAGCAAAATTGGATTAAAATAATAAGCGTTGCAGCTTATTTTAATGCCTTTTAATTTTCTGTGTTCATATAATATTTAAACCTTATATAATGCTTTTATTACCGACACACGTTTTATTTTACTTGTAAATATAATTTTCTTGATTTTGTAAAAATTTATTTTTTAGATATTTGTTTCTTCTTTTTTTATAAATAAAAAAAAAATATTTCAATCAAGAAACATTTATAAGTAAAAACAATATTATATTGTGACGGATAAAACTGCGCCTCAAATGTTTAGTTAAACTAGAATAATAATAATAATTTATAAATGTGAAAATACATTAGAATAGTATTATTATTTTCTTTATAAATATGTTATTTTTAATTAATTATATCATTTCGTTACGTTATAATTATTGTTATTGCTATATATTATATTTCCTAAAATTTCACCAGATATTTATTATTAATATTATTATTTAATTAAGAGTTTTGAGTTACTGTACAAAGATTTAATATGATGTTAAATTAATTTACGCGTTGATTACGAATTTTAATTAGTAATATTTCGTCGATAATTAACTTTATGTTTTATAATCTTTTTTTTATTGTATACATGTAATTATTATTAATTCAAAGTGATAAAATTTTGTAAAAAAAAAATGTATAAAACATTGTTATATTTGTTAGATAAATAATTTTATAAATTGACGATTAATTATTTTCACCTTCAATTTTATGAATGTTCTCTATAATATGTATATTAATTATTTATAATTGTATAAATAATAATATAAAAACTATAAATAAATTTTTTTCTAATTTATAGAATTATATAAAAATTATTTAAGAATATATTTTGGCTTCTAATTAAAAATAAAATTATAAATTATTCTCCAAATAGTTAGAGTATATTTTTTTAAATTAAAAAAATAATTAATTAATATATTATAATTTATTAATAAATTTAATTGAATAAATGTTATTTCTGTAAGTATCAGAAGCTAAGAGAATTGAGAATAAAATTTTTCCACTTTTTAAAAAATAAGTAATAATAATAATTCATTATTATAATGAAATTAAAGAATTAGAAAATCTATAAATTATATGTGTACTATTAAATCATTATTGGGATCAATGATCCTTCTTGGAGCAAATGAAATCAATTACAGAGATTAAGCGGAAAGTTTCACAAAAGTCAAGTCGGTCAACCGGACTTTAAAGGTACATTGCTTCAATATCAAGGCTTTCATATAAAAGTTGAAACTCTGGGGTATTCTTTAGTATATATATCCATTCACCTGATACACATTGATGATTAAAGTGCTTGTTCATTATTAAATCTTTCAAAGTACAATGATTCTATTTTTCATGTCATTTGAAAAAAAAAAAAAATGTCCCGTCATTTTTATCCGTGAGATTATAATACATATATATATATATATTTATACGTCATTTCTTCATCATTTATTATTATAACAAACGTTAGTTTTTTTTCGTCTCAAAAAAATTAAATTTGTTCAAAAATATATAGCACAGAATATTCCCAAAGAAAAATTGTGGAATATTTCTTAGGAATATTCCACAATAATTCTTGTGAAATATTTCAAGAAGATTTATTTTTTACTATTAATATGTTTAATATAAAGCAAAATTAATTTAATAAATTAATTTAGAAAAAAAATTCTATTTTATTTAGAGGTTCAAAAAAAAAATTTTTTTTTCTATATCTAAAAAGTTTAGAGATAAGTGAGATGTAGCTCTTTAAGGGATATTAAATAAGCCGTTCCATTTAATTGTGGTTTCACTTAATTAAGTTTGATTGTACTAGATTTTTTTTATTTATATAAAAACACAAAATACCAAAACATGAAAAAAATAAATAATAATTTTTTTTTTTCTGTCAATTTCAAGTTTTTTCTAAAGAATACCGCGAAATAATTCTCTTTTAAGAATTAAGATTCATTTTTCGGATTAAAATCACTTTTCAGCGAAAAAGAAAAACTTTATATATTTAAAAATTATTATTTGCAACTAAAACAATAATTTGTCTAGAAGAATGACAAGTGTAAAAAAAAAAGTTATAAAAGAAAGGAAAAATAATGAATGAATGAAAAAATTAAGAAAAAAAAAAAATATATAATGAGATGCAAGGAAAGTTTAATAAAGTGTTAGACATTGTTATAGTTGTAATTATAGTACAAAAGAGAGCACCTGCAAATGAATTCAATATAAAAGACAGCGAAGAAAGTATAATGTGAATAATAAATGATTAAACTACTTCCGTGACTTTGAAGGAGGTATTAAACGATTATTTTGTCATTAGACACGAGGACATTTTCATTTTGGAGACACCAATTAAAAAAAGGAAAAAAAAATTATTATTATTATTATTATAATAATTCGCAAAGCCATTACTTCCTTACGCACTTAAGATGCTTTATATATATATAAAACAGAGATGGTGAATAAAAACCTTTCTCTGGCTATATATATATATATTTCGGAACCATTGAATAGGTAAATGGTGTATACATATATATACAAGGTAGGAGGCATTGCTTCGGACTTGAAAGAAACATACCAACATTCCCCAGTCGAGAGTATAAATGAAGGACAATGACCTAATTGCGTGCAGAACAGTCAGTGCTTCCTTACCGGTCAATCTTCATAGGCTATAGATTCAAGTAACGCGTTTTTGCCCGCCTTCCGGTTTTTTGTCACAGTGTGCGATACAAAAAAAAAAAAAAAAATAATCCGCGGATAACGAATTCAAAATCATTTATCATTATTATCACGGAAACATGAAGGTATGCTATTTAATTTTTTTTTTAAATTTCTCTTAAAAATAAAAATAAAAAAAATTATACGCAATCACTGAAAAAACGATATTCTTAAAATAAGAATATTTCTATAATATTTTATAATGTTCTTTATAAGAACAAAAAATTATATGTATTTTTAAATTTATAATACAAAAAGTACGAAAAAGATTTTTTTTTAACTTGACTACAGTGAACAAATATCGTTTATTTTAGTGCAAAACTAAAAAAAAAAAAAAAAAAAAAAGTAAGACCAAAACAAACGTATATTTGTTTTATTAGAAAAATATTTCACTTTTCTGAATTTGTTTGTTTTACAAATAAAAACTAGGAATAAAAATGTGTGTTTCTGTTATAAAAGGAAAAAAAAATGAAATAATTATTGCATTATATTATTAAATAAAAATATATATTTATTGAAAAAAAAAATTCCTCATATTTGTGGGATTCAATTAATTAAAATTTCCACTTCGTAAATTACTTTGACATCTTATCTCATGAATTTCAAATTTATTAAATCATTGAATTCGATCCTTTTTCAAATGCAAGGATTTCTTTTTCAATAAACTTGGCACAGTGAGAGTTTTCTTCTCGACTGATAAAAAGAAAACTTATTTAAAAGCATCGGGATTCCTGTCTATGTTAATTCTCAGAATCAGTAGAAATGCCTCTTTATAGTCAGACAATTCATTGCAATTCTTTATATATCGTGGAAAAATTGAATAAATTTCAAAATTTATATATGTTTATTAAAAAAAAAATTATATTTAAATAAATTATTTAAAATTTATAATAAAATATAATGTTACTAATATTAGAAATTAATTAAATTTTACCAACGAATTAGTGAAATAATTTTTTTTTTTTTGAAAAATAAATAATTAATAACACTGCTTGATTAGTAAAATTTAACTAATTGTAAAACGAATTTAATACCGACTTTAGGTACTAAATTGTTATTTGGTTCTATTTTGATACCTAAAATCGGTACTGTTTTAACACCTTCATTTGCAGTCTAAAAATTGTTTAAAATTTTTTTTTAATTCAAATTTACATTATAATTTTTTGTTTATAAATTAATAAATACATTATTTTTACAGTATATATAATATTCTTAAAATAAGATTATTTCTCAATACTACCATTATTATTAAAATAAAGAAATATTCCTATTATTTTTAGAATAAAATAAAAAAAAAAAAATTTTAAAGCAATATTATTTTAAAAATATTATACTCTGATTTGAAATAAAATCAATTATATTTTTAGAATATCATTCTTTCAGTGAATAAAAAATTTTGTAATTTATTTCTAAAAAAAAAGTTATAGTTTAATATTTTTTCTACTATTTTTTATAAAATAGTTTTGTTTTAATTATTTTTTTTTTTTTAATAGCTCCAGTTTCTTTTGAAGTAGATTTTTATTCATATTGCCTGATTAATATATGCAAGTGGTTCGCTTTCAATTTTCAATGTAAGAAAGTTCTTAGATATTATAATTTAACCGAGAAGAAAAAAAAAAGAACACAACTTATTTAATTGGTTTCTGATTGCAATTTAAAGACCTTATTGAATGGACGATATATATATAGAAAGCAGTTGATGCATGTAATATACATGTTTGCACTTCTAATTCATTATAAATCTACAAACGGATACTGCTTTCGTATTCATGAATAATCATTATACCGATCACTTTGTATATAAAGAATATACGATTTTCGCTTATAGTGTGTATATATATATATAATTCTACATGAGCAGTTTTGATGAGAATCCTGTTTTCTTTTCTCGAAAATCTAGGTGAACTGGTCCGCGATATATACACACATCGTCTTTGACTCTTTTGCAAAACTTATATATACATACTTTCCTCATATATTTCAAATTACATTAGGCTCTTATTTTTCATTCCTGTCTTTTCAAATATATATTCCTTCAAAAAAAAAAAAAAAAGAAAAGTTTTTTTTTCTTTTCTAACATTATAGTTTCTAAAGAATATTCTATATATTTTTTTTTAATCTTACTTTTCAATGGAAATTTCTATTTTGCATATCACAATATTTAATAAAGGTTTTATTTTTTATTAGATTTTACTTTTTACTTATAGCGTAGAAAAATGATAGCAAAATCTTGTTTTATAAGTCTCAAAATTATTTGAAAGTAAAGTTTAATGAAAATTTTAAAAAAGAAAAAATCAAATTTTTATATAATATAAAAAGTGAAAAAAAAATTTTAAAAACGAATACGTGTAATGACATTGTTTTATAAATTACCATATATGAATCAAGGAAATAGAAATTGTCGTACAATTATAATATAATTTCAAACGTGGGTAATAAATCACAATGGTCCCTTAAAGTCAAACATTCTGCGAAGCGTAATTTAACAAAAAAAGATTTATTCATGACTGGGTTGGAAATCGAGAATAATAAACCCAGAAAAGTAAATTTCTAAGCAAAAAACAAGTTCACTCGTTATATATGTATATTTCAAAAAGGGGGGTAACTCTCTTATTCTAATAGTGACTTTTTTTTATCTATACATCATACACTCAGAAAAAAGATATGTTTGAACCAAATGTACCAATTTTTTGGTTAGTTCAAACAAAATTTGTTTAATTCAAATAAATATTTATTTGATCTAAATAACTGTTTGGTTTATTTTAATAAATTTTTTGAACAAAGAAAAAATTTGGTAAAAACTTTGGTATATGCAACCAAATGTTCGGTTAACTGTATTTATTTTGTTGATTTAACCAAAATTTGGTTGCTTCAAACGAATTTTTTTTTGAGTGTAGTTTTGACAAATCGAACTTTCATATTTTGACAATTCCGCAATTTTATTTCTATTTATAATTTTTTTCAAAGTTTTGTATTCCTTTTTTATTAATATTTCAAAAATTAATTCGTTTTATATTAGAAGAAAAAAAAATTTGTTTTGATAAAAGTTATTCTAACTGTATAAAAATAGAGCGTGTTGAATGGTGAGTAATTAATAAAAACCGTTCATTTAGAAAGGATAGGTAAATATAGAAATATTAGTGTTAAAAAGTGATTTATAAAGTAGCTAACAAAAGGCGTGTTTGATGCGTTAATTTCGATCTTACACGTCCTCTAAAGATCGGTCAAGGTTTTCTAATCCGTTTTGAACGAGAGGTAATTTCTTGGGACTTCCTTCTTCTCGCCACATAATCTCTATTACTGTATCTTTAACAATTTATATACACTATACAACTATTGGCGGGTTATCCTCGCTTTTCCCCGTGTGTCGATGTGGCACAATGTTCCACTTTATATCCACGACTGAAACATGCTTCTTTGCAAGACATATGTATAACTATACAGACTGATACTTGACCAGTTTGTTTGGCATTACCACGTGGTTAACTTGTAACACATTACAATGCTATATGAAACCACAAAGATAAACGAACTCGAAAAAAAATGTATATTTCTCCATACGTGAGAATATGCAGTACCGTAAAGTCACCCACACAAAATTTTACTAAAAAACTATTATTCTTTTTTCTTTTCTATTTGTTTCCCTCAAAGAAAGTTTTTTTTTTTGACTTTATTTAATTTTCACACATGGTATTTTATTAACTTTCATTTTCACACGCGCATTCAAATAAATCCATTTAACACTAATTAAATAGACTATAATGAAGTTACTATTTTATTTTCACTTTTTTTTTTTATTTTATATTTGATTATGCAAAATTCATTCATTGACATAATAAAAGAAAAAAAAATTGTGATAATTTATCAAATCAGAGAGAAACTTGTATATATTTAATAAAAATTTGTCATTAAATTTCTAGAAAATGTTAAATTAGCCATAACGAAAAATACATAAGAATATTTTGACCATTGTTTCTTTCATTTGGTAAAATTAGGTTTTATATAATCCACAAATGTCTTTCTATCAATCAAGATGAATCTCTTTAGAATGTGAAACAATACGTAATTTTTTTTTTTCTTTATAAAACAGGAAATACTTAAATTTTTCAAATATGATTTATTTAATCAATTATTTTATTTTCTATTTAATTGAATTTTGTAGAAAAGTCAAAATATTATTTTTTCAGAATTTTTTAATTAGCAATATTACAGAATTCGTATTTAATTAAATTTTTTTATTTCTTTGTTTTTTATTTATTTGAATTTTTATTTAGTAGATTTTTCTTTTAATTAAATTTTTTATTTAGCCAAATTGTCATATATTTATTATTTTAATTTAATTCCCCCCTTATTTGTACAATACGATTTTAATTTTCAAAAAATTTTTATATAGATAAATTAATTTATTGAAAACGTTATATATATCTCGATTGAAGTTATAACTTCATTTTTCTTTAAAAAAAAAAAAATTTATATCGTCCTATAAAAAGTGCCACAGCAAATGATAATTGATTTTCAAATGACAAAGATACCAATTTTGAAAATCAAATTCTTGTAGCTTATTGATTAGATATTGCATCACAGACAGCGAACTTTTAATTCATTTACATTTTGTTCGAGAAATTATTGCCCAAGGGGTTTTGCAATAATTGGAAGTTTTTTTTTTTTTTTTTGTCTCTATATCACTTTGACTAATGAAAAAGACATTCTTTTTTGAACTTTATGTATTTTTTGGGAAATCCACTTTCGTGTCATAAACAAACATTGTGTGCGAATTATTTAATGAATTGTATTACTAACTCTATTTAAAGTACGATTAATGAAAAAAAAATTTTTTTGAATATTTCATTGTTAATTTCTGGAAATTATAATAATCTAAAGTCATTCAACATAAAAAGACAATCAATTTGCTTTCACAATAAGATTTCTGACTTTTCCACGTCACCATGAAACGTCTAATTTGACAGTCATGGATAATAAATATGCGTTTTGATCAACGGAATTTTAATTTCGTTCCACTTTCTATGAAATGATTGGTATAGGTATATATATATAATGAAAACGCAACATAATGCGTATATCAATTTAAAGCTAAAATTAAATATATTGTGAGCGGGTGAGAGATTCTTAATTTAAAGTGCGTAAGATTGACCTAAATTGTATATTCATTCATCATAATTTTCTCTAGATTACTCTCTCCAATCATTTTTGGCATATTATAACTTGAAAACTTTTTTAATTAAATTCTTTTCTTTTTAATTTCAGGTAATTAGATGGATTGGCTGTATAGTAGCATTGTGCATTTGCCTTTCAGAAGCGAGATATAAAATTCGAAGACCACTACCGGCACCACCACCACAAATTTATAAAAAATCATGGCCAATTGGCTCAAGAATTTCCATGGGAAATACCATTCATATAAATTCAAATTTCCCACCAAAAAGATCACCACCACCACCACCTCCTTATAAAACAAATAATTATAGGTAAGTGCGTAATAATTAACTAAAAAAATTTCCAGAAAAAAAAAAATTTTCTTTTTCTTCCTATCGCTAGAATCAGAAGGCCTCCTGTTTTTAATGTTGTACCAAACGGATGGAAGTCTCATCAGATTCCAGTTATTTTAAATAATCATGCAGTTTTACCACAACGACAATCAATGAAAGAATTTCATTCATTGAATAAAGCACCTGAATACAGTCCCGAATATAGGCCAGAAAATGTTATAATTCCATCCGCCCATCGTGGAGCTATTGATGATGATAAAGGACCAATTCACACAATTCCCGCGCCGAATTTAAGTCTCGCGGATAAACCCTACAATTTAATTAAAGCAAAGGCTGCTGAAAAAATTCACGATGACAATCAACAACGACATCACTATGAAACCAAATACAATATCAATTTTCCAGGTAAAAATTTATTATAAATCCATTTTTTTTGGGAAATTAAAAAAAAATTCAATTATTTAGGTACAAGTGTAACTCCTCAAAGACAAGTGACAAGTGCAACACCAACACAACATCAATATGAAGTAACAGAAGCAAATGATATCAATATAAAAGACTATCATACAATATCACCAAATTATTTTACACCTGAATTTGAATCAACAAGAATTTCCTCTGCTCACAATCCTGAAGTTCAAGCAAATGAAATTTATTTAAGTCATACACCAATTTCAAATAGTGTCAATCAAATTGGAACAAATAATAATAATAATAATCCCTTTGGACAAGGAAATATTCCAATGCAAACAAATTTACATAGTTCACTTGCAGTTGGTTTCCCAGGTACGGCAAGTCAAGCAACATCAATTGGTGGTGGCCATCAACAATTGCCTGATCTTCATGTTGGTCATCCAGCACCAATTGGTCCACCATTGTCAGCGCCACAATTATACGATTTATTAAATTCCCTTCCACAACAATTATCCGAACAATATACAAATGGCCAACAACCACAATTACAACAACATTTACTACAACAACAATTGGGACAATATTTTCAAACTGATGTCAATGGAGTGACACGTTTCTCACAACCACAAATGCATTCATTTAATTATGATGAGCAGGCAAATAAAAATCAACAACAAATTCTTATTGGACAAAATTATGGTTCTGGTAAAGTGACAGCTGATTATAATTTAGAACCAGAATCATCTGATGATACAATTAAAAATATTGTCCGTCCCAATGAGGAATTAAATTATCCACCCGAAGTATCTGAACAACAGGAAAATAATATTGAATTTGAACAAACATTAAATCAAAAGGGCCAAACGACACATTTTCAAAAAGTAATTATTTAAAAAAAAAACTTGGTTAATTAAATTTTTGTTAAAATTTTAATTAACTTTCTCTTTTTCTTTTTTTTTTGAAGGTAAAAAATCCCGGTAGTATATCGAGTCAATTTTACACAACACTTCCTAATAGAGAGGCAGCTGAAAAACTGGCCGCTCTCGCTGCAGCCGGTAATGTCAATAGTCATCTTATAGATCAATTAAAAAAGCAACAAGAAATTCAACAAGACGAACCATTGCCAGAGAATCATAAAGATGAAGATTTTCCAAAACCTGAACAACAACAAGAAACAGAAGAGGAATTACAACAAAAACAACGTTTAGGTGAAAAACGAAAGCAAATATATCAACAACAAAGATTTAGAGAACAGCAAATAAAAAAAGAACAGGTAATCATTCACTTTTATTTTATTAATTTAAAATTTTAAATTTTTAATTTTAAATTTAAATTTAAATTTCTTTTCCACAGGAAAACGAACAATATGAACAGAGATATAGACAACAGCAACGTTATAAAAAACAACGACAAAATAATCAAGAAGAAAATGAAAATAATAAACAATTGAGAATATTTGTTCCCGATGTGGATAATAAGGAAATTAAAAATCAATCAGCTACCGAAAAAGAAACATTCGAAGAATACGAATATGAAAATGATGAACCCGAAAGTACGGATACAAATCAAAATAATGATGATGTCTCATATGGTCAAAGTGGTAAATCCGAATTTGGTTCGCGATTAAAAAAAACAGGCAAATAATTTCCTAGATTCATATTTTTTTTTTTTTTGTAAATACAGTTCATAAGCATTTATTAAATAAGAGAAAAACTTTTTTTTTATCAAACTATAAAAACAAAATTCTAATAATACAATAAATTAAATATTGAATTATTATTATAATTATGTTCATATTACCGAAAGACTGTAAAAATGAAGAAAAAAAAATTCCTCTATATTTATTTAAACATATTTGCTTTAGATATAATATTATTTATTTTCAATATTGTTAATAAAGTATTTTTTCTATGAAGAAAAAAATATTTTCTATATTTTTTATTTTTGCTTTTTATTTCACGTTATTTTCTTTCCTTTAACGTGTTATTTACACGAGAATTAGTGCTTTTGGAAGGATAAATCAATTATATATGATATTAATTAAAAATCTTACCGGATTAGAATTTTTATAGTCTATGAAATCCTTCTTTCACACAAATACACACGAAAAAAAAAATGGTAAGTCCTATTCCGATTAAATTTTATCCATAAACCATGGTTTTCCATCGTGGGTACGTCGTTTTGTTAGAATATCACATCCTGTTTCTGTGACCAATAAAGTTTGTTCAAATTGTGCAGACCATAAGCCATCGGTTGTAACAGCTGTCCAATTATCCGGCCACGTATCACTTTTCCATGTTCCTTGTGAAATCATCGGTTCAATTGTAAAACAATGTCCCGCTTTCATTACACCAACCGCTTTATTTTCTAGAAATCAAATTTCAATGTTCGATTACATTTTTAAATTTTAAGACTATTAATAAAATTTTAATATTTCTTTCTATTTACTTGCGTAATGAGGAACATTTGGTGCAGTATGAAAAAGACGATGAATTCCATGGCCGCAATAACTTCTAACAACACTAAATCCATGTGCTTGTGCATGTTTTTGAATAATATTACCAATTTCTCTATATTTTTCGCCAGGTCGCACAATGTCAATTGCTTTCGAAAGACACTCGTGTGTGACCTCAACAAGTTTTTTCACCTCTGGCTTAACGTTACCAACGAAAAATGTTTCATTCAAATCGCCATGAAATCCATTATGATAAACTGTTACATCAACTGAAATTGAAAAATAAATACATTAAATAAAGATTTGGAATTTAATTTTTATTAATAAAATAAAAAAAAATAATATACCATTGCAAATATCACCATCTTTTAATGGTCTATTATCAGGAATACCATGACAAATTACTTCATTAACAGAAGTACAACAACTAGCGGGAAATTCATAATAATTAAGAGGCGAAGGATAGCAATCTCTTTCGAGGCATGCTTCATGCACAATTCTATCGATCTCTGCTGTTGTAACTCCAACTTCAATAGCTTTTGCCGCTTCGTCAAGAACTTCCCTACCAAGCTGTAAATAACAAAATTATTATAATATAAATAAAAAATTTATATTTTAAATTAAATCTAATATTTAACGTAAATTTAATAATTTATTCTAAAACATCCAAAAGCTGGGAGAAAGTAATTTTTTTTTAAATTACCTTACAGGAAATGCGCATTCCCTCAATTTCCTCATCATCTAAAACTTTAATTAAAGATGAACCTCTAACTTCTTGTTCACCTAGAGGAATTCCTTCAGGATGTGTAGCATAATCTGGACGTGCAATTGATGGAGGTACTAAACGACGTGATTCTTTTTTAAAAGGGCGTAATTCCCCAGTAAAACGATAATGAGGCCATGGATTATAATCACCAGATTTATTTGTTCCTTCTCCCTCTATAATAGCATATACATTAAAATTAAAAACAAAATCTTAAAATAGAATTTAATTTATGTATCTTACTTACTTGCAAGTTTATGTAAAATTTTATGTTCTTTCCAATTGGCCTTGAAACAATCCTACGAAAAAAAAAAAAATTATTTATTTAAAATACAATTTTTCCAATTAAAATAAAAATTAGAATAAAGATATTTTTAGCTTCAAAAAATTCAAGCAAAACATACTTTTTTTTTCATTAAGTTTTAACAGTAAGAAATATAAGAAAAAAATTTATTTTTGTTTTTTAGTAATAAGATTAAAAAGTAAACTATTTAATAAGTAAAGCTAAATTAGAATCTTATTTAGAAAAATTTTTCTCTTTTTAATAAAAAAGAAAATTTAAACATGGCATGTTATCTAACCTCAAATTTTTTTTAAAAATTCTCACCTGAGTACAAAAAAATGAATCTTTTATGCCAATTTTTATACAAGTTGGACATTGCAAAGTTCCAAGTTGATTGCAATTTATTGAATTACACGGACTAAAACCAAATGACATTATTTAAACAAAAATTAATATTTTTTTTCTTAATAAACAGTAGTAGAAGTTTGCAAATTTTACAGTGATGAGAAGGTAAGTTTTCAAGGATTTAACGTATTTTTACCGATTATTTACGTCACTATTTACGATAGATGCGATTTTTTGGCGGAGAATTTAAAATTAGATTTTTTTTTTAATATTTCTGAAAAATACAATGGTATGAAGTATAAATATAAATAAATTAAAATTATAACATATAATAAATTTAAAATTAATTTATACTTCCAACCATTTAATTTTTCAAAACTAAAATCTAATTTTAAGGTGTGCAATTTACTTAATTTACAATAAATAATCTGAAAATTGTACTTACTCAATATTAATTACACTCACAGAAAAAAACTAAAACAGCTGCGATTTAAACGATCGCAACGCTGAATAAAAAAATTTACAGAAAAAAATACCCGAAAAATATGCAATAATAATTTGCAATAAAATAAAACAAAAAATTTTCAATAGCAGATAAATAAAAAAATTCGAAAGTATTCTCTAAATTCTCAAATAGTTAACATTTTGATATAATTTAATTTCAATTTATACTAAAAATGTTTTAAAAAAATAAATTAAATTAATTAAAATGTTAACTAATTTAAGTAGAAATAGTAGGACATAATTTAATTTTTTGTAATAGTAATAAAATTTTCATATATGATAAATATAGATTAATAGATTAATAATTATAGATTAATGATAAAGAATATATTAAATTTCCCATTTCCTGAAAAAATATGTGATTATCAAAAATGAAAAGAAATATTATTTCTCACCACGTTGATTCATCTGAAAATAATAAACAATTAAACAAAACATGCACAAAACACTTACAAAACATACACAAAACATGCACAAAACATTAAAATATAAAAGACAACATAGTGACAAAAAAAATTAAAGATTAAAATAAAATAAATTTTCACTGGTACTCCAGTTACTTATTTTTTTACTTACATTTTTTTTTAAACCGATTTCCCTACCTATTGCTATATTTGAAACGAACAAAAATGTCTATTTTTCCCGAATTTCCTACCTATATTTATATTCTAAACGAAACTAATACCGCCCAGGTGCAAAATGACCTACACTAGGGTTAACGTCCCGGGACGCAACCGTCACCTGAGCGATCTTTTCTGAAAAGAAAATATTTAATTAATTCATTATTAAAAAAATTATCAAAAAATTTTAATTTTTAATTCTACATGCATTAATTTTTAACTTTTAAAAATTAAATATAAAATTTACTATGCAAAATTGAAAAATAGTTAACAAAATTAATTAATTGAATTATTTAAATTAATTAATAAAATTTTATAAATTTAATTTAAATTATTTTTTTTATGATAAAAAAAATATTAAACATACAGTAAATAACATATATAAGAGAAACATTTTTTCAAAACTTGATAAATCCATTTTCAAACATTTTTTTAGCAAACATAATTTCTATTCAAAATTCAACATATTATTGATAAAAATTTGTTTAAAAAAAAATTTCAAAAATGAATATATCAAGTTTTTGATATAAACAATAAAAAAAACATTGACAATTATATTAATTTCATAGTATTAAGGTAGTAATCTACAAAACATATTATACTTTAGGATATGGGGAGTGTTAGAAATGTTGAGAACTTAAATTTCCAAAAATATAACATGCTTAACATGCTTATAGATTACCCTTAAAAAATACTAGAAATTAATAAATTTTGTCAATGGTGTCACCATGTTGTCACAATTCCTTCCCTGTTTTTTTTTTTAATTTTAATATTTTATTTTAAATTAATATTATATATTTACTTTTTTAAAATAAAAAAAAATTTCAAAATTTATAAATTAAGAATATCTAAAAAAAACATTTAATTTTCAATTTATGAATCTATTTTAATTGAATTTATAAATAAATAACTTTTTTAAACAGGGAAGGGTTTAAATAAAAAATGACTCACCGACCGGCGAATCCCTCGTCGGGGCAATAACGTCATCGCCACTTCTCGAGCGCTTCAGGCCAACTCCCGAGGATCCCTCTTTCTTGCTCGCACTTCTGCGCGAGGCCGGGAGCGTTAAAAAAAATTTTATAAAAAAAAGAAAAACGAAAACAAAAAATTTTATTAAAAAAAAATATGCAGGGACCACTTTTCTTCTTCCACATCCTTCCTGTCCTTCAGGTTGTTTATTGGGAATGGACTGAAAAACACTGAAAAAATAAAAATTAATTAAAACTTAAATAATTTACAACTATATTCTAAAATCCTACTAAAAATATTGACAATATCCTACAATATTTACATTATTGTAATAATGTTTAAAATTAATCAACTTACCTATTGCGAATTTTTTCGTCGTGTTAAAGATATGATGACACCATACTCTCTCTGTATCTTTAAATAGAGGAAAGTTTCTTCCCTGGAATAGACTGAAAATAAAAAAAACGTCTTGTAAAATAAAGGATTCCTAATTTGATTGTACAGTTAATTATTACAATTGATCCCAAAATTATTTATTTAAAATAACAAATAAAATCATCAATCAATTAATTTTATTTATTTTTATCACAATTAATATTTCTAAAAAGATTTTAAAGTATTAAAAACTATATTTCTAATTTTTTAAATTTTGTTCAAAATTAACCAATGAAAAAGAATACTTACAATTTGCGATTTTTCGCGATGTGTTAAAGGTACGATGACTGATAAATCTTCCTGATACTGGACCAACTGCCTGAAAAAAATAATTCATTATATTATATGTGTAATATAAAATAAAAAAAAAATTCTGAATATTGTCAATTGTACTAATCGTCATTTACAAATACTAAAATAAATTTTTATTATACATATTGTTATTTCTAAACATTTTAAAAAAATAATTTTGTTAATAACATTCATCAGTAAAATATACATCTTAAAATATACATAAATTAAGAGAAAAAATTTAACAACATACATTGAACTGCGACTCAGCAAGACCAGATCTCCTCCAGGAGCAGCTCCGCAACAAACACCCATCCTTCATGATTGGACACCTATAAATTGAGAAAAAAAAACAATTTTATTAAAAAATTTAAAATAAGATTTTTAAGAAAAAATTAATTTAATTATTTCTTAGGTCAATTTTATAAAAATTAAAACATTTCTTATTCTCAGTTTTTTTAAATAAATATTAATTAACGATATGAAACTATGAACTATGTAATTAATTAATAATTAAGTACCTAAAATAATAATTTTCTCTATCAAGGGAAGGAAATTCTTGCGCTAAAAAAAGTAAACAAAAAAAATACAAAAGAGACTCACTTGTTCGTAGATTTAGTAGAAACTGCCATTGTCATCTCAGTTATGGAAATCTCATCCAATTTTTCTCCTCGTCTGAATTCTGTAAAGACAAATAATAAACAAAAATTGTCTAAATAAAAATCGAGACTTTATTTTTAAAAATAGATATTAAATAATTTACTGTAAACTTAATACTTTAATGTAAAACTGCTACTTTCGAATGTTAAAAAACTGTGTAATTCAAAAAATTGCTAATAAAATGCAAAATATAATTTTTAAATAATAAAATTTTATTTATGCAAAATATATTTTTTTATAATTTTTTTTTTATTTAATTTTCAAAAAATGTTGAAAAATTCTGTAAAATCTTAGTTTTTATAAACAAATATATTCACCTGAGTTGAAAAGGGTTGATACTCCGAAAGGATAAACATTTTTGGCCTTTTTTCCTGAGATGTCATTATTCTTATATTTTTTTGGCCCTGTAAATAAATAAACAAAAGTTAAATAAACGTAGAATACAAATTTTAATATTAATGAAATTTTGCTTTTAAATTTCGTCTCTAATTTACGAAGGACAAGTATCAACCGATGTAGGATAGAAATACGAAAATGGTTGTGTAGTAATTTTTAGGTTAAATACCAAAGCGTCATCAAATTTGCCAAAATATGAAAAATTCTGATATTTACCAACAAAAATTAATTGAAATCTGGAAAATTTATATCACACTGAACATAATTATTAACATATATTTTTAATTTGTATTAAGATTAAACGATGTTCTTTCTTATTCACAAAATTTTCCATCACTTTCAACCGCTCTTTTTACAATGTCTACTATAGTGAGCAGTGATACCAACTTGAACGACAAAAAATTACCAACCAATTACACTCCTACCAACATAATTAAACTTTTTTTAAACTACTATTTTTTAAATGTAGTAACCTTCTTTTTTATTAATTTTAATTTTATTAATAATAATTAAACTATTAATCTAATAATTATTAATAAATTTTTTTTCTAATAATTTTTTTTATATCAGTTTAAAAAAATAATTCAAATATCGTGAAAGAATGCCACCTAGCGTCGGTAATGTGAAGTCATAATACATTCAACAAGTCGCAACAAGTTGTAATGTCAAAATTTTTAGGTTATGATTTTAGTCGAAAATATTTTACCTGAATTTATTATTTTTCTTTTTAGTTGCCATGAAACTTTCATACGTTTTCAATTATTCATATATTACTGAACTTAATTATCACAAAGAATATATAATTAACGCTATGATGCTAATAATATCACAAGATTAAAATTTTGACGAACGACATGGGTTTCTTCTACTTTCTGACGCCATTTGCAATGAGGCGTAATGCCAACCCAAGATAACAAAAAACTAAACTTTTCTACCAACATAAAAATTTTCTTTGGACAAAAACCTAATTTTTATTTGTTATTAATTTCTTTTTCCAAAATCATATTAAATATTAATAAAATAAAATTTTAATATTATTTAAGATTCGAAATATACAATTATCTTTATATCTTTGTTTAATATTAAACGATGCTAAACTTTTTAGGTTATATTTTTTGTCAAAAATGTTTTACCTAAATTAATTATTTTTCTTTAAACCTGCCACGAAAATTATATGTATTTTCAATTATTTATATAAAACTGAACTTGTGTAACATAAAATATATATAATTACCGATATAATGCTAATAAAAACACAATATTAAATTCTCTCCTACAAAAAATTGTTCTTCTACTTTCGACGACGCAATTTGCAATGAGCAGTAATGCCAACCCAGGGTTACAAAAAACCTTGTTTATTATTTTCAATTTTATTAATAAAATTTGTAATTATTTTTTTAAATATTTCATTAATATATATGTATAATAATAATATTTAATGGTTTAAAAAAATTCAAGTCAATTTAATTAATTTTAATGACTATATTAACAATTTAATTTTATTTATAATCTTTAGCTTTAAAAAATTGGACAGATTAATGACGCCAGGCTAGTTTTTTTTTAACCAATCAAAATAATCTTAGACATTACAGTACGCATTACTTCCGTCATGTGAACTTTGCAAAATGGTGTTTGACTTTTCAGATTGTTTACAAGCAGTTTGTAAAGCAAATAATTACGATTTTAGTGGTTCCTGCCTGTTTGTGTGTTATTGGATTAGTGTTAAATTTAGTGAAAATGTAAAAACTCACATTATTCAATGTGTTTTTTAATGCAAAACAACGAAATTAGACCTTTTCATGACCCACTTGTTGCGTTTAGGTTATGATGTTATAAACAAAGCTACGATGTTTCTAAAAGTACGCTTTATCTCATAAAATTGTTTTTCTGATCAAAAAAGGAATGGAGGCTCCTGGATTGAGCCTTTTCCAGGCCTCAGACATTATACAAATAGGTACAAATAGTAATCCTGGTCAGGAAGAAGAGGAGGAGCAAGAAGATTTTAAACGACGTAATGAAGAGGTAAGCGAGAGTTTTTTTTTGTTGCCAAATTCTATTGTATTTTAGACACAAATGAATTGAAATGATTTATCATAAGTAAATGTTTATTTTATTGATTTTGCCTTTATTCAATGATTATCTGCTTTTGAATTTTACCAAAACCTGTATTTAAAAGAAATTATTGAACAGGTTTTAAAGATTGGCAAATAAGTGTATATTTCAGTAGAAACAAGCTTTTATATATCAAAAATATTGAATTTAATTAATTTATTATTTTGAATAATTGTACTTAAAATATAAGCTTTTGTATTGCAATGATTATAGATAGTTTTCTTTTCTTGTAATACTTGGACATTTTATAGTCTTTTGTTTTTCGTTTCGTAAAAAAATTATTCAGAAAACTTGAAGAAGAATTGTTCTTAGTCTAATCAAGTTTTCATTCTTAGATTTCATACAATATTTGATTTCTAATAAATTATTACAAGCATGTATTTTTGAATAAATGGCAATATAAAAATTCGTGTATTTGTTAAAATATAAATTTTTCTTTAATAAATATTCAAATTCAAATATTGGGAAAATTTGATTTTTAATTGAATTTTTATTTTGCAAATTAAATTTAACAGATAAAAGATCTTTTAACGGGTGCATTTGACGATTTGGAGGAAGATGATGCTAGTTCGATTAACAGTAGTCATTATCATGATAATTCTCACTATAGTGATAATACAAATTCGGTAATAAATTCATCATACCAACCAAATTCCAATGAAAAAGGTCCAACTGTTTCACAATTACAAAAAGATTTTGGTGTTTATGCACATAATGATGAATCTTATAATCATGAAGCTTCTTCATTTCATGAAACAACACAAGACGAGATACGAAAAAATTTACCCGATATTCAAAAAGAATTTACCTTACGTGATACATCTTCAACTCCATTTGTGAAAAATAATCGAATTAACAGTACGGAAAAAAAGACAGTAGATTCCCCATATGATTTGCCACTTCCAACAAATGTTGGCTTCAATCATGAACGTCGTGCTCAAATTAATGACGAATATTCATTTCGAAATAATTATCCCTACAATTATGACACACCATCGAATCATTATGATGAGGACAATAATTTCCCGAATAATGGTTATATCGATGGATACGATGAAATACATCATCAAACAAATCAAATAAGTGAATATGGCGGTGGTGGTGATAATGAAAGAGCTTCTGATCATTTTAATCATTGTTATGAAACAAGTCCTAATGGAAGACCCGTGGACGATCGTAGTGCATACAAGACTGCCGAGTACAATAGTAAAGAACAATTGGAGGTTTTGTATTCTGTGAGAATGAGAGAAATTCAAAGATTGACAGAAGATTTACAACAGTTACGCTTGGAGAAGGAAGAGGAGAAAAATCAGCTGAATAGGAGATTAGCCTTGGCGCAAGCTGAAACCGAGAGATCAAATTTATCACGAAATCAGGCTCAAAATGCTCTTGGTAAGTGATAATATATTTTCTTTCGTAATTTTAATTTTATTTAACGTATTATTTTATTTAAAAAAATGTTTTTTTTTTTTTTTAATGTTTAGTTGATGCAAAAGCTGAAATTGCCAGCCTTCAAGGACAGGTGAAATCCTTAAAGGAAAGAACTACTATTTTAGAGAAAACCAACGAAAAGGTGAGAATTTTTATTTAATTAAAAATTTTTGAAAATTTAATAAAAAAAAAATTTATTTGTTTATAATTTTATAATATTTTTAGCTTAATGATGATTTATCAGAAGCGAGGAGTTTGGTTTTTGATCTACAACAAAAGATTTCCGTTCTCGAGAGAGTTCAATCACTTCAAGCTAATGATAAAGCCGAGGCAAAATTTCTTGAGCAGGCTCAAGAGAAACATGCCATCGAGGTGAAAAATATGCAAACTCAAATCGATGTACTTACAGAAAAATTAAAAACAAAGGTATTCTTCTTTTCATTTAATTTATTTTTAAATTTATTTATTTTTAATATTATTAATATACCTTATTCGATTATTAGAATTGTTTTGTGAAATATTAAATATCTGATTGCAATTGAAATTTATTAATTAATGAATAATAATTTACAGGAAGAGGCTTATAAGTCTTTCGAATATAAATTAGAGGACATGAGGAGAGCTCATGAACAACTTATGGTAGACAAAGCAGATACAATGAATCGTTTGACGCAAGCATTGGAAGAAAGTCAAGCTCAATGTCATAATTTAATGGCAAATAATAAGGGTCAAGAGTCATTAAAATTGCAAGCTGAATTAAATTTAGTTAATCGACAAAAAGAACAACTTGAGAAAATTATTGACGATTTAAAGGTAAATAATTTTATTATATAAAAATATAGAATAAATTAATTTAAAAAAAAATGAAATTAAAAAAATACGATTTATCAATTTCCAGCATAAATTAGAATTAGCCAAAAGTGATGCGGTGCAATACGATTCATTGCTCAGTCTAACAATGGAAGATGAAACTGATTCCATGAGACAATTGAAATTAGGCGAAATTCACAATAAATCAAAGAGCAAACCTTGTGACGACGTGACAAATAAACTAAGAAGCGAATTGCAAAGGTAATTTTTCTAGCAAATTTTTCTTTTTAAACAATTCTTTAAATAGTTTATCTTATAAAAATATCGAAAAATAAATTTTTTAGATGCATAGCTGGACAAGCAGTGAAAAGAAAGGAGATTAATCGACTGGAAAATACACTTTCTCAAAAGGAAAAAGAACTCGATAGAGCAACAACTGTCGCTGAAACTTGTCGTCAAGAAGCTGCACGTTTTGCAAAAAGAGTTAATGAACTAGAAATTGAACTCAAGTCATTATTAACAGAACAAGCAGCAAAGGCAAATACTGAAATAAAAAAATTATCCACACATTTAAGTGATGTTCGAAAACAATATGAAACGTTAAAAACCGAAAAATATGAAGTTGACAAGAGATTAAATGAAGCATTAAAAGACAATGAAGAGATTATTTCGAAAATTCGTCAAGACACTTTAGCGCAATGTGAAAAAGAAGCTGTTGATGAATTCAATAAGGAATATCTTGAAATTCACGATAAAGCTGTAGAAAGAGTTAGACAAGAGGCACAAGTTGAAATAGTGCAATTAACGTAAGTTTATAATTATTCAAAAATATAAATTTTTTTATTAATTAAATTTATTGAAAGCCAAATTTGAAATAAATTCTATATATATATTTGTTTGTTTAATTCTATTTAGAGTGCAATTGGAACAAACACAAAAGGAATTAGATCGAGTCAAAGAATTGTACATAGATGTTTGTGGTACAAAAGAGCAACTTATAACAGATCATAAAAATGAAATAGAAACCCTCAGAGAGGAATATAGTAGTATAGAAATGCGTAAACAAGAATTTGAAAAGACAATTAAGGATTTAGAAACGCAGACGAAAGTTACCGAGAGATTGACAAAGGAGTCTGAAAGCTTTAGAAACAGAGTTACCGAATTAGAAAAAGATTTGGCTTGCGAGAGAAAAAGAAGAGATGAACACGTTAAAAAAATACATGTCGAAATTGAGCGTGGTAAGTTTTTTTTTTTTTTTTCTAATTAAATTTAATTACAAATTGTATTTTTAAATAATTTAAAAATTAATTCACAGCAAAAGAAGAGGCTTTGAAAGAACTTCGAAATTCTCATCCCGATCATCAGATTAGCCTTCTTCTTCCTGATTGTTCGGAACATTTGGATAAAATAACACAGGTAGAATCATTTTTTCACAATGAAAAAAGTATTTTTTTTTTTTTTAATTAATTCAAAAATAATGAAATTTTATTATTGACATAGCTCGAAAATGATTGCAAACGATTGGAGGAGAAATTATCAGCAGCCATGGAGGAGCAAAAAAGAATGACAGATTTACAAACGGAATTGGAGAATCTAAGACTGAAGCTCGCACAAATGGAAATTTCACAAGAATCATGGAGACAAAAGTACGAAAAAACATTGTCCGATCATAGTCAATATCGATCAAAAATAACAAAATTAGAAAATGCATTGTCAAATTCAAGAAAAAATTCAACTCTAGAAGATTCAAATGACAAAATCCTCACGAGTATGTTACAAACAGAAAATGAAACTTTAAAAAATGAAAAAGGCACATATAAGGAAAATATTACAAAACTCGAACTCGATTTATCGGAGGCAAAGAAAACAATTTTAAATCTCGAATGTAAATTAAGAAGAAGTAGTGACATTTCAAAAAGTGAATTAAAAAAAGAATTAGCCAGATATAAAGAAATAGTTGCCCAAACAACAATAACAAATAAATCAAATAATTCCCGTGACGAGAAAAATAATGATTCACCCCTCGAACAACGTGTAAAGCAACTTGAAAAAAGTTTAGAAATTAAAGAACAAAAATTACAACGATTAAAAGATTTGGAGAAAATAAAAGAAGACAGAGATTATCTTATTGTGAAATTAAAAAATCAAGCACAACAATTTGAACAATTTATCAAAAATCAAAAACAAGTATCAGCTGAATTAAATCTTTCACCACGTAGTTCTAATGACTATACAGATATGCAAAAAATTAAAGAAATAACAACAAAAGAAGTACGCGAAGAAATGGAACAACGTGTTGCTGAAGAATTAAAAGCAATTGAACAAAAACAACGACAAAATTTAAAAGAAATTGATGAGAAAAATCGACAAAAACAAAAAGAAATCGATGATAAATATAATCATTCACTTCTTGATTTACGAATGAAATTGCGTGATAAAACGAAAGAAACAGAAACATTACGTGAAATGATGCTTGCTGAAAAAATGAAATTACACAATTCATTTAAAGTACAAGAGCAAAAAATTACTCAAATGATTGAGGTAAAATTGGAAAAATTTAATCAAGAACTATTATCGCGTAAATGGCAAATACAAGAATTACAAGAAAAATTGAAATCAAAAGAAAATGATGTTGAAGAAGAACGAAATACAATGGCGCAAGTTATGACTGAATGGGCTGCAGAAATACGTCAAGTTAAAGCAAAAGAAGTTGAAGCAACGGAAGAATTACGTAAAATGAAAGAACGTGAAGATCAATTAAGTGTCGAAATTAAAGAATTGAAAGAAAAAGAAAAAGAATTGCAAATAAGTGTAAAAAATTGGAATAAAAAATATCAGTCGGCTAAAGAAAGTGCAAATAATTATAAGGTATGTCGGAAAACAAAATTTTTTATTCAAATTTCTATTTCTGAAGAAAAATAAAGAAAATTTCATTTATTTTTTTTTCAGGAATATGCGGCAAGGAAAGAAAAATATTTTCACGATGAATGCAGACGTTTAGATGAGGGCTACAATAAAGCAATGAAAGAAGTGGAACGAAAAGTCGAGGCAAAAGTGGCGTTACAGGAAGAACAGGTAGCATTAAAGGTAAAAGAACTCGAGAGTCAATACGAGGAGGAAGTAGAAAAATTGCAACTTAAAATGAAGTACAAATATAAATGTTAAATAATGTATGAAAAAGAAAAACAATTAGCATGCAATATAGCTTTTGTAGTTTAGGGTAAATTGTAGTTAGAAGAGGCTGTTGAGGCTAGTTACGTTATTAATTTAAAAAGCACTTCATTGTACAACACTTGAAATAGGCGGTTTTTATTCTCATCGGGACCAGTGAGTCAAAAAAAAAAAAAAAAATCTAGAAATACTTTCGATTTTACTCTTATATGAGCTCTCTAATTTTGTAGATAAAAACAATCGTATTATCGAAAGTGAGATTTTAATGTACAAGTTTTTCTGTATAAATATTCCAGTAGAATTAAAGCTCGGTGTTAATCTATAATTAGAATTTTATCTGAGGGAAAATATATATTTGAAGTAACTTTTCTCAACACGTTATTTGTAGAGATCTGACATTTGAAGAAAGAAATTACAATTTATTTTTCTTTTTGTTTTAAGCAAATTGCTGTTGATAAACTATTGAATGAAAGAAGAAAATAAGTTATATATATAATAATTGACACGGCTAATGTGGCTATTAATTTTGTATATATATATACATATTATTTAAAGAAAAATCAAAAGAAGTTTTAAATTATATTAGTCTTTTTTTTTTTAGTTGAAAAAGAGTTAATCGAATTTTCTATTTCGCAGTGTTCTTAAGTATATGTAATCATTAATTATATTAATATTGAGAGAAACATTATTTATGCATACTTCATTTTGACAGTATGTGACTCTCGAAGATCTCCATTTTGTATTTTATATACATAGTTTTATCACTTAACATGACATAGAAATAATTGTCATTTAACCATCAAGATTATCATTCATTTTAATTGATCAGTAATTAAACATTAAATACTCGAGTCATTTTTGATTTACATAATTATTATTTTTAATAATCTAAACAGTGCTAAAATACTCATAATATTGCTAAAATTCTCTTTGAGATTTGTCCACAAAAATGTGTGTATAGAAAGAAAAAAAAAAAAGTAACAAACGAAAAAGACTAATGACGATTTTAAGAAAAGTAAAGCAAGTACAAAATAGATTTTAGACTTTAATGAAGAAGAAGAAAAAAATGTCGTTACCTCGAAAATTATTATTCGTCGTCGAGATAAAAAAAATTATTGTTAAAAAAGACCAAAAAAGATTTTACAAAATTTATATTTTCGGGAGATAAACAAATTTTCGAAATAAGAAATTTTAGCAAAGAAAAAATATATAGAATATATTTCCTTTTTTTTTATAAATAAGGTAATGATACCAATAGTGAGTTACCCATATTTTTTTTAAATGACTATAATAACTTTCATTGTACAATGGACAATTTGTAATTTAAGAATTATTCAAAAGTCTGTTACATACTAAATTTATATTTACTGTCTATTTCGAGTGTTTTTTTTTTATTAATTCTTTTTTAACAAAAAAACAAAAATTGTGCATAATTATGTAATATATAGTCATTAATTAAGTTGCTATTAATCGAATTCAGGTAAACATTTAAAATTTTATATTTCGCAAATTTTATAAAAATTTTATTTTTGTTAGACATACACCTGAAGAGTTTAATTTACTCATTAATTTATGCCATAATTTATTTTAATTTTTTCTCTTTTTTAAGTTTCCACATATATTGTAAAATGTATAGTTATGAAAAATTTATTTTTTAATCAAATTATTTTTACAAAAAGAAATTATTATTTTTGTCTTCTCAATTTCTAATATAATCAATTCCATTTTCCGATGAAATAACGATGATTAATTTTGAAATAGTAACTCGCTATTGCTGACTTTCCCTAATTTATTTTCTGTTTTTTTGATGATGATGAAAAAAAAAAAAAAAAAAAAAAATGTTTTTGTAAATATTAGATGAGAATTTCAATACATTTCAGTCATTAAAAAAAAAAGTATATTACACGTTTTAATCTGTAATTTTATAGAGAACTTCCAATTCCAAGAAGATTTATATTATAGTATAGTAGATGTGACATATAGTATTAATTAATTCAATAACTGAACACTTTGATTAATTTCGTCGATTATAATTGCAATAATTTTTTTTTTATATAATTTAGAAAATCTCTTTATGGGCGAGTAATCAAAGTGTTTAGAAAAAAATAATTCATGTACTCAAAAAAAGAAAAAAGTAAATTTTCAGTAATTTGTACAAAGTATAATTCTATAAATAAGCTCTATATATATCCAGATATATATATAAATATATGAACATGTATTTTATTTTTACGTACAAAAAATTGTACAAAAATGAGAAAAAAAGCTCTCTAATTTTTTGATTGTACGCGGTCATGTTTCGTTTCATTTTATAATTTATGGAAAAACTCTAAATTTTTACAATTATTATATTTTCTTTAAAAATTAATTTTTATCTTCGAAATTTCAAATTTAATTTTCCTTTTATAATTTTTAGTTTAATTTAAATTTATCATGAAAAATTTATTTCTGACAGAATATATTTGTTTCATTAAAAAAAAAAAAAAAAATAGTCGATTACATTTTCTAATATAAAATTTAAAAGCAGGATAAATATATAAATTCTGAAATATTGTACAATATTTAAGATCTCTGACATTGAATTGTATTTTAATTTTAATTATAATAGTGTATAAAGTCATTTACATTATCCAAATCTATCAAAAAGATAAAAAGAACTCATTTCATTTAATTTAAAGTGCATTTTAAATTTCCTTATTAGCAGTATTTCTTGATGTATGTGACAGTAAAATGGACTTAAATGAACAAAATATTTATATATTACATTTTATCACTGAAAAAACACACAAAAAAAGTTATTCAATTGATTTTTGCAATTTATAATTTTTTATTTATAAATTAGAAACTTTTCTTTACTCTTGATTTTTCATACCATTATTATTATATTATAATAATAAAACGTAATAAGATGTATTTTTATCATATTTGAAAATATTAAAAATCTTACATCTTATTGCTAAATATTATTCTCTATACTCTTATTTATATATATATCTATCTAAATAAAATCATCATTTGATAGAGAGTATTATTATGTAATAATTAGTTAGTTGTGTATTTTTGTACGTAGATTAATTTATTTTTTTGTAATAAAGATTATCTTGCCGAAATATTTACGATTATTTTTTCCTTTATGTTTAACAGAAGAAAATAAAAAAAAAAATATCAAATTCTTTTTTGGTATACATATATATATTATATCAAGTATTGTATTATTTTTATTGTCATCAAAATATATATGGTTATAATAATGGAAAAAATATATTGAATTGTAAATTGAATTTCAAATGTTAAATTATTTAAAAACCTTTCAAAAAAAAATTTTTTTTGAGAATTTAATTTATTTTTCATTATTAAGTAAAAAAAAAAATTAAATCAAATTAGTTATTTAAATAAAAAAATAATAAAATGTATTTATTTTTATTATATAAAGTATCCGGTATAATTAACATTTTTAAAATCTAATTTGCATGAGTTGATGTAATTCTACTTTAAAATATCTGGTCTAAGCAAACAAGTGCTTAGGTATTTCATAATAAAATGACGTACAAAAATTTTTTTATGAATTTTATTAAATTTTTATTATTTTATGAAAATAAATATAAAATTTAAAAATCAGTCTCATATATTAATCATAAAAACAAAAATATAAATCTACGTCATTGGAACAGACCTGATTGAAGGACTTGGATGAAACAATGCCCTTGCGTAACACGCATTCCCTAAAAGGCCGAATGACTTTCTCGAGTGTGTATCCCATTGACTTGATCTTTATTTTTTTTTTTGTTTTATTTGTTATTTAAAACTTGTACACTTCCATTTTTGGATGAGCTGCCGTTAAAGGTCATCCACATCTGAGCTTAGTTTCAATGACGCGTTGAATCAATTTAATTACATTAGAACTTTATTTTTTATTTAATTTAATAACTATCAGAATAAATAACTAAAAAAAAATTAATCGAATTTGATTTTAATCAGAAAAAAATTTAATGGAACTACAATATTATAAAATTGGATAAATTTTAATTATCGTTTATGTAATAAAATAATAATTTATTTAACATTTAGATAAAAAAAAAATTTCTCTGCTTTAAATTTAGAGACGGACGATTCTTAAATTTTGCGAAATTTTTGCTGACATTTTCAATTTGAAGGGTACCATTGACATTTGACATTCGACATTCTTCTTAAAAGAAATTTAGTATAAAGAATTTAATTTGAAAATTTATTTGTAATATTCTTTAAAAACAATAATTAATATTAACAAATTAAAATAAAAATAACACAATAGCTTCTATAAATTAAAATTTAAAATTTTAATTTTTGATTCTAATTTTTAAAAAGATAATTCCAAACAATTTGAGAAAAATGTTTGAAAAACTTTTTTTTGGAATATTTTATAATTTAGATAATCAGTATAATATATCAGTCTTCTCTTGACGTCATTAAAAAAACGATTCTATAGTAGAAACTTGTCGCATTCCGATAACTTTTTTTTCCCCATTTTTATATAGATATATATTTTTTTTTACAGTTGTTCCCAACTCATTAAAGAATAAATTAAAATAAAGTTTGAGATTTTAGAATATTAGGATTAAATTTATAAATTCTAGTTCCTACAACTTCTTCAGAAGAAATAATATCTATTGCTAATTTTTAATAAAACAATAATTTTAGTAATTTTTAATTACTGAAAAAAAAAAATAATGTAAATTCTTTAACGGTGATATCAATATCAGAATTGATTGCAAAAGTCCTGTGTGCATTAAGGTCGTCGTCGCTGATGTCATAAGCCTGACATATTTAAATGAGCGAGTATATGTCTAGATGATATATCTTTAATAAACACGAAAAATAAAATCAGATAAAAATCACCAATTCTCACAAATCCTGAAAATTTCAAATTTTTTTTTTTTTCGTTTTTAATTTTATGGACAAGGTGGACAGCACTGACTATTTGAATATTCAAATATTTCGTTTATGAAATTATAAATTATTCTATATTATAAAAGAAGAAAAATCGGAGAACCTATTCGCAAATGAAATTTTATTTAAAATTTGAATCTATAATTGAAGATAAAAATAAAAATTGTTTATTTCACTGTATATGATAATTAATCTTGGTAATAAAAATTCGAATTAATTAAAATTATCATCGAAATAATTAACGATAAAAAATGGAAAGGTCTATCGATAATCTTTTAAATAATAAATTTAATTTTTTTTAGACTTCCTTTTTACTATAAAAGAAGATTAATGAAAAATTACAAAAATTTAGAATTTATTTCAAGTGAATATCGAAATATTTTTGATGAAATGTATAAAGAATGGAAATAATAAACAAAATATGATTTAGAAATAAAAAAAAAAAATCAAGATTGAACCTTGCTTGATGAAGAAAAAGAACCTTACACTTGACCTTGCAACAAAAACTCCCTACTTGTCTATCTCACCTTGTGTCAGCGCGAAGAATTCTTGGAGTAAAAAAAATTAGAAATGATCATGAACAAGTGGGATCAAAATCGATATTCACCCAATCGATTTAATCAAAGTAGGCGAATTCTACAATTTCCTGACTGATTAATCAAGGTTGTGCGTGGGTTATTTCCAAAGTAGGGAATCGAAGGCTTTATAAAGAAAAAAGGTGGGATTTTACTGCTCTCCGCGTTTGATTTTGCTTTCATCATCATCTCAGTTCGCTTTGCAAACTGATCAGTTTATTTTGTCCCTCGACACTATTTACATCTTCGTTAAAAAAAAGAAGGTATAAGAAAATTAAAAATTTTTAAATAATAAACAATTACTTTCACTACGATTATTAATCATTAATTGGATAAAAATATCTTATTTCAATTTTTAAAAATTTGATTTAATTTAAAAAATAATGTTTAAAAAATGTATTTGAATTAAATTAGTTTTTAAAAATTAAATTTTTAAATTAATTTATATTTAAAAATATATTAATTAACAAAAAATTAAATTCTTTAAATAGTCAAATTATGATTTAAGTTTTAATATCAAAATTAATAAAATGTGTTTATGTGTGAATTGCAGAATTTAAAAAGATGAAAATTAAGCAGACAACAGTTCTGCTGTTAGCAGTGTTATTTTGTAGTTTAATTGAAAATGGTTTTGGAATAACTCTAACAGGTGAGTGAATTTAAATTAAAAGATATTGTATATTGTAAATAATTTTTAAATAATTAATAGTAATTTAATATGTGGAAAGGAAAAATTTTCTTTTTAAAATAAAAATTGATTAAATTTAAATATTTTAAAATTTTGCTAAAGTGTTTTTGTTTATCAGAGAGATCTTGAAAATTAATAACATGATAATTATAAAATTTATGTAGGTGGATGCGATGCTCATAAATGTGGTTATAATGCAAAGTGCACATTAAGCGAAGGACGAGCCGTATGTTCTTGTATTAATTTACACATGGGAGACCCATTGGTACGATGTACAAAAGTCGAATGTTTAGGTATATAAAATTTTCTTTTTTCTAATTTTTAAAAACCATTTTTTTTTCTAATTAATATTTCTTTTCTTTGAAAGGAAATTTTTTGAATTTTAATGTAAATTTTTTTTTTCACAGTGAATGAAGATTGTTCATCAAATACAGCTTGCATTAACAATCGATGTGTTGATGCTTGTGCCGGTACTTGTGCATCAAATGCATTATGCAAAACAATTAATCACGTACCTGTTTGTTATTGTCCACAAGGATATACAGGTGATCCTTTCACGCGTTGTGAACTTGAAGATCCATGTAAAAAATCACCATGTGGTGTAAATACAAAATGTGAAGTTATCAATACGGTACCAACATGTTCCTGTTTACCCGGTTATATTGGTCAGCCATTGAGTGGTTGTCGACATGAATGCGAAAATGATAATGAATGTCCTCAAAATAAAGCATGTTCAACTTCTTTTCGTTGCGAAAATCCATGCAAGTGCGGCGATAATGCAAATTGTGAAGTCATCAATCATCAAGCCAAATGCACCTGTCCACCTGTAAGTCAATTTTCTCAATTATATAAAGCAAAAAAGGATAATATTGTATGCAAATTAAATATAAATAAAATTATATTTTTTATAGATAGAAAAATGTTACTGTTTTTTGTTTCAGAATTGGCAAGGAAATCCTTATATCTCATGTCGAGCAGAATGCACATATGATTCAGATTGTTCCAGAGGTAAACCAGTTTGCTATTACTCAAAATGTGTAAATCCTTGTGAGGGTGCTTGTGGTGTTAATGCCAATTGCGAATTACGTGGTACAACCCCAGTTTGCAGTTGTCCCAAGGATATGACTGGCGATCCATTTACATCCTGTAGACCTTTTACACCAGGTAATATAATAATTTATTTTTTTTTTAAATCTTAATAATAATTTTTTAAATAATAAAAATATTTACCTTTTTTAACAGAGGATCTTTGTGAACCAAATCCTTGTGGTGTGAATGCAAAATGTACTCCTGGACACGATAATACAGGAAAAGAGAGACCAGTATGTACTTGTCCTCAAGGATATATTGGCAATGCTCTATCCAGTTGTCAACGAGGTGAATGTTTCACGGATAATGAATGTCCAAATAATAGAGCTTGTATCGATTATTCCTGTCAAAATCCTTGCCGAGGTCATGAATGTGCAACTTCAGCTATTTGCGAACCAAGAAATCATATTGCCGTTTGTACTTGTCCTGATGGAACTCGAGGTGATGCTGTAGTAACATGTAATCCAATTGTTGGCACTCGATCAAGAAATTATAGATTAGGATAAATATATTCCTATTGATATTTCCTGCAAAAAAAAAAAATTATTAAATTAACTTCTTTTACAAAATTATACAAAATTTAACTTTGATTTTAAACTAATAGTTGTTTTTTTTTATTTAGAATTATCTTCGATGTTATAGCTCCTAACTTATTTATAAAATATAAATTCATATTACCTGTTATGTTACACAATATCTTGTCATTATTTATATATTCTATAAAATGACATAATGCTAGACTGTGTTAAATTAAAAATAAATTTTTTATTGTGTGAAAGTGTGAAAAATCTGCGGATGTACTCTGAAATATTTACATTTTAAATTTATTTATATCACCATCAAACCACTAGATTTGTACAAAGTAAATAATTAATTACTTTATAGAATAAAAATCCTTATAAACATATTTAACTTATTTTAATATTAACTAATTTAACTTACCTTAAACATTTTTCTGCTCTTCAATTTAATTCAAAAAGCAGGAAAAAAAAGAGTAAGTAAAAATAATATTCAATTTGCAAAACAATTTATTGATTTGATATTTTCATTATACCTGTGTTTATAATAGTGACATATAATTAATTGTAAAATGTTATTAGCTTTAATGCAACAATAATAACAATGTTTAATATCTGTGAAATCGAGTCTAGGTATGCTTTGTCATCTTTTCGCAACAATTCACAATCCCACAATCAAAAAAAAAAAAAATAATCTAATAATCCATTTTCATTTTATTAATTATACTATAAATAATAATTATTACAATAACGATGTTAAAATCTCTATAAAGTTGCTACCCTTGCTTGCTATACATCAACATAAAAGTACATAATATATATTTTTTTAAGAAGGTAACAAAAAAAAAAGTGTCATACACAAAATGACCCAATTTCCATTAAACACCAGTTTATATAATAATTTGTTATTTCTTAAACAAAAACAAACAAAAAAGAAGAAGAAAATTGCTCTTGTTAGACTTAACATTAGTCGTGAGCAAAAAATTAAAAAAAACAATTCACAATTTACAAATAAACTAATTCGATGCCACCTATATCTCGATTTTGAAATTGGCGAAATTCAAAATTTATATTTTACATATTTTACAGGCCTAGCAAAGAACATTTATATTAACATACGTAATATAATTGTCAGTTTTATATTAAATAAGCTCAGTTCTCGTTAAAAATGCAATTAATCCGCCTAAATATCGAGACAATGGTTAAAAAAATTATGCAGGAGTTTGTCGATACAATTATCCTTAATTAATAATTTCATTATTATATCTACACTGATAACAAAAAATTGTCAATTTTATAAATGAATTAAAATAAAAATCTAAGAATTTGAATGAATTCTTGATTTAAAAAAAATTATTATTCACAATAGAGCACTTTCTTTTACAATTACAATATAATTCTTAAATTAAATTAACAAAATTATAATTTCATCATGAAAAATTGTTCTTCAGTGTAAATATATATATTTCGCATATAAATAAAACAATGGACTTAAAAATCCAGCAAATACAATTTGCTCGGTAAGAAATTTTTCACATAATCGACAGAATACGCCATTTACTTGTCGCTTCGCCATAAATCTAGCAAAAATTTACAAAAAAAAAAAAAAGAAAAAAAATACGTTTTAAAAACAATACATTTTACAACATATCAATTTGGTATCATCTATTTAATTTGATTATAAAAAAAAAATCAATTCAATTCAAACTCCTGAAAGAATTATGTACACAATATATAAGTAAAAAAAAAAAGACTAAAAAAAATCCATGAAAATAAATTTTTCCATCATTTTACAAAATTAAAAACCTAAATTTGATTTACAATTTACTAAAAACTAGGGATCTCATGCATCCTGACAATATGAACACACTTGGACTTTTAATTTCACAAACAGACTCAAGACTTTGGTTTTTTTTTTACGGTATTTTAACCAGTCGCTTTTTTAAATTAAAAAGTGCTCCCACTTGTCGCAATTATATCGGAGTGAAATATTTAAAGTACAGTAGTTTCTTTTTTTTTTACGTGTCAATAATCAATACTGAAATAACGGGAGCGTCCTATACGAGTACAATAATAATCAATATATACCAATCATCTATTATTGAGCAATCCGTTAAGTTCGATTTATTAATTCTATATATTTGTAAGTACTTCATCGCTCGCTTAAAACGCAAAATATTGAACATTGGCCCTTTCGACTGTCTTTGAATTTTTTTTTTTTTTTTGGTTTTTTTACCATTTTTTTTTACATATATGATTTAAAAAGACAGAATAAAAAATTTATTCATAAGACTTGCCAAAAATTGTTTTGGTCCAACATTCACCTATTAAATATCTTTATAAATTACGATAATAATTATTTTCTTTTTTTTTCTTGAAGAATTTGTTTTTTTTTGTTATTAATATTATTTTAGATAATCTTTATTTTGACATGAATTTAAAAATGAAAAAAGTATGGGATCCCTAAAATGTTATCACTAAATTAAAAAAAAAAAATTTTTTCTTAAGAGACGTAAAATTGGATACTAAAAAACAATAATGCAAAATAAATAGTTGAAAGTAAATAGAAGCTAGAATAATATGTAAAGACACGAGTAAATGTGTAACAACTATTCGAGTTTTTTTCTATTAAATAGACTTGAATCAATATTGTTATATAATATTATACAGATAATGAACACTTGATAATATATATTTATATATATATAATTTCAAAATGTACTTAACAATTTTACGTATATGTTTATTATTGAAAAATGAACGCAATTGGGCCTCGATGTTTGACAAGAAAAAAATTCTTTCTCATTGTCCACATCGTCTCGAAAAAGTCGGATTAAAATTATTTTTAAAAATTCTATTACAAAAATTTGATTTATTAAATATGAAAGCGATATATCGTATTCTATAAATTTAAAGAATTATCATGGCCCAGATTTATTTGACTTTACATCTAGAAATTACACGTCTGATTAAATATATACTCTATAACGTTAAATATTTAGCAGATACTTATTATTTTATTCATAATTAAATTGAAATGAAAAAAAAAATTAATAAATCACAATTTTTTTCATTTTCCAAAAATAGTGTAAAAAAGAAAAAGAAGAATAATTATTTATATGAAGGACATCAAGATTTGAAGAAACCCAGAAATATTGTAAATAATAATGAATACTTGAATCAAGGTGATAATGATTCAGAATCATTAATTAAAAAGAAAAAAGGCATAGAAGCGTTCGTCGTTGTCTTCATACTCTAATAGCAATTATCAAGTCTCAAGGGAGAAAAATAAAAAAGAAGATACAATTTTTTTTGCCTATTGATAGACTTTTTATAAAGAAGATATCAAAAATAGGATTAACAAGAAGCTGCTACAAGTGAAGGACCTACGTTTGAAATTAGTGGCAAAAATTTAAATGCAGAGGTACAGGAAAAATCTACGTTCCCAATTTTTATTTCCGAGACTTAAGACGTTTAGAAAAAAAAAAGTTATAATAAAAGAATGAGAAAAAACATTAATGAGCAACTGATAAAAATAAGAGGATTATAATCAAAAAGTACAAGAATTAATAAAATCTTCTCACAAACAGAAAAACGAAAAAAAAAAAATAGTTGACAAAGTGATCGAAGATCTTTCGCAAAAAAAAAAAAAAAAATCTACAAATCTCATATATAAAAGACAGAAATGCTTATTGTGCGACATTTAAATAAATTCAAACCATTTCAAAATGAGTACCACTATCACATCGTCTCGAAAAAGTCGGATTAAAATTATTTTTAAAAATTCTTTTACCAAAAAATTGATTTATTAAATGTGAAAGCGATATATCGTATTCTATAAATTCAAGGAATTATCATGGCCCAGATTATTTGATTTTACATATCTAGAAATTACACGTCTGATTAAATATATATAGTCTATAACGTTAAATATTTAGCGGATACGAGAAAGGAAACAAAAAAAAAAAAAAATAAAAAAATAAATGTGAAACTTATCGACTGATACGATGAAAAGTTAAATTCGCTTCGTCAATATTAATGAATTGTATTTTGTGAATATTTACAATACAAGAGTGTTATATACAAATATTTTGATCCTTCAATTCTTTATTTTAAAGCGTGGAAAGTGCATAACGCCAAGAACAAATATATCGTTGAAAAAAAAAATGTATTTCTTTACAAAAATTTGCGTTGCACTCAAATATTTATTTATATATTCTGATTAGTAATTAAAAAAAAAAAAAAAAAAAAAAAGAGAAAACTAACAATCTGGCAAAGGATCACGTAATCACTAAGATTAATCAGTCGATTAAGAACTTAATACAAAGCTATTACGAGTCAGCAATGTTCTTGCATATTATTGCAGGAGATGCATAACATGTCTAACAAGCGATTAGTACTTTTGGTTAAACATTTAAAAATTAATAATTAATAATAATAATAATAATAATAATAAAGAACAATACATCGATTAGCAAACAGAGAGCTTATAAACTCCTAAAAGTGGGCATGAAAAATATTACACAGTAAAATAGAAAAAAAAGAATACCCCTAACAAGAATTTTTTTTAACGTATATTTATATTATAAAATTCAACAGATTTAAATTTCATTAATTTGAAAATCTAAAAAGATATTCAAATTTAAATTTTACTGAAAATAAATATCTAGAGATTTAAATTTTATTTGGAATTATTTTATATTGATTCCATTGTAATTAAATGTCAAATATTGTACGAGAATAAAAATTCAATTTAAATATTACATATAACAGTTCATATAGTCGTACATAGGAAAAAAATTTTTGAATTAGAAAAATAAAATATTTATTTTGAAAAAATGTCTAAAACTCTAATTTATTGCAAAAAAAAAACGAAAAAAAAACAACGAAATTCGCAAAAAAATTGATATTCAACATATTGTGTAAATAAAACATTATTAATTCTCTTCAAATATATACGTATATAACAATATAATAAACTCTACATTATAAAATGCAAATGCTTCTATACAATTTGCATTCTTTGTATACAGTTAAATAAATTTCTATTTCATGCAACACTATATGTAACATACAATAATACATATAGTAAATTCATCATTAAATATTAAGATCAGAAGAATTCTCTTTGCAGAGATATAATTAATCAATTAATCGTTATTGTTTTATTTTTATATATATAAAAGTAGAGAAATCTGGACCTAATGTTAAATGTTTCTGTTTTTTTTAGCATATATATGTTTCTTTATTTTTTTTTTTATATTTTAGAAACATCTAATTTCAAGGTTTATGAATATTTTAAATCTGTTGATTTATTTTTTGACAGCTAATAAGAAAATTGTTTCTAATATATTAAATAGTGAATCGTTTAACCATTAAAACTAGAGGAAAAATTTGTCAAAAAGTTTTTTCGTTCTCTTGACGTAATTTCTTTTTTTTTTGATTAATTAATTTTTTTATTAATCAATTGAATTGATTTGATTTAGAACGAGCGATGTGCGAATTTTTTTGTTATTAGGAACAGATTTCATTTTTAGTGGGTCGGCATTGTTCTTTTAAACTTTAAGGGTTGCTTTTGGTGACCAATGATGAAATCTAGCGGGTCCAGTGGGATAAGAGGGGCCCCATTTATTTCCTCGATGGCCCATAAAAGGTGGCGGTGATGGGCCACCCAAAAAATGTGGGGGCATAATATTATACCATTGATTCATTGGATGTGGACCGTAACCCATATTAAAAGAATGATTGAACCATGAACGATTTCGATTTAAATGTAACCTTGGGCTGTTTAAATTGCGTTTCCTACCTGAACCACCACCACCGCCGTTGTTGTTGTTGTTGTTGGAGTGCTGTTGATTTTGGTTTGTTGAACTTAGAGGTTTTGATTTTGTTTGTTGTTCCGAAGTTGGAGTCAAGGGACGTTTCTAGAAAGTCGTAAAAAAAAATGTTACTTCACAAAAACCACAAACACGTGCATATTCACGAAGTAAGAAAAAAACCACAAACACACTAAAGAAAATATTAAAAAAAAAATTCGAAAAAATATTTGTTTTACGATAAAAATTCAAACAATTGCTGAAAATGAAATTAAAAATTAATACAAAAAAATTTTTTTGGATAATTAAAAAAAAGTCTTATTTTAATGTGAAAGAAATGAAATTTGAGAAATAAACGAACCTGAACGCCTGAATCGTTATCTTTTTCTTCCTTTTCCTCGGATTTTTTATTCGATTTAATAATGGGAACGGTGTTTTCTTTCTCATCGAAGGAAGCGAGTGTACAAAATGAACCTTTACTCTCACCAAAACGACAGCATACTTCATTTGGATCAACCCATAATGTTAATTCTATTGGTAATGTAAGATCTTCATATTTAACACCAGCAGCGGTTGCAGCACTCTCTAAAGTTTCATCTCTACGATTATTACCATTAACACGTATACAACGATATCCTTGGCCCTTAAATGGTTTATCGGGGAACCAATGATTTTTAAAACGTTCCGTCAATAATTCAACCAAATGACGCCTAAAACATTCCAATTGATCAGGACTAAATTTTTCGTTTTTTTCTATCAGCTGCACTAAGAACAGAACTGCGGCTGTGATCTCGTTGCGCATATTGACGTTTAAATAATTTTCGAAATTTATTTTTTTCTAATTTACTCTTTTCAGAGTATTCAATTATGACGTTCTTGAAAACTAGGATATCGTTGAAAATCGCCGATTTGGAGCACATAGAGCCCTTCTGCACTTTAGCAGCCTCAGGACAATTATTTGAAAGACGTAAAACTGATAAAAAGTTATTTTCAATCGTAATTCTTTTTTTCGTTTATCTAAATTATTAATAACAGTCGTTATAGTTTCGTTTCCAATCTGTAAATAAATATATTAATAAATTGTTTGCAATTCATAATTATTAAATCAAAATAAAATTTTAATCAGAATTTATTTTAAAAATAAGTCCTATTTGTTTAATTACCATAATTTTTAAATATATATTTGTTTACAACTTGAGTTCAATGGAAAATTTTGAAAGAGTAAGCGAATTTATAGTACAAAGTTCGTAAATAATTTTTTTACAATTTTTCAATTGTAGATATTAACTATTAATTAATTTGGAGAAATGCTTTAAATTCTCAACTAGACTAATAACGAAATTAAAAATAAAATTCTTTTAAGATACTTTTTAGATAATTATCTGGAAATTACGCACAATGTGTAATTTTTTTTTTTTTTTAAATTCTAATGAAAATATATACAAATTTGTTTTTAAAAGAATTACTCATGTTTAAAATGTATCTTAATGCGTACTATATTGGAATGATGAAATATTTGTAAATGAACGACACATATTGTAATCTGTTTACTTGACTTTCCATACAGATTTGTTTAATATTTTTCTAAAAGCAATAATCACTAAAGCAAGACAGCACTTTACTGCGACGAGTGCACTATTAAATTATTCAAAACTAACTAATGAAAGTTCAAAATGCTATTTATGAATGTTTTACGATAACAATATGTTGTTTCATTCACAAATGAGGTTATGATGTGTGTTATATTAGGAAAATCTAGAGCAAAACGAAACAAAATACGAGAACAATTTACAAATTATCAACACAATTGAGGATAAATTGAACGATATTAAACGATAAAGCAAATATTGCTGGGTTATTTTCATGCCAAATTCTTTAAAAGAAAAAAAGAAAAAAAAAAAAAAAAAACTGCCAGCTCATTCTTGAAATATCGCAACCTCAATTTTTTTTCTTTATGAAAATATACATGAAAAGATGAAAATTTACAATTGAATTTCTGATGAAATCAAAGATTAACATTCATATATTTAGACTAAATGAATTTTTCTTACGTTTAATGACGAATCTTGCGAATGAAAATAACTTCTACTCCGTTTTTTGTAAAATAAATTGTACGTATATAAAAGACTAACACGTGACCCCTTGTGACGTCGCAATGGCTCTTGATGGCTCTTCTGAAAGCATAAATTTATTTATAAATAGATAAGAAACTCGAAAATTAATTCTAACTATGAATAATACTCACCAGATGGCTTTAAGTCACGTTCACAATCTCTTTTTTGAATTTCAATTTTCTTATATAAAAAAGATATGTAATTATAAAAAATTAATATAATGTAATAAAAAAAGACTTTTAATATTAAGAAGTTTGAATTTATTATCACTCTGCACAAAATGTTAAATTACATTCTGTAAGTATAATTAGATTGCTAAAATAAATAAGTAAATTGAAAAATAGGAATGTCACAGAAGGAACGTGATCGTCGATTAACAAAATAAACATGTGATTAACTCAGTATTAATTTAAATTATGATTTACTTGCCTTACATATTTTTCATACCTATTTTTTTTCATTATTTATGTTCGCTAAAGTAAAAATATTGTTGAATTTTTATTTCACAACTTTTTATTAAAATAATTGTAATATTTTATATATAAACTTGTATGCAAAATCCCTGAGATAAAAATTTGTTTTGTCGGAAAATTTTTAACTGAGCCAATCACAATTTTTTTTTTTTTTTTTGAGACATTCAAGCTTAATTAATTGTGCGATAGAAATGCGGAAGACTTAATTAATAATAAACAGACACACGCTTGATAAAAAAAAAATTAATATTCGAGTGGTAAAATTTTTAAAATTATGAAATTTTTTTTGTTATTCAAATGATATTGTACGAGAGCGTACAAAAGTTTATTTACACAAACACTCTTTAATATTATCGAGTTATATTATAAAAATTGTATTAAAATGAAATTAGTAATTATTTCTCCATAAAAGACGTCATATTTTAAACATTTTTTTTTTTAAATCCTTTCCCTTTTTTTTTTTTTTTAATAAATTGTTATGAGTTTATCAAAATTTTAAACGTCCATCACTATTTATCATTTAAGGGAAATCCCGTATCATTAACATCATCTTATCTTAAAATCTCAATTTGTGAAAAAAAACGTGTAGTTTTCTTTAATTTTGAAAATTCCTGTAAAGTTGTTTTTTAAAAAATAATATTTATATCTGTAATTTAAAAAAAAACTTTACTTCAGAAATAAATTCAGAAAATGAAGAAAAAAAAATTCCTAAGGCACTACATTTATATATTTAAAAAAAATGAATTTTTTATACTGTAGAAAAAAAAGGAAGAAACAATTAAAAAACCTGAAATCTTAAAAATTGATCTAATATAAAAAAAAAAAGGTTAATGCTATCCAGTCTTTTCAATTGGACAAAGAATATAGATGAAGTTTCGAGCAACAATTGTTGAACGTTATTAAAAAAATAAACGGAAGAAATGCTCTGATATCTTTAAAATTTGTTTGTGCTTTAAAATTCCTCTGTTCAAAATGTCAAACGTGAATTTATCACCGTGTATTTATGTGTGTGTGTGAGAAAGAAAGAGATGAAATTGAATAGAGAAAAAATCTATCAGAGCAATTCAAATTTTATAGCCTATATCAAAACCTTAATCAGCCTTTCTTGGTTTACGTTTGCGAACATTGGGACTACTTGTATTTGTTTTTGTTTCTTTGTCTTCCTCGGATTTTTCAGATTCACTGCCCTCTTCATCAACAAGATCGTCTTTAACATTTTCCACCAATTCTTCATCGCCCGTTGTCTTTCCTTGTGTACTGTCACCAGAACCATCCTTTGTTTTCTTTTTAGATTGTGTTTGTACATCTTTCGGTGGATAAAAGAAGTCAATAAGACAAACAATTATCTGTAATAAAATCAAGAAAATTAAACCTCTTTTTCGTTATTTAGTGTTTAGTAAAATTGACAGAAAAAAAATACTTACGAGACCAATAATAGCGCCCAAAACAATTGTAGCGATTGCGAAAATTAAATAAGTTCCCCATGTTGGCATTCCAAAATCTTCCATCAATTTATTGTGAATTCCCTAAAAAATTAAAAAATATTTTTTTACTAAAATTCTAAAATAACTCAATTAATTATTAAATATGAAATCATTTTCACTTACTCTCAAAACTTGAGACATTCGGAAAAATTGACTAATAATCGACATTTGAATGGAAGTTGGACTCTTCCAACTTGAAATTGGTTCTATTTTCTTCCAAGTTTTTTTAGCTACAAATTCTATTAGCGAATCCCTATCTCTAGGACTCTTATATTGACGAAATACTCCATCCTTAACGCTGAAAATTTAAATTTAAAAATAAAGAAAACTGTCAATTGTAAATAAAAAATAAAAAATTGTAATTCAATTTAAAAACAAACTGATAAATTGTAATTAAATAAGTTATATACTTACTGATAAATTGTCGGTAGAGCAGTTACCATAAATCGTCCACTGAGTCCTGGAGCATCAGTAACATCAACTTTACCCACATTTATGTTAAGATCCTTTTTTCGTGACGCCAAAATTTCCCAAACTGGTTCAAGAGACTGACACGCAGGACACCAAGGTGCATAACTACAAATTGTTTGTAACAAATATAAATTAATAGTTTTTTCTCTAATAATAAATATTTACTTCTATACTATAAAATAATCAATTTTATTAAAAAGTAACTTATTCAATAATCTAAAAATTGGTTATATTTAAATTAACCATTCAGTTGAAAAAAATTCCTAATATAAAATATTTAAATTTTAGGACCACGAGGAAAAAAATCGAATAAAACATATTTTTACGAATAATGCAAGAAAATGTGAAAAAGAAACATATTTTCTTGAATGGAAAATTTTCTCTCCATTCAATTGGAAATAATTTTGAAATACTTTCGTAAACTTGAGTGGGAAGATGGTATAGATTTATGAGGCATTGCACCATAAAATTTGCAAAGTTGACTATAATTATTGCATGAGTTTATACACTTACAATTCCACCATCCATTCGCCTGTCAACATCCGATCCCAATTATCTTCATTTAATGGTTCCACCGATGATGCTTTTGATCGGACTAAATTGGCATTTGAAAGAGTGAAAAATAAGCAAAAATATGCAATATTCAAAAACATTTTGGCTTTAAATGAAATTTTATTTAACTAAAAAACTGCCGGTAACTTTATTTCTTACGCTTACTACCGGTCAACACACAAGCGGGGTTGCCATATTTTTTTATTTACGTGGAAAATGATGGCGCCACATTCGCGCGCCATTTTGTTTGAAATTTTCAAATAAAGGTGATAATAATTTTCACTTAATAAATTTTATTTTTAATATTTGAGAAAATTATTTTTGTCAGTAATATTTTTTATAGTTTAAACTTATTATATTCAATGTGATTAATAATTAAAATTTATTACAATATTTTATATCATTGCTTTTGTTTTCCCGCCTTTAAAAAAACACAACTGTTGCGCCACCAAGAGTTTAAATTTAAAAACACATGGAATTTACAGTAACATAGAAAGAATTAATAGAACCCTGTAGTTTTAATAATTATTTCATAATAGCTAAATTTGAAATATAAATTTCATAAAAAGAATGTGTTTTTATTACTTCTTGAATCTTATTTATAAATAGTTTTGATAATTTTAAGAGTATGAGATTTTTTTGTTAAAATTTCCACTTTTTTTTTAGGTGTTGTATTTTGGTTACGTACCTGTAGTTTAATATCGACTGCTAAATTTGGTACATATGCGACGTGTATTCAAATAAATGATTATAGAATGTAGTGAATTAAAATAATTGTTTTCTATACAGAAAGAAGATCAAAATAAAACGTGAATTTTCATTTTCATATCTCATCAGGAATAAATAATTATTTTCGTAAGGAAAAAAATCACCTAACCTCTATTGTTTATATTCTCTTTTTTTCGTTTCTATTGTTTATCTGTCACTTTTTACATATATAGCTTTTTTTCAATAATTTTATTTATTTTTAACTACTTGTTACTGTTTATTAATAGATAAATTTTTTGTTTTTATAATGCTTAACATTTTTCAGACAATGCCGAACTTGCAAAATAAATTACCACGGCTTGCTGTTCGAGACAGTTTTGATGATGAGGATTTAAGCGATATAGACGATGAAGTTTTTATTCGCGATGGAAAGAATGGAATTTTAAAAATAGATGACGATTGTGTTGTTAAAAGACCATTAATGGCGCCTCGGCGAAAATTTAGAAATGTTCATGAAAAGGTTGTTTTGCCTTATAGAGCATTATTAGTTCCAATTTGTTATGGATTAATAGCATTATTAATTTTACTTGGACTTATTTTCCTTTGTGCATTAACTGTCAATTTATTTCCCATGCCATTAACAATAATAAGAAAATTTTTATCGCATGGCACAAAAAATCATATTAACAAAACAACAACAATTCCATGTACTTCATTGTCTTCGAAAATTGTTTGGACGAAAACATTACCAAAATTAACATCAGAAGCACCATTGAGAAATAATGATGTGAATGGTGATAATATTGATGATATCATTGCAGGATTTAGCACAGGTTTTTAAAAAATTTTCTATAATGAATGCATTTTTTTTTTATGATTTAATTAAATTATTATTCTTTTGCAGATTTTTATTTCATCTTCTTATTTGTTATTATATTTGGTTTACTATTATTGAGGTGATTATTTTATTCTTTTATTTATAGGCATTATTTTTTTTGGCTTTTTATAAATTGATTTTAATTTATTTATTATTTTAATATTCAATTTTATTGTTTAGGATTGGACGCAACGGATTCACCGGATTATGTTTGCAATTTATATTTCAAAGATCAAAAACCCTGTTTTGGTGGTGTTATTGCATTAAATGGAAAATCAGGCGACATTATTTGGACCCATTGGACGAGTCATGCAATATTTTCCGTTGATTGTAATCTCGATTTAACAGGTGATTCAACAAAAGATTGTATTATATCAGGACGTGGTGGAATTTTGCATGCCGTGAATGGTCGTGATGGAATTAGTATTTGGGAAATACCAAGAGCCGATAAAGGACAATTGACATCTGATAATCCAGATATTTATGATGCAAAATATATTGTTGATATTGATAATGATAAAATTGGTGATGTTATAGCATCGCATATTCTTCAAATGGATGAGAAACTTGTTTCTGAAATTGTAATAGTCTCGGGAAAGAGTGGCAAAATTATTCGCAATGTACAATTACCCGATACAGAAGAATTATTCGTTGCTCCTCAGGTTCTTGTTCATCCAGATGGGGAAAATATTTTCGTTATTGTCACCAATAGTCAAAAACAATCCGGTGGACTTTATGTTATTCGTCAAGCTCAATTAATGCAAGGAGAATTGGTAATTATAATTGAATTTTTTTATAAAAAAATTTTTTAATTATTTTCTAATAGATTTAATTTTTTTTTTAGAAATTGCGCAAGTTACATCACAGTGCAGGGAAGGGTGTTCTTTTGGCACCAATTTTAGTTGATATTAATTTAGATGGAACGGAGGATATTGTCGCTGCAATGTTTAATTCGACAATAGTTGCATATGATGGAAAATCGTTTCAACAAATTTGGAATTACACAATACCTGATTCGGAAGTGATAAGTATTCCAATTCCGGGTTATTATGATGACGATAATATTCCTGATTTTATGGTGAAACATCAAATTGGTGCTGGATTTCCAGTGTATTATTATACAGAGGCGACAATTATCAGTGGAAAAACAGGAAAACCATTAATTGACGAGCCAATGAGGGATAGTATGAGTGGACAAATGTCAGGATTGTCAATATCGGTACAAGGTTATGGAAACGATTGGTTTTTACATTGGTCAGCTGATTGTTTGAATCATGAAGGCTCGCGGGATAAATATCAATTTTTTAAAGGACAAAATGACAATACACAAACACGTGCCGATCTTTGTAAATTGCGATTTAATTCGACATTGATTACCTCGTTATTTGCTTTTAGTCAACATGTTGCACCACCAGGTATTCCATTGTATAAGTCTGAGGATTGGAAAAAATTGGAATTTAACAATTCATTTGATCCGCGACAAGCTGCGGAGAATTATTTTGAAACTCATCCACTCGATGAAATGATAGAACCTTTAATTGAAAATGACGATGTATCGGAACGTTCGCCAAAAATACGTAAAAATTCACAATTAAGTGATAAATTTGAATTAGATGATGAGAAATATGATATTGAAGATTATAAAGATGAAGAGCGGCAAATAATAGGTTTTGATGATAAAGTACCAGATGATATGAGTATTGCTGAAGAATTAAGAGATTTAGATGAGGAAATGAGACCGAAAAAAATTTACGACGTTCTTTATGACGATGGCAGTGAACGTTTCTCGACAAATGAAATGCGTGCACAACGCAGTGATAAATTAATTGCAAGAATAAATAATGATACAAATGATGTGCAAAATAAACTCGATCCAAATTTAGATTACACTAATGGACAATCAAAATATTCATTTGAACCAGTGAACAGAACAAATTCCCTTGATGAGAATTCTGATTATTTTAATATGCCCGATATTGATTTCACTGATGATTCTGAGGAAATAACTAAAATTTTGGAGAGAAGAGATACTCAAAATGTGAAAGAGAAAATTCCAACAAAAAAATATAAAACTGTAAAGAAGAAAATTAATATTGAAAATAATGATGATAAAACACTTTTTCGATCTAAACGAATTCGCAAACGATCGACAATTGATTTGAAAAGAAATGTGAATTTTAAAAATTCTGGAATTCAACGACAACCACCAACTGGAATTTTACTACCTTCTTTAAAATCGACACAAAAACGATCAATTGATCTTATTTTTTCGACATATTGGCTTCCAGCGACTGAAACACCGATTATTCTTCTTGAACAGGATTTGAATTGTATACGAGGAAAACAAAACAATCAAGCAAGAAATGTAGATCTTTCAACATATGAGGATATAGTGAAAGAATGCCTCGCAGAGCGTGGTGTTGATTACAAATATTTCGAAGAAGTTAGTGATCGAGAAAATATGAAAATTTCCCTTGGACAAATGACAATTTATCGAATGCAACTTCAATGTTCTTGTCCTAAGGATATTTTACCAGGTGACACATGTAAAGATATTTTACGTCGTCAGAGTTGGCCTGCGCATCTTGGCGCAGCTGGAAATGGTTACTTTCGACCATAACGATTTTAAAAGAAAGAAAACAAAAAAAAAACTAATATTTGAAAGGAATGCTCAGAATTTGGTAATCAATGGGAGGGATATTTAGTAATTGAAAGTCGGGGAAAAATTGATTTAAAGTTATATGTTAATTAGAATTTTATTTATTTAAAGATCAATTAATTAACGAGATTTGAAATTATATTTATTTGTTTCGTTCCAGATTTTTTGTTGTTAAAATTTAAAATTTTAATTTTCAAATTTGATTGTAAAGAACATTTTATTGATTGTTAAAACAAATTGAATGTTCATAAGCAGACTCCTCGCGAGACAATAAATCCGAAGGGCCTTTTTAACAATTGATTGAAAATTATTATTTTTTTGTTATTCAAATATTTTCTTTTTGGCTCTTAGACGAGTTGAGAAAAATGTGATTTGTCCCAAATACAATTGAAAAAAGACTAACTTGATCATTATGCGAAAAATTAAAATCAAAATCTAGAAGGCTTATCAGTTTAAAACTATATAGCCAATAAAAAATGTGTTCAAGATTAATTTTTCTTAATATTTAAAAGAAAATATCAAATTTTACACAGTTCGATTTTAAAGTACAAAAATCATTTTCGTAATATAGTTTATAAATGGTGCACGCATTAAGACTTGTTAGATCAATATTTTACACTCTTCTGTATAATACACTCCCGTGCACAATTCGTTTGATTGCTATTTATAAAATAAATATTTTTTGTCAATAATTTTATATTAAATAAATAAATTTTTAATATTTTAAAGGTAGATCATCATCTGTTTTAAGTGGACACTTCACATTTGTCTCGTAAAAAAAAAATATAACTGTATATATATAATAATATATATTCTCTGATAATATAATTCTACTCTCTTTAAGAAATAAAAAAAAATGTGTAATTTCTAATTGTGAAATATTGTCAGTGATTATCTGTCGAAAAAAAACGTGGTTTTAAAGGTAATAGAAAAAATGGCAAATGTGGTGGTCCAGTGCATACAATTGCAAAAGGTTAGCCAAATGCATATTGTATAAAACAAAAAATATTGTATATCAAAGTTTCATATCAAGTGATTTAACATTTTTTTATTGCACTTGTCACAAAAGAATTGTTACTTCGTTTCAGAAATTCTTTTACAAAACTGTACAGCCAACGTTTTATTATAATTAATATCTTTGTTTCACCATATAATATATTGAATAAAAATGTATCACATTTAATTAAGTGTTTACATTTTTTTTTTAATTTGTAAATTATAATTTTATTTTGCAATTAAGACGCTGTGCTTTTTTTTTAATGTGAGTATAAGTTTTTATTTCAGAATGAATTATATAGAATCAATCCAAAATTAAGACTCTCTAGTCATCGAAGCCAGGATTTCGTTGGAAATGAAGAAATTGAAAATGGGGAAAATTTTTCTCACGCATTACCATCTAGACTGGAATATGTTCAAGATCGAGGAACTCAAACAGATTTCAGGGAAAGCGAATGTCAAACTTCTCCCTGGGAACCGCCTTATAAAATAGTTTCAGGCATTTATTTTTTTTTTCATTTTCTTTGATTAATTCAATAATTGAATATTTAATTTGACTAATTAATTGTTGTAAATAGGTCATAATCCAGAGGTACTGAATTTAACATGGAAACATGGTTCATCTATTGGAATGCATGATATCGAAATTATCAATAGAATGAGAATAAGACGAGCTTGGGAGAAAATTCTTCCACCTATGGATACTGAAGCTAATATTAAATTAAGAACAAATATTGTCGCAGCTTTGGAAGCTGACGAATGGGCTTATCGAGAATCGGTAATTTTTGTTTTTCTTTTTTAATTTTATGAATTTAAATAACTTTTGGTTTTTCTCTAATAGGAAATTGAATTTATAATGAAGATAAGAATGGATTTAGCTGAAAAAGTGATGAAAACTAGGAATGACGAATGGAATAAGAAGAAAAAGAATCGTTTCATGAGACTTGGAAGTAGTTTAGAAGAGAAACGGGATAAGGAAATAAAAAAAATAAGGCACAAATTTGGACGTGAACTTCGTAAATTAACAATGAAGCATAGAATTGGAAATCGATATAAACATCATGATATTATAAATAAACATGAGGATCGAGTATCTGAATTTTTTTCTTCACAAATGCAATATAGACAAAAATTTTACAAACAAGGACATTTTGAAGAGAGTATGTTTAAAAGTTTATAATTTTCTTTACCCTGAAAGTCTGATTTATTACAAAGATTAAGCTTATTTTATTGAAAACCTTTTCATTTATAGAAAAAATGAAAGAATTGTGCGTTCGAGAAACAAAATGGAACAATGAAAAATTGGAAGAGCTTTATGAAGAATTGAAAAAAATTCGTTTAAATGTACAAACGTCAGGTTCCATTTGTAATGTGGAACAAAAATCAAAACCAATTGTTTTGCCATCGACGCCAAATGTGAGGGATGATAATTTGATATCGAATATTGAAGATGAATCTGCCACACTAATTCAAAATGCAATAAGAGGAAGAGCAATTCAGTATATGGTAATTTTCAATTCTTAAATATAGTTGAGATTATTTTTTTAAAATAACTATTGTTTTAGATGTTCGAAGGTCGTGAGAAATGTAGAGATTTAATTAAAGAACTTCAAACGGTTTATGCTATTCATGATGAAGATAAGGAAAAAATTGAAAAGAGAAAAGCGGAAATTTTAAGCAAACAACAAGAGGAACAATTAAAACGTCAACAAGAATGTAGATTAAATGAAATTCTCTCATCTTTAGAAGGAATGACTGTTTCTGGAATGATGGATTTTTTGAGCAAAGTTAGTTATTTTAATTACAATACTCTTCAAATTTCGTTAATATTCTTTTAATTTTTTAGAATTCATTAGAAAATAAAAAATTAATTAAATTTTTCAGGAATTAATAAGACTTGAAGATGAGCGAAAAGCTCATGCTTTTGCTTTACTTGCTGAAAGAGAAAGAAGTAAACGAGAAGCAGCTGAAATTGGACGAAGACAAGATGAATTTCAACGTCGAAAAGAATTAGATCAAGTTTTTCGACAAATTGTGAAATTAAATCAAAATACTGTTGAAGCTTATCTTGAAGATATTGTAAAGGAGGGTATTGATTGGGTTTCAGAAAAAGAAGCTAAAGAATACGTTTTGGCATTAGCTGATAAAATAGACAGTGTTTCAAAATATGCAGCTGAAAAGTAAGTTACAATATATGATTTAAATTATGTAATTAATTTATTTTGATTAATTGAAATGAGAATTTAATTTTAAAAAATGTATCGCTTATTTAGTGCTGCAGAGATAGATGAAGAAGAAATGGTCTCGGATATGGTTTACAATTTTGTATTACCGGAAGTTGAGAGGGAAATCATGAGAAAGAAAATAAAAGTGAAAGAACATGAATATTTAAATACTGCACACGATGAATTATTAAATTTTTCATTAACCAACGAATCAGAACATCAAAAAGAAGTTGAAATTTTAGATATTAATTTACCAACAACATCGGTATTTAATTTTTTTTTTTCAAATTACAGATTTTAAAAAAGAAAAAAAATATATTAATATAATCCGTTTTTGGGAAACCTTTTTTTTTATAGACTCAATTATCATTCAGCGAATCAAAAATTATTCAGGAAGATTACAGGAATATAATTGACACTATTATTGATAAAATTATGTCTTTTGTCATTCCAAATGGTAATTTTAATTTTTTTTGTAAATTCTATAAATATTTTACAATTGAAAAATAATTACAGTTAATTTTTAGAAAATGAAAATACTATTCGTGAAATATTAAACGATGTAGTAGTGGAAATTGTTCAGGATTTTCAAGATAAATTAATACACGAAACTTCATATTCATCTTCTTCAAGTTGGTCAGGTATATAAAAAATTCATATTTTAATTCATTTTGAAAATAAAATTTATGAATTCAATTAAAAAAACAAAATTAAATAAAAGAAATTTAATAACAGTTAAAAAAACATTAGTTGTAAGATTATACCAAAAATAAAAGAACAGCAATAATAAGTGGATTTCCTTTATTATTATTTTCATAATTATTTCTTACAAGAGAGTAAAATTTATTTTTAATCAATTTCTAAGTGTTAAAGCGTAACTAATGTATATACAAACAATTTAGTAAAAGCTATTTTAATTTAATGATTTAAAATAAAAACCCATCTATAAATGATCTAAGTTACTAAATCTGTATCTTAATCACTTGTTTAGATAATTCCAGAAATTGTGTAATACTTATCAATTTTTGGCTTATTTCTTAATACTTATATCAAATTGAAAATTCTTTTTTTTTTTTATCTCATTTCTAAGTTGCCCTTTTTATCAATGTAAATAGATATGAAAATTAGCACAAATCAGACTTTTTTTTTGCTTATAGTATTACGTTAGTGAAATACATTTATGAGTATTAACGTGTTTTTGTTTTATCTATTACAAAGACATGTATTTAATTTTAAAATTAATTTTTTTTCAGTAATCTCGAATTTAAAGTGAACACGATATAATTATTTTATTTTTTACAAAAACAAATAATTGATTATAAATTTATATAATATAAATATATAATTAGAAAACTGTATAGTAAATCCTTAAAAAGATCTCCATATATAAAGAGAATGAGAAATTTGAAACAGTTTTTTTTTTTTCTACTTTAGAGATGTGAATAATGTTTTTCAACAATAAACTTTTAAATTTAAAAAAATTGTTATATTTAATATGATGTTGATTCCTCAGAAAGAAGAGATGACATAAATTTTTTGAATTTAACATCTTTTGCATCGTTTGATGGTTTTCGTTCAACAATTAATTTTCTTTTTTTTGATTGTAGATCTTTATTTGAATCACGGCCAATAACATCAATATGTTTTCGTTTACAACCATCGATATTGTCTGGTTTTTGTGTTTCTTCACGTGCTCGACTTAATTCAGCAGTGAGATCACCAATTTTTTGTTCCCATTCTTCTAAATGTTTTTTTAATTCCGCAATTTGTGTATCTTGTTCACTAATTTTTTTAACTTGCTCATGTAATTTTGAACTTTGCAATTGCATTTGAAGACCCTGTCTATTCATTCGCTGTTTCATTTTTCGCATTTGACTTTGTACTGTTACAACTAAAGTTTTATTTTTTCTAGTACGACTGTAAATTCTTTTGAATGTTTGATTTAATCGATTACTATTAAAACCATGTGATAAAACTGAACTTGAACTTGAATGCGCCAATTTTAAATTACCAGTGGGCAATTCATATGAACTTACATTATTAACCACAGAAGAACAAATGCTGTGCTTTAAATCGGGTAATATTTTTTCATCAAAATGTTCCATTGCCATACTACTAATATCACGAAGTTCTTGAAGAATTTCATGAGCACGTGGTGGTGATTTTGAGTCTGTTACCAATCGAATAACACGAAATATCTCGTCAATTACCTACGAAAAAGAAATTAATTAGTTAAAAAATAAATGATATTGAGAAGTTAAGAAAATCTTACCTTTCCGGGAATGAAGCAACAGAGATTAAGATCCACGTATTTAATAAAAGTCATATTTAACATTGAAATTCTTGTTTCAATAGCTGTTAAAATATCACAATGACGTGCCAAAGGATGACTTCGTCTTTCTGATTCTCTTCGTGGTAATTGACTTTTTACAGAGCGCAAACATTGAGCGTGATATTTTTCAATTAAATTAAAACCACGATTTAATAATTTCTTACAAATTCTATCAAATTGTTTACAAACCTAAAAGATATTTTAACAATATAATTAATTAACGAACAATTTTTTTTCGCAACAAAAATTGTTTAAATATAAAATTAAATTGTTGAATTAGAATTTTTATTTATAAAACATAAACAAAAGAAAACTAAAGGCTTTGTTATATTTTCTAGATGACTAATAATAAATGGATATCAAAGACAAAAAAAAAATCTTGTCAATTTAAAGGGAAAAAAGAGATTCCGGGTAAAACAAACTGATATCATAATTGTAGAAAATTTTCAAATATTTAAAGAAAATTGGAGCAAATTATATACAAATGTTAAAAGTAAACAGAAAAATGCACAAAAGTCAAAGACGATGACGTTTTTTTTTTAAATTATAAAAACTTGTAATATTAAATTTAGTAAAAAAATAAATGTTCTTTTATATTTGGAAGGGTAAATTATCAATTTTTCAATTACTTACAATTCGATTTTTCGCAATTTCATCAAAGGTGAGGTTAGAAAAAATCGCCTCCAAAACAACATCTGGTAGAAGAGCTAAATTTAATTCTTCATTCGAAATGTAAGACATTTTTAATAACTTATTTCTTTCGCGAATCTATCACAAAAAACTACAGCTCACTGATTGTTTTTAATCAATTGTTTTAAACGAATTAACATTTGCGTATTATGCCATGAAATATTAGAAGAAAACAATAACAAAGGCCAACAACGCCATTTTTAATTGTACTACGCACGCGTTTAAAAAGCAACTCTATTGGTCGTTCATTTTCCGCCATTAATTTTAAATATTTAAAAATAATAAAATTGAATATATATTTTCGAAAATTTTTATTGAAAGCCTTTGTTAAATTACAATGTAATGCCTATTGTCTGTCTCCTTCAGTTTTGCTTTTTATGAATCAAAATCATATACTTATGTGTACAATAATCGTGAAATCTGAGGATCATATACATTTAAATACTTTTTTTCTTTTTTTTTTTTTAAAGAAATACTTTTCATTTTTCCCTGGTAATATCGCGCGATGAAATAACATTTGCATATACGTTTAATTTTAATCAATTACTTTTCATTAACTGTACAAGATTTACCAGTTTAGGTGAAAAATGATTGCAAATAAAAAAAAAATAAATAAAATGAACAATTTAATTAATGAACGTCGATTATTGTTCTCTGAATGAATTACTATCAATAATATTAACTTCTAACAATCATTCAATTTAATAGATTCACACACATCATTCAAATTTTTTTTTTTTTACACTTGGCCAATAATTTCTAGTGAAATGCTTTCCTAACCGAAGAATAAGAATTTTATCGTGGAAATTGATATCCTCCAGTTGCATAACCAAGTCCTACGCCACGTTGCGTATGAGTTGTTGCTCTTGCTACTTCATATTGTTGCTCCATATTTGTAAACATTTCTTCTTGTTTTTTTAGAATATCAGGTTTTGAACCTTCTGTGTTTGCCGCTGGCATATCACCTTTGATACCCATTAGTCGTTTAAATTTAGCCGTTACCTTTCCATCTTGATCGTGCGTAAATGTCGTGCCCACCCACGTGTTTGATGTTGCTGTCGTTGTTGTAGAAGTTTTACTTTCATCTGGTTTCTGAAAAAAAATTAATTGTTAATACTTTTTTTTTTTTAAATAAATATTGCAAATTTCTTACCTTATTAGCCCAAAGTAATTTTCTCTTTTGTATTTGCTCGGCATATTTTCCTTGAGTTGCTGTTGTAAGAGGATTATAAAAATGTTGTTCTTGTGGATTATTGACACCACTTTCATCCTCGGGAGTTTTTAATTCAATTCCTAATTTCTCCAATTGAGCGAGTTTGCTTCTATTTTTTTCCTCTCTATAGCTCAACGATCTATAACTCGATTGATTTTTGTCTCTTGATCTCGATCTCGATTTTGTTCGATCTCTGTCCTTATTGTGATGACTCGATTTTTCATCGCGATGCCGATCCTTTGAACGATCATCTCTTGAACGACGACGATGATGATCACGATCACGATCTCTTTCTCTTCGTTTCTCTCTACCACGATCACGATCCCGGTCTCGATCTCTGTCTCTATCCCTTCGATCATCTCGATGATGACTTTTATCACGTTCATCTCGACTTGATGATACCCTGTCCCTTCTTCTTTCATCGTCGCGTGACCTTCGATCATCGTCACGTGATGATTTTTTATAATCTTTACTATCTTTATAATCGCTCCCTCTTCGATCATCGTGAGAGGATTTACGACTTTTCTCAGTAGAATGTTTACCTTTTCCATAACGATCACTTCGTTTTGATTCTTCTTGAGTATTTAAAGTGTGCTTCTCATGTTCTGGTTGCCTGTAAAAGGATTACGTTCTGCAGGGGTATACCACACAGATTTTGCATTATTATTCAGCTCGAAAGCAAGAATACTTTTTTTTGTGACTTTTTTTTGAAACATTTGGAAAACTTTAGAAAGTAAATTTAGTTTCTAAAGTTTTCTAAAAGTTCTAAACTATTTAATTTTTTAAAAAGATTGAAAAATTTGTCTCTTTAATGACAAATAAATTAAGATAAAACCCCCACGGATATTAAATGAATTTGCCACTTATAATTATATTCTCAAATCTGTATTTGAAAATAAATTAATAGTGAAAAAAAAAAAAATTTGATAGTAGTGTTATACCTCAATGGTGGAGATCTTGTAGGAGTATCTCTTTTTGGTACATTTGCATCTCGTCTATTTGGTGGAGAATGGTTTCCACGCTCGCTATTTGATTCGTCCGATGAATTATTATTGTTGCTTTCCTAAAGAATGAAAATAAAAGTTATTTAATATGTTCCTCTTTTAAAGAAAAATCGTAATTTAAATTATGTCACTTTCAAATCTGTTTTATTTTTCAATTTCTTATTATTTCTTCTCTATTTACACATTTGAAAATTCTGTCATTATTAATGAGGTCACGTAACTTTAGTAATTTTCTTAATGTTATGTAATATATAAAGAATTAAATGTTAATGTTTGTATTTAAAAAAAAAAAAATTGAATAAAGAACATTCATTACGAGATACATGCAACGTGTAGACTGCAATTTTGCAATTTCTGAATTAAGAATAATTTTATGTAATTCTTGAATTAAAATAATAAAGTTAAATTATTCAAAATAAATCCACCTTGGGAAAATATAAAAAAAAAATTCAAGGGTCTGTCAATTTAGCTCCGAATCGAGCAAAAATTTGCGTGTCACTTTATTTCAGGCTTAGCGGTTTTTTTTTTTTTTTTCATGTTAGTGTTACCTTTTTCCAGATTCCTCTACTCACCTCAGTCTTCAGGTTAGGACTTGGGGGGTAGTCTTGAAAGACCCTCGCACAGCATTGACCTTGCCGAGGTGCGTAGATGTATTATCATGTATTACCAACAGAGCTACGTGTTAATATTTTCTCACGAAATGGCACTAATCCCATTTACTTATAGTTTAAATTTTTATAATAATTCCTGTCCTAGTTATGTCAATTGTCTTTATAAAGTCATAAATTTTTTTAAGGCCACATTTCTTTTCAATCATTACCAAGACATTAGATGTCATTTGTTTTTAACTAAAATTTGGAATTTGAACCTTCTATTTTAAAAAATAAATTACATTCTTTCGAAATTTAATAAAAAAAAATTTGTCTCTAATCTAAATGATTAAAACAAGTAAAAAAAAACTCGTCATTTCTTTTGGTAATCACGAAAAAAAAATCATTAGTACAGCCCAAAAAAATGCCGAAATGGGTAGAGGAAAATCCTAATCATCATTTATATTATATTGACTTGGTCAAGGTCCAAAATATTATTCCATTATTTATAAACTAAGTATAGAGAAAAAAAGAAAACTTGTATACTCGTTATACCTCACTCATGTCCATTTGTACTGGATCGTAATTTGCATCACTAGCCCTTCTGTTCGTTAGACTGCCACTTTCTTCAGCAAACATCTTGAAAACAGAATAAATACTATCCAATCAGCCTGTAACTTGATCTCCTTTACCAAAATTAGATTGTCTAAATAAAAAAAATTTCTTTATAAATATTAAAAAATAAAATTTGCAAAATTTAATTAAAACTTACACAACTCAATCAAAAATCAGTATAAGATAAAATTATCGATGATACTTTATACCATTATTAAATAAATTTTATGTATACAATATTGATTTTGCGTAACATAATGTAAATATTCAAAAAAAAAAAATTACCTAAAACTAATCTGAAATAACATATTTAAGGTTATGGAACGATATATATTTAATTTGAATTATTTTTGATTCATTAAGAAACTTGAGAAAATTAATTAAATAATGACATTTATATATATATAGGTGTGTAGTGAAAATATACAATTTACTTACTCCATGTCATTCATGATTTTAAATTGACAAATTCATTAAATACTTCAGTTGTATAAACATAAAACAATTTGATCCTACTAATTTAGATATTGTTTTGATATTAAAAAATACAATTTTTTAATGAGCTTACCTTTCCATCGATAGAATTATTACTTTTTTCACCGTCACTAGCATAATTTAATAAAGAATCCATAATGGCGTATGTTATAACAGCAAAAAAAAAAACAGGAAGTACTAGGATGATGAGAGGACATGCGCAGTATATAGCGTGCGCAGTTACTAGTGCGCAATATCGATTGTGTTTATCGAATATCGTAAATTTAAATTTAAAAAAAGTTTTCATTGTATAATTTTTGAAAAACATAATTGTTAAAATATGTTAAATAAAATTTTCTTATATTGAAGGAAAAAAGAAAGAACAAACAAAATTAAGGTTAAATTATTGTGTATGAGACGAATATTACTTAAATATTAGTAAAAACTTATTTTTTTCATTGACGAAAATAAATTAATCGTTTAAAAAATGATTGAGAAAATGAAAGGAAAATTAATAAGTTTTTCAATCAGATCAACTTTTTACTGACATTTCTAAGAAATATTAATTTTTACTTATTTTTACTCAGAAAAATTAAATTATAAATATTATAATGTCCAGTACTTTATAGGTAATTTTATTACCTTTTTATTACCAAAATATAAATTTTGTATTTAATAATCATAATTACTATTAATATGATTAATTAATAATTAATAATTAATTATTATAAGAATGTGAAATTAAAATTTTAAGGAAATATATTGTAATTTAAATATTTAGAATATCAAATATTATTTAAAAAAAAAAAATAATATAATTTTTCTATAAAGATTTGTTGCCATCGACTTTTAGATGCAGAGAAGAACGACTCAGTAAAAGCCGGGACGCAACAGTCTTGCGGTAGATTTGCTACAGTACACATCGTTTCTCGTTGCTTTCGCAGTGTTTATTATATCAAAGTGCGCGTTTTCAAACTTTTGCCACAGCTGATTTTAATAATTAGTGCATGAAGACATTAAATTATTTAAATACAGTGCAATCAAATTTTTGGATTATTTTTTATTTATTCACATTCTCAATATCCAAGTAAGTCATATATTATTTTTAACTTTTATAATTTTATTACTTACTTCCGTATTTAATTTTTGACCATATTGTTTATGGGTTTGATTTCTTTTAATATAAACAACCATTATTTTTTTTTAAATATAATTAATTAATTTTTTTAAAAGATTTGATTTAGTTTTGAAATTTTAAATTCAACGTATTTAATGTTTTCATTTTCGTTCTCTTTACATTATTTATTATATATGATTAATTAGTTTCAATTAATTATTAATATTAATTATTTATTTTAATTATTATTCTTTTAAATGTTTTATTTTTATTATTGCATTATACATTTTGAGATTTTTTTTCTTATGAATTAATTTTGTATTAAAATTTCTCCAAAATTATGCAATATTCTAATTTTAAATGTAAAAAAATTTTTACTGACCAAATAATAAGAAAGCAATATTTTGCAATATATAACTAGATTGAGAAAAATGTTTTATACTTCTATTACAAAAGGGCAGAAAAAATCCACTATACATATATGTATAGGTTTATCGTTTATATATAAATATTAGAAATGTATAACTTTCGTTCGAATTTAAAATTCAAATTCAATGTCGCAAACTGTTTTTTTTTTTTTTTTAGCATTCTTAATGCTTTCTTTTCACGAAACAGTATATGTATAAAATGGAAAAAGCGATTCACTGAATATCTTTATCATTTTCTTAAAAGTCCTTTCCCCTATTTGAATCTACTTTGACACGCAAAGTTCTATACGTGCAACGACGACGGTTTTTGCGAGTCTACAAGCGTCGAAATTCCGGAAGCACATACACAACCCCTCCAAACAGTGGCAGCAGTTGTATTATTGCACGAGGGGTAGTTTTATTGGATTCTAGATTGTGTCGAAATGAACTTCAAAGAGAATTGTATGAAATTTATTATTATTCAACAATGGATTCTCATACTTGTAATTTTAGAGTCGAGTCTCACACGTCGTTTTATCAGATGTGATTATAGTGAAAAAAGTTCTCAGGTCCATTCAAACCACTGATTGACAGTAATGTGATGATCACAATCTCACGAATTATTATCAATTTATAACTATTTTAAACTCTCTGTTTGTCTTTTTCTATTTATAATAATTACAAAAAATACATTTTTCACAATTTTTTTTCAATCATTTTACAATTTTTAATTATTAATTATTAATTAATTTAGATTTAAAGAAGAACGATTCTTTTGTTCATGAAACATTTAAAGTTGTTATTTTAATTTCCATTATGAGTGATAATTTTATAAGTGACCTCTTTTATATTTATGAATTTAATATGAAGCGATATGCATCAGATTAATTATAAAATTATCTTCCTTTTAAATGTGACGATTTATTTTTTAAAAAATAAATCAAATTTGAGTGTCAAGTAAAATAATTAATTTTTTGGTTCTTCTTTTTTTCTCGAGATTTCGAGTCAGAAACTTGAGACAGTGTTATCTTTTGTTTTTAAGCTCGCTTCAAGATTTTCATCAAACTGCATTTTAATTTACAACCCCTCTTTTTTTTTTTTGCGCAATTCAAAGGGTTCTTTGCCCGTCGTCAACGACGACATTCACTCGTGTAATAAAAGTTTTCGCACAAATGCGCCGTTTTTACGTTCTCTGAGTTCGAGTAAAACATTTAACCATCAACATTTGTGTAAGCATTTTTGTGGCCTATGAATTTCTTGAAAATTTTCAAATTGAAATTTCAAATCAGAAATATTTGTATATACATAATATTATAGAGAGCAAAATAGAGCGATATAGTTTCTGTAGTAACGAAGCGAATATTGTAGAGTAGCGGGCGCACATGTTGCTGGCTTTTATTATTATCTACTCTATCTAACTATATACAAATGTCGAATACCATTGTAGACCTCAAAAGGGGGACGAATTCTAATTGTAAAATGTCACGGTGTTCTCTCAACTAATTTGTCATTTGGCTTTTTTTTTTTTTGAAAATGATCCCTGAAATAAAAAACAAATTTCATTTAAATGAAATAATATCTTTTATATATTTCTTTCTTTAATTAAATTAAAAATTTTAAATTAAAATTTTAATTTAAAAAAAATTTTTTGATAATAAAATTATTTACTTTACAATTAGAATAAAAAAAGTTACCATTTAAATGAGACTGGTGAGAGAAATTTTCCAAATTGTTTTTCTTGTTCTATTGTGGACGAATGGGAGCTTCTTCGGTATGATGTAAAAAATTGTAAACGCAAAGCTTTATTCAAAATGTAAATGTAGTAGCATATTGTAAAAACACGGAAGAGACGGTTAGAGATCTTGAAATGTTGTTAAGCCATTTCCCAGAGGTTCTTTCTCAGTTGCTCTACCTCCATAATTCTTTGTCCTTTTTTTATTCTCTTTCCTGGTCACTTGCCCTCGCGGTACCTTTCGCGTATGTAGACCTCTCACCATATATATATATATATATATATATAAAACGCATCACCAATTTACAGCAGATAATCGCATCGTTCAAAACATAATTTTTTATTTTTTTTTTTTATTTTATTTTCATCTGTAAGTTTATTTGTTACGCTTGAATTAAAATTTCCGAAGAGATAATAGAAAGAAGAAAAAGGATGAAATTTTTTTTTCTTATTTCTTTTTCTATTATTATTTCTTTCTCTGATTATTCCTCTTCTTCTTCTTCTTCTTCGTTACTCTGCAATTAAAAAATTCAACTATAATTATTTTTTTTAATTGTTTTTATAATCTCATTAAAAACACCTTAATGTCTAAAAATAAAAAATTAAATAATAAAATCAGTTTTAAGATTACAAAAGGAGAAAATTTGTCATGGCTCAGCTAGGGGATAAAATTTATGAATTGGATGAATTTCATTTTATATATACCGGAAGGGTTTACGCAAAGAATTCAGACGAGTTTAAATTCATGGATTCCCCTCGAAAGAAAGAAAGATTGTATTGCTGAGGACGTTTTAACGGTTGAACAAAGATGACGTGAGCACATTTATGGTAGATAAAAAAAAAAAAAAATTCAAATAATTTCGTTTACGATCTCGAAAATTACACTGATACGAATTGTTTCAAAACGAAAAAGGGTTTAGTCACAAGTATATAATAATAATAATAATAATAATAATTGCTTCGAAAACAATAGACGGAAAAGAAATAAATAGTACGATTTTTAAATATCTACATCCTCACTGCTATATAATTTTTTCATTTGTTCAGTGATATTTTTATTATTCACTTAAAAAAAATAATTTACCATTTTAGGACTTTTTAATTATATGAATTAATATAATTAACTATTTTTAATAATTAATTTTTAATTAATTTTTAATAATTATTATTAAATATAGTAAATAATATTAATTAAAAATGTAAAATTTTTCTAATTGATTTTGCATAGGAAAAAAAAAGAATTTTATTTTTTCAAGACTATTTGAGTGTTATAGTGCGATTTGTCCAGCCCTGTATATATATATTTCTCTTTTACTCTTGCCAGGAAACTCTTGAGTATTCGCGATTCCGTTATAGTATATCCACGAGTGTTTATGTCTGAAGTAACTTTAATGTTCTTACATATATATTCATTGAAAAGGGCATAAGAAAGGGCGATTCCTGCGGGAATTATCCTTTTTATTTCCCTAAAGAGCAAAAAAAAGCGGAATTATAAAATTTTTAAGCTCAGCTATTTTATGGACGTAGAATATAATAAAATAAATAATAGTAATAAAAAAATTTTACTTTCTTTTCGCAATAATGAAAGAAAATGATATAATAATTTATTGATAAATACCGTTATTTATATTGTACATATATGAATTCATCTCTCAAATTCTGATTTCAATCAATGAGGTAACAAATTTAATTAGGTCATGGTCTGTAGATGTAGAAAAGCCTTGATGGCAATAGTTTCATTAAAGTCTTCCTGGGAGGCGCGCAGAATGATGGTTCATTAGAATCTAATCATTTGCAAGTCACCACAGCATTTGTGTTTCTTATTTTTGTTAATTAATTTTTATTTACTCTCTATCGTAGAAACTTTTTCATTAAATTTTCATAATGAATACCATCCAAACTAGAATTCAAAAATAATGATGATAGATTTATATTTGAGTGAACATTTCCGCGCGCCTTTTAACCCGCATGTGTTCGTCAAACATGATGATATCGTCATCCGGCTAACGGAATGAGCTTGTGTCTCATTGTCAGGATTTATACTCCAGAGAATACATCGTGTCCCAACAAAGAAAGCATTAGCTCAAAAAGCTGCAACTGAAGGCCTCCTTTTTCAATTTAATGTTGCCTATATTCTATTGTGGCGGACAACTTTTCTCTCTCAAAAAAAAAGATATTGATGGTCTCGTGCGTGCCCACTAAAAAAGAAAAACATTAAATTCGCATTATTTTCTTTGCACATTTTTCATTAGACTAAATAATAATTATATTTGAATTATAAATATAATTTGCAAATAAATTTAAAAAATAAAAGAGAAATTGAAAAATTATTTTCTGAAAAAAATTTTCGGATAAAAGGAAACAATTATTATAAAAGATTAAACCGAATCGCGAAGCAAAAAGAATAAAGAGAAAAAGGAACGTGATCAAAAAAATGTGTAAAAAACGAGTCTCTAAAGACCCTAAAAGAGGGGCATAGAAATTGAAGGTATTGTATTTATAACTTGGTGCATAATCAAAAACTGCAACTCGTATATTGTCCAAATTCACGGTTTGAATGAAGGATCAATATACAAATTGAGCAAATGTGTGTATATATAGCCCCATTGAATAAGAAACTGGTTTTCTTTGAAAAAATTCTCTTCATCACAAAGCGACATTATTGCAGAATGAATTTTATTTTTCTATATATATATATATATATAAAGAGATGTATTTAATCTCTGAGAAAATATTTTATTTAAAAAATTAATTCAATTATTTATTAATTTTAATTTTTATTATTATTTCTCAATTTTAATTTTAATTATAAATTTCTGACTCCAGACTCTACTCCTTGTTCAGGGTATAATATGTCTTCGTGTTTTTGACTTATTGTTTTTTATTTTTTATTTTTTATTTGTATTATATTTTATTTGGTTTTGTATATTTTTTTTATAGACTCCCTGAAGAGGAAATCATTTCGATTTCGAAACTTTGGAGTAAATTAAAAAATTTTTTATTCTTTGTCCGAATGTTTTCATTTTATTTGCCCTATTTAATAAAAAATATTAATTTAAAATTAGAAATAGGCGATAAAAAAATTTTGTAATTAGAAAAAATTGCAAAATTCTTAAGAATATTTTCTATTTTTCATTTCTTTTATATTCATTCCTTTTTTTCAAAAAAGGAAAATAATATTTTCTATACAAATTTTTTTGTTTTCTATACATCTTTACGCATGACGTGAAAAGTTGAAGGAGATTTTTTTAAACTTGAATGAAGCTTTAGAAATCAGAAGAATATCTTCTACTTTTGCTTTTGCGGTTGCTCACACCTGGCAAATCTATACTTCTATTTCTTCTAGTATCAATAAAATTTATCCACAAGGCATTCACAAAAAACTAAATAAAGATCTAAAAATTTTTTTTTAAATGTTTATAAAAAAAAAATGAAATATTTTTATATTTTCAAAAAAAAGAGTGTAAAATTAATTATTTAATTATATTATTAAAAATATATATTACATATAGTTATAGTATAATATTTGTAATAAACTAGTTGTATATTTTTCTTACAAACAGTAATAGTTTGCATGCAGTTTACACTATCTAAGAACTAGAATAATTACGTATTTATGGGTTTTTTTTTCAAACCGAGAATGAATAAATATGGAAATTTAACTATCTATGTAACGTCATCGCTGGGTTTAAACTACTCGAGTTTGATATTTTGCACTCACCGAAAATCGCGAGTAAATATTCACTTTCAGACCAAATATTATCGCCTTGCTTATTTAATATTTCAACTAAAAATAATTTTTATGAATTTTTTTTTTAAAGTCTACTTTTTAAGTAAGATTTGAAAATTTTAATTTAATATTAATTAAATTGCATATATCTATAGTTTTAGAAAAAGTGAATAAGGAATTTAAAATTCTAATAATGTTGAAGTATGTGCTCTCTTTTCATAAACAATTACTCTGTAATGTAAATAATCATATTGCCTTTCACAATTTTTTTTTCTTACGGTTCTACAACGAAAAATGGAATATGACATATATATTTAATCGTTCTCAGAAAATCAAGAGAAATTACTTAATTTAAAATTTTTTTATGTCAGCATAATTGTACTTCTGACGATAAAATATATCGTTTGGATTATTGTTTAAAGACACATTTTTGTGAAAAAAAATTTACATTTATAAAAATTTTGAAAATATCTTCAAAATTGCTAATTGAGATCAAAATAATGAAAAAAAATTGTTATCTTTTTTTTGTTCAAAATTCTAAATTTTAATAATAATATAATCGGAATTTTAATTTGGGAAAATTTGAAATTCACAGTAATCTATAATATTTGATGAAAGCACGCATTTCGGTAATAAATTTACTTTTTTCACGCACAATAACGTGACATAAAAGATATCTTTCAGAATCGTGTATTTTTGTGAGATGTTTATCTTTGATTTCTTACTATAGACCACGCAAATCCCCCAACCGAATTGGGTTAATGAGTAAAACTGAATTTCTAAATGGATCATCCAATTTAATATTAAATTTATTTACTGATAAATCAATATATTTAATATTTTAATTTATGTTCAATTTAGAATATTTATTTTTTTTTGAAATTAAAAAATGAAATTTATTACGATAAATAAATTTTTGTTTTTACCTCAATTTTTATCGGTTCATTATTTTTTTAAAATTAAGTTAAAATTGCAATTTTACTCAGGAAAAAAAAAGTAATGAGGCTTCCATACACAACATCGTTAACCTATTTAGTTAATTCTTGTTCGTATGGAGGTAATATTTTCTTTTATCTGACATTTAAAAATAAATGTATAAAATTATTTGCCCAATAAATAAAAAAAAAAAAAAAAAAAATGTTACGTTATTTTTATTGTGATTTATTGCATTCCAATTGATTAATATGAATTTCCTTTCCCTTTGTGAATGTGAATGTTAATCGTTGTAAATGACTTTTAACCAGATCGTCTGTTCATGTTGATTGAATAAAAGAGGCGGACATTTAATTGTAAATAGAGAAGAGATGAGACAAAAAAAAAAAATAGTGATCTCGTATGTCAATTATGTCGCTTCTGATTCTTATCTCAGTACCAATCACATCCTTGATGAAATTGGATACTAAAGGATTCAAAAGATAACTTTTCATAGCAAATTATTTAAATATTATTCAAATAAATAATTATTTAAAAATTTTTTCAATTATTTACATTAATTGTTACTAATTAAATTTTTCCAATGAATTTTTTTTTTCATTTTACTTTTCAATTTATATGTTATACAATTCAATTTAGTTCTTTGAAAGAGATTGCATTGAAAATCAATTAGGAATTCTGCCATCAGACATTTTCAAACATTTGATTATAAATTTTCCAATTTCTTTTTCTATTATTATTTTAAATTTCTGTTAGTATGGATGGATTTGTCAATATGTTATTTGGATTTTTAACGAAATCTCCACTTTTTCCCCCCGAGGAGAAAAAAAAAGATCAAAATTTTCTTTCGCAAAATTAAAATGAAATTAATTTTGCAAATATTTACCTCTTTTTTTTTAGTGAAAGTAATTCCATACTTGAAAATAAAGCCTAAGCTGAATGACAAGCAATACTGCTTTTTAAGAGAGAGACACAGAGACGTTCTCAAGTTTCTTCTTCGCAATTTCGAGATTCATTTTGAAATGTTTACCCTATCCTTCCATTCAACGTGAAAAGATAGATAGTCTAGAGCCATATTCATCTATTTCGATATATTTTAGATTCTTTAAGGTACTGTGTGTACTCACGTCTTCACGTGTTCGCCTTGGCTTCTATATTGTGTACAAAAGCCAATGTGATTCAAAAGAAAGTGGGTTACATAGTAATTTCATTTACCTAGTCAGTATCAGTGCTTAAGTCTTAAGCCAATTTTTCCATCGACGTTCAGTATATTTTTTCTTTCTTCCTGTAATCAATTGACGAAACTTTAATGAAAATTAATACAAAAATTAACATAGAAAAGTCATTATTTGAATAAATAAAAATACGAAAAAAAATAAATTTGTATTCAAATTATTTTTAAAAAATTATTGCATTTGAAATATAAATTAATTAACAATGAACAACAAAAACAGATTGTTTAAAAAATATTAATAATGTTACCTTAAAGCTTTCATGATCATTACGGAGAAATTAAAAAGTGGAATCGAGAACTGGTTTGACAAGTTGAACCAACAAAGTGATACAATTGTATATGTTTGTTAGTTCCAGTCGATTACAGACCAGTTGTGAGTTTGATTCGAAAGAAGAGAAAAATTCACTCTTTCATTTTTGGCCTCTCTTGCAAAAATGAATGGTGAAAGTTGATTATTTTTTCGGAAAAATATTAGATAATAGATTTGAATTAAAATATTTCCAATTTCTTGTATATATATTTATATCTTTTATTATTATTATTTTCCTGTAATTTTTATTACTAATCACGGATACATCAACAAGAAAATCAAGTTTTCTTCTTTTTCTTTCTGGTTGAATAACTCTTTTCTGACCTGAAAATTATTGAATTATTCTTGTTGTTTAATAATAGTGTCAACATTTCAATTTAATATCTTGGAAAATAGTCCACATCATTTATGTTTTTTACCTCAATTTACACAATTATGTCTGTGAACTACTTGTTTCATTAATAAAAGTGCATTATAGAAAAAGTTTATCTTTATTAAATGAAAAATTTAATTTAATTAATATTGAATTAAAAAATTTAAATAATTTCAAATCGATTTATTTTCAAAATAAAGTTTAAATCACTCTAAGGACATTAAAATTTTTTACTTACCTTTTTGTATGGCATATAAAAACTTTTACAGCTTTCTTACCGGAAAATAATTATAAAATGATTTCAATAGAAGAAAAAGAACTTTACACTTTCTTTGAAAAAATTGTGAGAAGTTGAGTTTTCTCAACAAATAAAATGAATCTTCAGATGTAGGAAATAAAATTGTCGTTAGTTAAAAATGATAATAAATTTAATAAAAAAATTAATGATCCATTTTGTTCATCTTGTCATCGACCTCTTTCACTTCCTTTATTTCTAGTTCATATAACGCTTCGTTGCTTCTTCTTCCCTCTGATACTTCATAATACAAAAAAAAAAATCTATAATGTCCAACAATTCTCTTTAAAGTTTCATATTTTGAGATTTAAAAAACAAACAAAAAGAATTTTTTGAATTCAATAAAAGTACGGAAGATTAATCAACAGATTCTTTTTTTTTATACCTTTTGCTTTTTATTCTCCTCCTTGGAAGTGTATATATCTCCTTTCATTCTTATTTCTATCCAAGTAAACTTACACTTGTGCTTTCTATATCAAAAGCCCTGTGAGAGGAAATCTCGTCTTGCAATTCAAGAAGAGCGTGCTAAAATATTGAAGAGCTGCGACAAAATAAGGGATGGATCAACTGGTCGTCCCTTTATTGTTTCGAATTCTATAAGCACTTAAAGACCTTAAAGCAGAAAAGACACTGTATATAAGCGTAAGAATTTTTTTTTTCAATTATTTTTACAAATAATTTTATTAGAAAGTTTATTATAATAATATAAAACATTTTTTAATAAAAAAATGTTTTTATCAGAAAAATTATTTCCGAAAAAGAACGTTTGTATTTTTTTGCAAATATTTTTTTTTTTTTTTATCAGGCAAAATATAATTGTGAGAAATTTGAGAAAGGTATAAAAATGTTGGAAAATATAGTGTAGGATGTAAGCTTGTTAAGATCAACACTTACCCGTTATGTTGCGTACTTCCCCTCAGTTGTTAAAATTTATGAAGCACTGTCCAATTTGTATAACAATGCGAACGACTCTTAATTGGAGCAGAAATTCTGGGTAAAATTTAATAAAACAAAAAATCCCTTTAAGAGATTTTATTATTTTCTACCTGCGCCTGTAAAATTAAAAAATTAATTATTTTTTCAAAAATATAAAATTTATATTAAAAAAAAAACTGCATTTTGAAATGAAAGTTTTATAACGAGTTTTATAATGAATAAAATGAACATAATGTAGGATATTAAATGTTTATTATATTCACGTGTTTATTAAAAGGCTAGTTTTATAATTAATGACATAATAATCATTTTAAGTTTGTGATCATTTAAATATAATGACAGGTATCATAATTTCTTCTCATAAAATTATAAAAGTCATACATCCGACTATAAAAAGAATCAAAAGTGTTATTCGGTGATTACGTAATTCGCAAGTTTCGTCATCTTTATTCAGAAGTCGCTATTAATAAATTCAATGATATTATAGAATACTTATAGAAATCAAAATGTCAAAATCAATTACTTTATTGAATATTCAAATGCTTTAAATTGTGTTTTAATTTTGAAATTAAATTAATTTTTTTTTATATGACAATTTTGTTTTTTTACAATTAAAAGAAAATAATGTCAATGATGATAATTATTTTACAAAAAACAATTTTTTTTTTATTACAGATAAGCAGTTCAACTGTGAAGATGGAAAAAAGAGAAAAATCGTCAAGAAAATTAATAATGAATTAATTCGATCAATTTGAATTGTTTTAAGTAATATTGTATTGGGATATTTAAAAAATGACGTCGACTACAGATTTACCTAAGGAGCCAATTACACGCAAGAAAATATTCAATCCAAATCTGATATCATTAAAATGTCTTCTCTTCCTTTTTTTCGGAGGTAAAATTTTTCAAAATATACCGCAAATAATTTTTATTTAAAATGAGAAAAAAATATGTTCTTAATTTTCTTTTTAAAAAGTTTAATAATAATATTAATAATTTAATAATAATTTAATGATTTTTTCTAAAAAATTGCATACATAATTTTAAACGCTTTTTTTTTATTTCCTAGTACATTGTAGTGTATTATTTATGAAGAACATTCTTCTTCGAGTTTATGAAGTAGTAATAAAAATTATTTCCCTTTAACACACACTTACTTAATGTATTACAGCATTGTGTTCTCTTTATGGTTTGAAGTTTCAACACCCCTCGATTATTAGTTTCTAATGGATTACTTCCATATTTAGCACCCACTTCAAATCAATAATTAATTAATTACAGTAGCGTTATGAAAAAATTTAAAAACTCATCAATCAACATTGATTTTGGCGAGAAAAATAAAAAATATTTCTTTACATTTACAAAATTATTCAAATATTCAAAATATGTTTATAATATTAATTTTTTACAATAAAATAATAAATTCTGTTTAAAAAAAAAATAATAATTCTTTAAAAATGAAATTTTTTAAAATTCAATTAAATTTCATAGAACAAAATTCGAAACTTACAGGAATGGGATGCCTTTTTCCTTTTCTTCCACTGCACATGACAGAGGTGGGCCTAACGAGAAATAAAATAGGAATAGTTTCAATGGCCTCAGCAGTGGTAGCAATTTTGGGACCATTAATTGCAGGACCATTGGCTGACAAAATGGCAGGTCATCAGGGTTCAAATGACAAATCATCAACTGGTCGTTATCTTCGTGTAATGATAGCAGTTGTTTGTGTTTTTTCAGCACTTTTTTATTCCCTTCTATTATTAGTGCCAGCAACAAAAATTGAACTCTCACAAGAGCGTAGTCCATCATTAAATTTTTCTTGCGATCAAAATGGAGCAATTGTCTATCAGGAGAGATGTAAAGACACAAAAGATTGTCATCGTTGGATTGAAGAACGTCTTGGAACAATTGTCTTAACAAAATGTCAATATGTCTGTCATTCAAAAAAATTAAAAACTTCTTATCGACAATTCTCTCATTCATCGGATAGTAACACAGAATATTCACTCGACGACGGAAGTGGCGATATCACTGTTGCACCGCTCATTGTTCCCGAATCTTTGTTACAGGTCTGAAAAATAATTCACACATAAATTAATAAATAATAAAAAATATTAAAATATAAATAATAATATAATAATTATTTTTTGTAAAAAAAAACTGAATTCTTTTTGAGATTGTAGAAAATAAAATTAATGTTAAGTAAACTTGGCAAATGATAACATTTTACAGGAACAATATGATAAAAAGTCGCTACTATCTGTCAACATGGATAGAACTCCACCTCATATATGTTATAAAAATGCTGAAGAGGGAAAACTTTGCCATGCTTTTACCAATAATACAGAGAGAATTGCAGTTAATGCTACCCTTGGGCAACCGACCAACACTGAAGAAGTTGACGAGTGGTGTGCTTATCCGGTTTCTGATTACTTCAGTTGTCGAATTCCTTCCAGTCTACAAACTATGGAAATTAACAAGTCTTGCTCAGTTCAATGCAAATTGGAAAATCCTTACACAACACCTGGTAAATTATTACAATTATAGTATACTTATAAAATTCCAAAAAAAAATTTTTGAATTTAAAATATATATTTTTTCGAAAACTATCAATTTTTCAGGAAACGTACTTGAAGAGAGTTTATGTGGTCAAATAATAGGAAATCCACAGTTAACTTTTTGGATGTATCTGGTGATTCGTTCAGTGGCTGATATTTTTCCAACAGCTGCAGTTGTTCTTCTTGATGCGGCGGTTGTTATAGCAACACGAGAAACGTCTTGTGGAAGAGGCGATGTCGGTCGTCAACTTGCTTTTGGATCATTGGGTTTTGCTCTTTTTGGTCCATTAACAGGATATTTGACCACTATTGTTCCAAAAAGCTCAGTCTATTATTTGCCAATTGTTCTTCATTGTTTGATGGTTCTCCTAGCAGCATGCGTGGCCCTTTCTGCAAATGGTGTGTATAAAAATTAAATATAATTATAAAAAATAAAAATTTAAAAAAAAAATCTTCTTTCATTTTTAGGAATGCCATTGAGTCCTCCCGAATGGTGGTGGCAAACAAGATGTGGAATGCTTGCTCTTCCAATGAGTGCAGTCAAAAGATATGGTAGCGAAACAGCAGCTCTTGTTTTTGTCCTCATCATTATGGGAATATTCTGGAGTGCAATGGACACCTATCTTCCTTTGTAAGTAATAAAAAAAAATTCCAATTCCCTAGAAAATTAATTTTTATTTAATGAAAATTTAAAAAAAAATTGGTTCTTTCATGTCATTTTGAAAATTTTCAGACAAAAAAATAATTATCTATTTGTTACGATTAGATACCTTACACAACTCAATGGCGATGAACTCTCAATAGGAATTGTCCTAACAGTTGGCGCCTTACCAACTTTACTTTTTCTTTGGAAGTCAGAACACCTGGTTGATTATTGTGGACATAGCAATCTTTTTATTTTAGCATTTACCATTTACATAGTCAGGTAATTTAATTATTTTAAATATTCTCTAATATTTTACGCTATTATAAAAACAAAAGAATGGGAAATTAATTCATATAAAAGTAATTTAAGACAAAAATTTCAGATTCACTGGTTTAAGTCTGGTACCTGATCCTTGGTGGGCCTTGATCTCAGAAGCATTGGAACTTTTCACCTTGGGCATTATGTGGGTGACTGCAATTCTCTATTTAAGACACTTAGTACCTCGCAATATGACAGTTACTGCACAAGCATTGCCTGTGATCGCCCATTTTTGTATTGGTAAATTTTTTTATTGTACTTCTTTTTTTTATTTTTTATTTTTAAATAATAAAATTTTAATTTCTCACAGGTCGTGCACTTGGAGCTGTAATTGGTGCATACGTCGATATTAACGAAACAAATATCGTTGAATCTTTGAAGTATGTTTATCGTTGTATGGCTGGATCTGCAGCTATAATAGCAATAATTTATTTTATTCTTTATCATGGACTATTGAAACCAAAATGTCATGCCCAAAATGTTCAAGGAACGCGTCAACAACCTTCTGTTGTTCAAGGTACTGAAAAATTAAACAATTATTATTAATTCACTATTCATTTCATTCAAATTATCATTTTTTCTCATTTTTTTACCATTCAAGCTGCAATTGAAGAATATGAACAGAGTAAGTTAACATAAAAGAAAATGATTCTATTAAAATAAAAATCGATATACAAATTAATTGATAATGAACGAAAAACTTTTAAATTAAAAGAAATTTTTTTTTAATTAATTAACTAATTATAATTTTTTTTTTTTAGCAATGAATGGAAATGGAAGTTACACACCATTGAGAGTTTATCATAATGGTATGGCGAAAAAAGGAGAATTTCGATACTGAAGAGGCAATTAATTTTAGTTGGTGCTAAAGCTTTTTCTTAATTTACTTCTTTAAAATATTGCAACAAGTGATCAGTATACCAACGATTTATAAATTATGTATTAAAAAAAAAGTTAAACTGTGTGTAATTTTTTTCGAAAAATGATCTTTTTAAGTTTGCGTTTATTGAAAAAAATTGCAATTTTCAAATTTGCACGATTTTTTTTTTTTTTTTTAATAAAATAGGTACATTTTTTTTTTTTTTCAATAAGTGCATTATTTATAACAGAGTCATAAACATAAAGTGCTATTTTGCAAGAGAAAGAATGAATGTTTCAATGCGGAATGAATGGAAAATTTGTGAACGAATAGATAGTTATTTTCTTACTTGAACAATTAGATTTCATACAGTTTTGTATACGTATAAAAGAAAAAAAGAATCTCATAATATATTGACCGTAAAAGTATAGTTTAAAAGGCTCGTATTCTAATTTATTATAAATGTTTTCATTTAATTTTTTTTTTTTTAATTTAAAAACAATTTTATAAAAAAATACGAAAATTTTAAATTGTAAGCCTTTCCTTATAGAATTTTTATAAACATTTTCTTGCCCCTTATTTGTTTTCGTTAAAATGCATTTACATAGTAAAAAAAAGCGTTAATATATTAATGATTAATATATATATATATATTATTAATTATACATTAAGTCAGGTACATATCTATGTATTTATTGTATGCTTTAATATTTTTATACTTTCCACTTTCCAAAGATGGAGAAGATAGCACTGCTACTTGATGTCGATTATTGGATATGTACTTGAATATCTCAGTGTGCCTGAATGAATTTTAAATCTAAAGTAATATCATGAAAAAAAGTTTTCCATTACAAAAAAAATCTTGAATCCTATAATTAGTTTTAAAATTTATTTAGTTACACTGCATAAAATTGTCAACATTATCAAAATGATGACTTTGGTGCATTCACAACGAATTTAATGTACTTGATTCTTCAGTGTGTAAAAAATTGTGTTCAATAAAGAAGATTTCAAGAAAAAAAAAATTAAAAATTGAAATCTAAATTTTTAAATTATCCAAATTTTAATTTTTAATTTTAATTTTTTTTTTATTTTAAATTAAAAATTCAAGCATTTGTAGTCTTTTTTTTCTAAAAAAAAGTAATGAATAACACATTCATTTAATTCATAGTAAATTTATTAAAGAAGAGCAAGATTCTAATATTTCTATAGGCCTAAATTTAAAAAAAAAAATTTTTTTTTTTGAAACTAACAAAAACAACCTCTTGCTTTTACTATATATATATATAGGCCTGCTTTATTTCTCATGCAGACTTGCAACACATATCCTCCATTATTATTTGACAATGTAACTAAGAAAACAAAATAAATTTAAATATTTTTATCAATACTAAACACTCTCTCATTTTTTTTGTATTCATACACTTTTTTGTTGATGAAGAGAATTAATTCTCAACTTTATTTTTACACGTTCCAGGTATGAAATATCGTGTGCATACCATCTCATTTTATATATAATTCTCCTTACGCACATATATAATAATGTATATTTCTAATTATGTATATATTTATATATATATGTTTATATATTTAGACAGAAAAAATTATCCTTTTTAATAAGTTGCACATTATCAATATTTTTCATTAAAATAGTGAAATGGAGGGCAGTGAAATATGAATTAATTTTACGTTATATTAATAATATGTATAGAATGCAGTAATGAAAAAAAAAAAATTCACATTATTTACAAAACGAAATTAATATAATATAAGAAAAATTGAAACGAATGAGTGCATTGACTCATGACTGCGAATAATTTACAGCGATTTTAAAATCTTACTTTTTATGCACAAACAGAATGTCAAAAAAAAAAAACAATATTTGGAGTAGAAAAGTGTGAAATATTTTAAGGCTATAAATATTTTTTTTTAATTCATTTTACATCATTCATCTTAACTCACAATTATTATTTATAAAATTGTAAATTCTGCGAATGAAATTATTCATGTCCGACATTCAATTTTTATACGTACAAATTCAAAACGATTCTTTTTTAAACAACTTGTTTTAATAATACATACATGTTACCAATTCTCTTTTTTACTTCCCAGACAAATATTTTCTTCAATACCAAAATTCAAATATGAAAAATAGTATTAAATTTAAATTAGATTTTAAATTAAAAACAAACCTTTCCCGATTATTTGTAATTGTTATTTTTTAGTTTCCTTGTTATTTGATGAACATTAAAATAAAGAAATCGATATTATTGAATTTATAAAGAAATGGTTTTATAAACATAAATTTAATTATTTCCAATAATAAATTTTTAATTATTATAAACGTAAATAAAACGTCAAGGAAAGTTGTCATTATGATAAAGTATCGTTGGTTATGCAAAAAATACAGCAAAAGAGAAGCTAATTTAAAAATAATAATGAGTTCTCAACGTTTCTTTTTTCCGCAATAACTTGTGCAACTTTCCTATGCAAACAAAATTTTCAATAAACTTAAAATAACGACAACATATAAAAATATTTAATATTCATAATTTTTTCTACAGTAACATTATTAATGAAAATTGAAAACTTAAGTTTTTTTTTATTTCATGAAAGTTTTACTTTACTAATAATATGTTATTTTATAATTGTAGCATTTGATAAAAATATTATACTTCTATTTTTATTTTCTTTCTCTATGTACATGTTTTTTGATTTTCTTCTTTCATTGTCCACGAAATATTTTTTTTTTTTTTTATGTACAAATTACTTATTTCGTGGAATAATTTTCCTATGAAATGTATTAAAAATCACAATTTTAATTAAGGAACAATAAATTTTCGTTTGCATTAGAAAGATTACTCTGATATTTTAGATTTAAATTTTTATTTTATCATAAAAAAAAAAAAATAGAATCTAAAAATTCTATTCGAATATTTACAATCATTTATTTATATTTTTCAAAATTTTATTATTATTCATTTTTAAATTAACTCCTTATTGCTGATTCATATACCAGAGTTTTGTCAGTTTAAAAAAGTGCGTTTTTTTTAATTTTCAAGGAATTTTTTTTTTACAATTCAGATAATTATCGCAAAAAATCTGAAAAAATAACAGATATCGGAAATTTTTATTTTCGTATAAGATGAAAATTTATTCACACATTTATTTTATTTATGAATGTTAATCTGGTATTTTTTCAAATTTTACGTTAATCCATATGACGATAAAAATATCCTTTAATATTAAATGTACGTACATTTTTTGTTAGACAGTTTTTTTTTAGAATAAAAAAAAAAAACTTTTAAATGTAATACTTTTTAATGAAAGTGTGAAGAATATTTTTAAAACTTTAAACACTTTTCATAACGTACTTTCAATTGAAAGAGAAAAATATGAAGCCAAACTTTTTTGTTTAGACTGTGTCCAGTTTCTTACAGTTGGTTCGATAAAATTTGTGTGTGTGTGTGTGTGTGTTTATGCTAAGGATTGATTAGCATTCGATTCAAGTCGAAAAACTGGTAAATCATTTATTACCAAAAAAAAATCAATAATCACTTAGATATCTTAACATGTTTTAAGAGACATAAAAATTCTTTTATATATAAATTTTACGACTATTTTTTTGTTTATAAATCACTTTCTTAAATTAAATTTTCGTTTAATGTCATCAATAATTAATTTAGAAAGTTACATTCCTTAATCGCACTGGTTTCTGTTGGTGATTTATTATAGTTGTTATCACTACTGTTTTCTTCTTCAATAAGTGTTCTAACAGCAAGAACAGTTTCCTCATCTTTTTCATGCTCGACTTTTCTCGTATTTTCCGTTTTATTATTAATCTCCTCATCATTTTTTTCAATTACCGAACTGAGAGTTGTATTTTCCGGGGAATTATTACTCGATTTCAATTCATCCGAGAGTTTTGTCACCATTTTCACTAATTCTTCAACAGCTTTTGAAGTTGCGGCTGTTGAATCTGTATGTGTAAATTCACGATTTTCATTCTCACACTTTTCTTCTTCTTCATCTTCTTCTTCGTCTCCTTCGGATAATTCTTTTTCTCGACTTACATCCTTGGTAAATTCTTTCTCTCGAACTATCTCATTGGAGAATTCTTTTTCAGGAATTTCTTCCATCGGCATTTCCTCATCAGAATTATTATCCTTATCTCTTGATGTTTCTGTTTCCATTGTTTCCGATTCGGTGGCTGTTCCATTAATAACCGTTGGTGGTGGAATGTTTTCCAACATTTCGGCAATAAAAGGTGAATTCGCATCAATGAGATCCTTAAGTGGAGTTTCATTTGGATCGGGAAGATTTTCTAAATCTTCAGTAGTTTTAATTCCATTTTCCTCAATATATTGCAAATGAAAAATATATTGCTCCTGAAATTTGCCAAAATGTTCATTTAGCACTTCAACAGGTTTTAAAACTTCTTTCTCAGTCTTTGGATCGTATTCGGCTTTCATAAGCAGAGAATAACCAATTGATTTTTCATAATCTCGAGTTCGAACATCATAAGCTTGTATCGCTTTATCTATTTTTTCTATTGAATCATCACCAACGCCCTGTTCGACTGTACGTTTTTTTCTAAATAGCGTGAGATTACTGTAACAATTTAATTGATTTGCCTCAAAATTACTCGCCTCAAGAATAGTCCCCTCGTTTGATGTTTCATTGTCACTTTCTTCATTTTCCGATTCAGAATCACGAACACATAACATTTCAAGTGTAACATCGGGATTTTTTGTTGGGAAATAATCGACATCTGTCGATTCATTATTTTCATCTTCGGGAGTTGCTTTCTTCCAACTGTGATATTCCCTCACAACTCTATCATTAATTTGTGCTAATCTATATAATGTTTTTCGCATAACTTGCTGGAATTTTTTCATCTTCAATGATGCTTCATCGTTTGTTACTTGAGGTGTTTTACTCGTTGAATCGGATAAAACATAATTGAACTTTTTCCTGAGCGATTGTAATTCAATATCAATATCATGCTTTTGATTCAAAATTAATTGTTCGAAATTTTTATTTGTTTTTTGATCTTCTTTATTCATTTGTGCACTTTTATTTCGTGTCACTCTATCACTAGCACCAATAACTTCGACACCTTCATCGGAATCACTTTCTAAATCGATAATATTTGGAGCTGTGGAAATATTGGACGTTCGGGATTTTGGTAATAAAATTCGAGGTTTATTTTGTATTGGAGCTGGTGTTCGGGGTTGTGGTATTGATACCATTGGTCGATTTGCACGTTTTTGAATTAACATTGTTCTTGGTTGTAGATGAGTGATAGGACGTATTACATTTGGTCTTATCTGAATTTGTGATGTTGGACCTATTATATTTGGTCTCAAATGTTGTTGAGACAATGGATTTATAAGGGTTGTTCTCAATTGAGGTACAGGTGATATTGCAGTTAATCTGCGTATTTTCATTGGTTTGAGTAAATTTAATGTGTGTGATTGATTAAGTTTCGAATTGTTAGTAAGAATTTGCGTTTTAAGTTTGTCAGTTGTTATAACTTTAGAAGGTTGTGTTTGTACCTTTGTTGGACTTCCAAATGGTAATGCAGTATCACCTTCAGTCATTGTTTGTTCACAGGGTATCATTGAAGGGAGTAAATCATTATCACCAGCGAGAAGTGAACTTTCATCGTCTGATTGATTATTCAAAGAACCATTGGTATGTATATTTGTGACCTGACCACTTTTTCTCGTGCGACGTCTTTTAACTTGTGGCATTTCACTGAGTATAGGATTATACGTTTCATCGTCTTCGTCCTCGGAACCCGATCCAGTTTTTCGTCTCTTGCGTTTTCTTTTACGACTGCAGCATCGAGATTCATCCAAATTCATTTTCTCATCAATTTCATCCTGCGTCATTGTCTTGTCATTTTGTAGAATTCTAAAATTCATTAAATTTAATTTAAAAAAAGAAGAATTTTTGTGGAAAAAAGAAAATATAAATTTATCGACTCACCTGCACACAGTTTGTACATGTTGAATAATTGCTCGACAAAGTGATCTCGCTGGATAAACGTCAGTTGGATCGCAAACGAAACATTTCCATGATTCGTCATCCTCTATTTTCTTTGCTATTACTGCGTCAAAATTTCTTTTGACACATTTTGAACAAAATGTGTTACTACAGTCAGAACAACAGTATAAATTGCCACCATTGGCACACCATCGACAAAACATATCGGTCTGATCATCTCCTGTGACATAATATTTTGACATGAAAAAAATATAAATTATTTCAAATGTAATATTTAAAAAGATTGTAACCTTGCTCAAAGTCTCCATCGCCGTAAAATTCATAGCATTTTAAGCATAAAAGAGTTCTTAATTTTGGATGTTCGAACATATTGGTAACTTGTGCGGGAGCTGAACCAAGATGAATATCACAGCCTGTGCAATGAATTCTCGAAAACCTGACCGATGATATGTCTGTGAATAAACAGGTGAAATTAATATTTTTTTAAATAATTATATTGTTTATAAAAATTATTAAAAATGTTTTAAAATAGAAACATTGTTGATTTCATGTTTTTTTATTCGTTTTATTTTTACAAAATATCAAGACGTACAAATTTTTCCTATCAGTAAATTTCTAAATCAATATTTTTATTCACATTTTCTTACCACTTGATGCACTTAAATTATTTGTATTTCTTGCTTCGTTCTCAAGTGTTTCCTTTTCATTTTGAGTATTTTTTGACGATTCATCAGATTCCTTTATTAATTCAGAATTATTAGATTCCTCCTTTGGTTTAGAATTAGATTCTTTTAGCCTAGTTTCAGCACTAGAATCTTCTTTCTTTTGTTTATAAGCTTCTATTTCAGTTAAACATTCCTCAGAATCATCATCATCATCAGTAGAAGTTTCTGGTTCTTCGAATAAATTTTCATTTTTCTTTAACATATCATTATCCATTACTCCTATAAATGAATTAAAAAACAAACTTTTATTTAAAGGCCAAATACCACCGTCTTTAAAACAATGAGAAGCAGTTTGATTTGCACTTAGTTCCTCGTAAGCTTCAAGTAATAAATCCGTAGAGGTTTTCAATGACAATGGCTGTTGAGTGTTTTCATAACACCAAATTTTCACATTTTTAGCATATTGAGTGATAAAAGATTTTATAAGCTCCATCAAAAGTGGCTGTAAATGCATTGTTTTATAAGTGGGAACTTGTATTAAAAAAATTCCATTATTTTTAGCTAATTGTATAGTTTTAAAGTATTTACACTTTGAATTATTTTCATCGATATATAAAACAATTCTCTTGTCAAGTGTCACTTTAAAATTTACTATGAAATTTTCTAACCAAATTGTAAATAATTCTTGTGTCAAGTGACCTGATGAAGATATTGTTATACAACATTTTTGCGATAATTCGAAATTTTGTTTTAAATCTTCAGCTTCTTGTGATTCTTTCAAAATAATCATTGGATTCTGTATATAACAACCAGCAGCATTTACACAATAAATAATCATAATTTGCGCGGCAACTTTTGTAGCTTCCAAATAATAAATTCTTGTAGAATCAATATTATGAGTATTGTAAATATTTGTGAATGTATCAAAATAATCATTCATTTTTTTAAATAAATATTCTTTTGTCATGGGAATATTTGTGGGAGTTGGTTTTATACTTTTATTTTGTTTAAAAAATGTTTTTTCCCAAATTTTTCCCACTTCTCCTTTCACAGAGGACTTGACGAGAAGATTGTATTCTGAAAGCATTTGATATGCTAATCTTTTAATATCCACAACTTTCACATCAAACATACCCTTTTGTAAATATTTTATACAGGCAATCAATTCCTTATCAGGTTTTGTATTCTTTAAATCCATTTCGTTATTTTCTTTCTCTATACTAGTTACAAATTTTTTTCCAAACATTTATTTGCAATTCCACTTAAAGCATGAGCTTCTTCCTTTTTTAGTTATATCGTAATTATTTTTAAAAAATTCCTTTTTTTTAATTAAATCCATTTTTGAAAAACTTGTAGTTTAAATTAACTATTTCATATTTTTCACTTTCACTGTTTCACTTTTAGTTTTATTACATATTCAACAACGTTCTTCTAGAATTTTCTAGTTTTATTCTCTTATTCTTTCCTTTATTTTTGTTTCAATGTAGTATTTAATGAAAAAATCTTGAAAATCCATTTACTGCTTCTAAAAAATAAATAACAATAAATTTATTATTTTCACTCAACAAAGATTAAGAGCTAATTAATTCTTTTGTCACGTTTGTCATTCAAACATACCTGTTTTTTAAACACTCATTGTAATTTAGAAATAATAAAAACCAATTTTTTTGAACATTCTTTAATTCACTTTATAATTTCTATTAGTTCTTTGTAAACAAATCTCATGATGAAAGAACATTGACAGAATTCAAACAAATTTTCATAGATACGAAAAGATATAACTAAGTTTTTTTTTCAATTTTGAGGTTAGAAACCCAATTGGAAGAAATGAAATTAACCGCAAGGCGTTGAAAAGCCTATAGGGTTATATAGTGACGCGTCACTTGAGTTTTTATGCAAAATAAATTATTTTTCTATTTAAAATCAAAAAGAAAACTCATTAAATATATATATATATAAAACAATTACTCGAGTTAAATTTACATTTGTTATAAAATCTTTGACAAAAATCCACACATAACAGAAATTAAAAGTTGATAAAAATTTGTTTGTTTAATAATGAAAATTCAAAACAATAAAACAATTATTAACATTGGATTAACAATAAAATTAAATTTTTTTATTACTTACCTGGTGTTTAAATATTCACTTTTGAAAAAATATTCAAATATCAATAGTCACTTTCTAAATTTATTTCTTTGCATATTTTTAGTATAATTGACAAAAATATATCCGATGTCAAAACAACTGATTTCACAATTATTAAATAACTGCAAATTTTATGAAAAAAAAATAACTACAATTGAAATGATTAACATATTTTGTTAAATTATTTCCGATCTAAAATATTATTCCCGAAAAAACTTAAATTTCTCTAGCTATTAAAGGGTTAAAATAAATCATAATGATTACAATAATTTCATATTGTTTGGAAATAATCAAATGTGTAGCTATTATTCAATTGTAAATTTATATCCTCTTTAATTATTGAATAAAATTAATACATATTTTATTAATATAACAAGATTTGAAATCAATTTAATCCTATTAAAAAATAGGATGTATATCACAAGTACCTAAGAATTGAGTTCATTAAATTTGTTTATGAATATCCTTATCACTCTAATTGATGTAAATAAAATATTTTTAAATATTCTTTCTGAAACTGTTATCATTTTAATTTATTTGAATCAATTACTTTTGATTGAAAAGCTATTTGGCAAATTAATCATTCTAAATTGAACAATGTCTATTGAAGTGTAAATAAATTTTTTGATAATGATTATCCCATTTAAACAATAATATTAAATCATAAATATAAATTAGGTACCACCTGGCGGATGTGGTTATCATCGAACAAAGAAATTCATTTTATCATTAAAAATAAAAATTTTAATGGTAAATTAAAATATGAACCCACCTAGACCATACATCATATTGAAATAGTTGTTTTCTTCTTCAGAATAAGGTTTCAAGGGAGGTGATGGAGCCCTTGAAAATGTCGCACTGGGTGTTACTGTAAAAAAATAAAGGTTAGGTTTTTTGTCTTGATGTTATTTGATTGTGTATTTTAGAAAAACTTACAATTTTCCTTGATATCGGGCTCGTTCACCTCATTCACTTGCACTTCAAGCATACTCGCGATATCCATGATGATGATGATTTAAAGTAAATTAACACGAAAAGAACCTTTCAAAATAGAGAACACACCGCCATTGCCGAGGAGACTGACCGGTCGAGAGTATGTGCAACTTGCACAAAATCAAGACGTCTAGATTTAAGGCACATTTATGTTTTTCTCATAAATCATAGCACACAATTGAATGGTCATATTACACATATTTATCCTCGATTATAGTGGTTCAAATGAACCGATAAAAACCATTAAATTCTACTAAACTTCTGCTTTGAAGCGCGAAACGGATTTTCGCTGAAATCTCACAATGCAACTGCGCATTCAAGAGAGTTTGCGCGAGAAAGACGCGCGAACTAAAATGTTTGAAACTTGTATACGTTTTTTTAAAAAATATAATTAAGAATTTAAAGACTATTAATTATTATACAGACAAAACGTGATTTTCACTAATTCCATGGCAGTTTTCAGTAATTTTTTCATCATAGATGGCAAACGTGTCAATGGCTTCCAATTCTAAACTTCTGCGCATTTACTTGCGCATAATTAACTTTTCTTAGTAACAGCGGGAAGAAAATTTATTTACAAATGGCTTCTGATTTATTTACATTAAAAATTTGGTAAATTCGATTAAAATGCACAATACAGAAGATAATTTGGATAAAAGTGACAAAAAATTAACTGAAGATATTCAAAATATGGAGAATTATAAAAGTCTCTATAAAGAATTACAGGTAATTATTAGAAAATATTTATTTATTTAATAATAATTTATATTTAATTGATAGAAATTGGTAGCATCAAAATCGGTGCAAAAGGAAGATTTCAGAAATTCATTATTAGATGCAATTAAAACAAATGGACTCGAATCAGAAATACGAAATACCGTTTTTCATTGGGCTAGATCTAAAGTAAGTCTTTCTTTATTATTAAAAAAAAAAAAAGTGTACAATATATTTGCGATCTAAATTCCTTGATTAAAAATCCCAAATAAGAGTTTAAAAGATGTTTAAAGAATTTTTGAAAAATATATTAAAATGTAAAAATTCCAAGTGGAGGAAAATTTATAATTTCAAAATGGCGTAAAATTTTTGGAGAAAAGTTTTATTTTTTTTGAATATAGCTTGACTGTAACGTAATTAAAAATATAATAAGAAAAACGATTTAAAAGTGCGGTAAATTTAAAAGAAAAAAAAAAATAACTAAATGTTGATTTGACTCATCGGAATTTGGCAAATTTGCAGTGAACGCGAATAATTCCCCCCCCCCATTACCTATTTGGAAATTGCGCGTCACTTGGAGTGCGCAACGACCCCAGCCGGAGGGTCTATAGTAAACGAGGGCATAAACGTGGCATCAAAAATGGCGGAAAATGGAGAAGTTTGTTGGTGAAACGACGCTGTAGCCACTTTGCGTGAATGGACGCCATGATTGGCATGATGACTAGCAAGTTTTAACAATTGCGCAAGCGTACATTATTATAGGCGCCAAATTAGTTGCGCATAATTGAAACTCAAAAGGAGATTAGTTTTTTTTTTTTAATTGCTTATACAGTAATTGGAAAAAATATCACAAAAACTTTCTTCAAAAATTATCGATTTTAAATAAGGAAAATTAAATTTTTGCCACGATAAAGATTATTTTAATCTTGGAATTAAAAGAAATAATCAAATATTGTAAATTTTGTTTAAAAATAAAATTTTCAAGTGGGACATATTACTTTTAAAAATGGTAATCGTAATATTCTCATTAAATTATGATAATATATATTTTTTAATTATAAATAGAAAATAATTGTTTTTAAAGGGGCCATTACAGCCAAAAATAGAGACACCAATTGGCGATGCTGATTTAAGTTATTTGAAGAAAACTCAAATACAGTGGGAACGTAGAATACAAAAATCTTTAAATTCTATGTGCAATGAACTTAATGTACCATTGGCGCGAATTCGACCCAATTCAGAAAGGGAACAATTGTTGGAAAAATGGAATGAACTCAGTACCTATGACATTGGTATAACAAATTTTCTATTTTTAAACATTAGAGAACTAATTTTATTTTTTTTTAGATTTATCGCAATATAGACCTCTATATGCTCCAAAAGATTTTTTAGAAGTTTTATATTCAATTAGGGATCCGGCTTTTAAAAAGCAGTTGTAAGATTTTTAAATAATTAATTTTTTGGGTATAATTAATTTGTGTATATTAAAAAAAAGATTTCTATTTATAGAAATGAGCCTAATTGGGAATTTAGTCATATACAAATTAGAGTTAAGAATTTGGAGGAATTGGTGAGTATTATAAAGGAAACAAAATTCTAGAAAGTTATAATTTGCAAAGTAAATTTGCATAAATTATATAATGAATACAGAGAGCGATATATACGGATATATCCGATGGGGCACCTTTGTTGGGTGTCAATCCAAATATGCCGGCTATTGGAAATTATGCAACTTATGAAGATGAAAGGACTGAATTGGGAGAAAAAATTTTAAAATCAAATCACTCGCCACTTGCTCAAGAATTTTTAAAACGCGGTTGTCCCATTGCATTGAGAAGTCGAATTTGGTCCCTTATTTTGGGGACAATTATCAAAGATAATGTATATTTTTTATAAATTAATTTTATTCATTTTTTTTAAATGTTACTTGAATTTTTACAGGACATTGAATATTATAATGAATTAAAAGGATTGGTTGCGCAATATGATATAATGGTGGATAAATTAATAATTAAGGACGTTCAATTGACAGCAAGAAATGATGATCAATATTTTGTATTTGAAGATATTCTTTATCAAACAATGTTGTGTTTCTCAAGGGATTCAGAAGTCTTGGCACCTGTAACAACGGATCGAAGTGCAGGTGGTCAAGTGATTCATGCCGTTTTACAAGGGAAACCCACCACTCTTGAAAATACTTTAGTTTTCCCGCCTAGTGGAGTTATTCCATTTCATGGTTTCACTATGTATGGTTAGTGTATAAAAATTCTCGAAATTTTAAATTATCTAATTTGAAATTAATTTTAAATAATTCTTTTGTTATTATTAATAAAGAATTAAAAATTAAATTTTCACAGGAAGTCCTTTCTGTTATTTATACGACGATCCTTGTGCAATGTATTATACATTTCGTGCATTTTATTTGCGATATTGGTTTCGCCTTCACACTGTATCATGTCATGGACAGGGTATTGTGGCTCTTTGTCTTCTCTTTGAACGTCTTTTACAATGTCACGAGCCTCAACTTTGGTCACATTTCAAAAATATACACATTCATCCGTAAATTATATTTTTTTTAGTACCTAAATAAATAAAATCTAAATATTTTGAATTTTCATTTTTTTTTTCATTTACAGAGTTAAAATTGTATTCAAATGGTTAATGAGAGGATTCAGTGGTTACTTACCACCGGAACAACTTTTATATTTATGGGACTTGATTCTGGGCTATGATTCCTTGGAAATTATTCCACTATTTGCAGTAACAATTCTCAGTTTCCGGAAAGAAAATATAATGCAAGTTAATACATTAAGCAATGTTGAGGTAATGTTAAACTTTTTTCCGAAAGTCAAAACCCCTATTGAATGTTTTAACGTCATACTGATTAATTCCAATTTTTTTTCTCTCTAAATCTGAAAAATAATAAATTATTATAAAAATTTTCACTAACTTTTAATTATTAATTGACATTGTAATTATTAATATAAAATAACCCAAATTAGTACAAAATAACTCAATAATCAGTCAAATTAACAAGAATGAAATGTCAGTTATTTCAAATATAGCCTAAAAATGAATTTAACTTTGATTATAAAAAAAAGGGTGAAATCATATAATTTAAATAATTTTTTTTTCAATTACAGGCAATTTTAGCTGATCTTTCATCTTTAAAAGTGATGCCCTTGCTGCAGTTAGTTCTTCTGAAAGAATAATAGTGTACCAAACAGAAAAATGTTTAATTCAAAATAACCTATATAATTAAATGTTTTATAACCTTAAAAAAATAAATAAATTCACCTATTCATCACTAAATTCACCTTCCTCAAGATTTATATTATTTAAAACTATTTTTAATTTATTGTAAACACATTTTCATCGATAGGTTACCAATCTTATTACCAACCAACTGTCGATAAAAATGAAATGCATTTAATCATTGTTACCAACGTAGTTTTGACAGAAAATGAAAATAATATTGTGATTTATAAATATGTTCACGTGTCGGTGATTTTCCTTCCGAGTAAGGTTCGAAACTATGATTCGAGGGTGGGGTTTATCGCACGTGGGACAAGGAGAGTTGCGATTTTCCCATTGTTTTAAACGAGGATAGAATATGTCTCTAAAGAAGGGGAGGTTTCCCGTTTCCGGCTGTCATCCCGATAGACGCCTGCCACTACCCGTGTGTTTATACTCGATTTTTTTTACTGAATTTCCAAATAATTTGTACAAGTTTTGTCAATAGTGTGCCATTATTGTGTATAATTAATAAATTGTGAGTAATATTATTAATTAAATATGATTAATTGCATGAAAATTTCTTGTTACCAAGTTTATGTTTAAATTGGTTGTCAGTGTAAGAAATTTAAGGGTGGGGTGCACCCTCACCCCAAAATTATTAGTCATGCAGTTTTTCCTGCTGCCGGCTCTGTATTTTATAAGCTTCACTAGTTTTATTAGATTTTATATTATAACAATAAATTTTTTAATTATTTTCATTATTACCATTACTTTGTTTTTAAATAAAGTTTTTGTTTGTAAAAATCTAAAATATCTGCTTGAAAAACGGTTTTATTTTTTGATATATAAAAATTTATTTTTATAAAATATTGATTCATTTTTGTGTTTGCAAAATATTGCATGTATTTTGCATAAATAAAGGTTGTTTATAATTATTACAAGGTTTTTTTTACTTATATTGGAAAATTCTTTTTTTAAAATTCATTGGCCTGTATATGTGTATAATGACAATAAATTAAAACTTGTACAAGAAAAAGATTAAGAAACAGGTTTTTTATATTACAAAAAAGAATAAAAAATTTATGTTTGATGAAAATAAAGAAATTATTCCAGTGTAAAAAAAAAAGTTAAAAGAAAATTTTATTTTACATAATAATTAAAGGAAATAAATTGAAGGTCATGGTCACTAAAAGGATTAAAGTGAACTTATTCACGTGTAAATTTACTTACATAATAATATCGATTTCTTTTGTGTTATCGAAGAAAAAAAATTAAGCTGTGAACTAAAGATGTTAATTATCAGACTTGGAATTTAACTATCGTGCTGTTTATTATTAATTTTGTTCATTAATTTAATTTCTTTTTCATTTTTTTTTGTATTATATTTTGTTTTTAATATATTTTGAATTAAATGGTTTTAAAATTTTATTCTATTTTCACAGATTACATGAGTCAAGAAGAGAGTGTTAGGTTGTAAAAAAAAAGTGGAAATCGCAACATGGCTTGGCGATTTAAGGCATCCAAATATAAAAATGCTGCGCCTATTGTACCTAAATCGGAATCTTGGATCCGCGATATTTTCGTCGGATCATATCAAACTTATGGCAATAATATTGCAGCATCTGCCGCTTTTATGGCATTTAATGTCGATCACAATGGTAAGACTTTTTTCAATTTTTTAATTAACATTTTTTTTTTTTTTTTTTTCATTTTAAATTTATGTAATTATTAAATTTTCTTTTTAACAGGATCTAGTTTAGCAGTGTTGCCGTTAGAAGATTGCGGTAGAAAAAGTAAGACGATGCCTTTATTACATGCCCATGCGGATACAGTAACTGACATGGATTTCTCACCATTTCATGATGGTTTACTTGCAACTGGTTCACAGGATTGTCTTGTAAGTGATAGAAAAATTTCTTATAAAACGAACAAAAATTAAGTCTTTTTTTTTTAAATTTAATTTTATATAATATAGGTAAAATTATGGCACATTCCGGAAAGTGGATTAGAGGAATCACTTTGTAATCCGGAATGTACATTTTCTCATCGACAACGACGAGTTGAAGTGGTTCGTTGGCATCCTACAGCAGAACATTTATTAACGACTGTTTCATACACAAATCTTTCACTTTGGGATGTTCTTTCACAAAAAGAACTTTTCTGTAGGTTTTCAAAAGAATTTTATTATATAAATGGAATGAAAGATAATTTTGTAAATTAAATTTTTGATATCATTTTATAGCCACTAATGAGCATTCAGATGTAATTCAATCTGTAAGTTGGAAGCAAGACGGTACAATGCTTGCAACATCTTGCAAAGATAAACAGATAAGAATTATTGATCCTCGAGCTCCTAAAAATGTTGTTAATTCATCACCGAGTCATCAAAGTATAAAAGATTCAAGAATCGTTTGGTTAGGCAACGGCGATCGTTTATTAACAACTGGTTTTGATTCAGCACGACTTCGTCAAGTTTGCATAAGAGATTTGAGAAATCTCAATGATCCAATCAAGACTTTAGAGCTCGATTGTAGTACAGGGTAAAATTTTTCTTTTTTTTTAATATACAATTTCCTTGTTTTAAATATCAATATTTCATTAAAAGAGAAAGATTTTTCAATTTGAGAAATATAAATTTATGATTAACAGAATTTTAATGCCTCTCTTCGATCCGGACACAAATATGCTTTTCCTGGCTGGCAAAGGTGACACGACTATTATTTATATGGAAGTAACGGAAAAAGATCCTTACCTTGTGGAGGGAATTCGTCACAGTGGAGAACAAACGAAAGGTGTTTGCTTAGTGCCAAAACGTGCATTGAATGTGATGCAGGCAGAAGTTAACAGATTATTGCAGTTAACGTCCAATATGGTTATTCCCATCATGTATCAAGTTCCACGAAAAGTAAGCCTATTGTCAAAGAATTTAATTGTTTAAATAATTTTGTATAATTAAATAATTAAAGTTATTAAATACTAATTAAAAATTTTGTAGACATACCGAGATTTCCACGCAGATATTTATCCAGATACGACTGGATGTGTTAGTAATAATACCGCAGCTGCATGGATTAAGGGAAATGATGAACCAGTTCCAAAAATTTCACTCGATCCTTCCAAGAGAACAAAAGGCGAAGAAGCAATCACGGTAAGTTAATTTGACCTGTTGTAAAAAAAAAATTGATATTTTTGTTTGTGTAAAATTACAATTTTTAGTGAATAGTTTATTTTTGAAGCAAATATACAATCTTTTTTTCTATAAGATTCCTTTTAGCTCGTATTCAATAAAATTTAGTGGTTTTGTCGCATAATAATCTCTTTTTTTTAAGGAAATTATCTTAATTTTCACATTTTGCATGTTTATTTTTTAAATTCAGCTTAAATGTATATAAGATTTTCTCTTTTTCATTAATTTTCCATTTTTAATTTATTTCGTGTGGGTAATTGGTTGTACGTATCTGATTAGTGTTATTTTATGTGCATAACTAATTATATAAAACTGATATTTTTGAAAATATGCATTAAGATAAATTACATTCAAAAATATCTTCATCTAAAAATTATCTTATCAATAATGTAATTTATGTTTATTTCTCGACACATTTTATTTGCTTTCATTATGTTTTAGATTTTAAGAAACTTAAGAATCGTGAAATTTGTGACTATTATAATTTGTAAATATTTATTGTACATATTGTTTTTATGATTTTTTTAGTTTTATGATTTTGTAAATGTTGTGTGATTTTGTTTTATGTCATAACTATTTCCTCTATAAATTGTGTGAAAGTTAAGTATTTAAAAAAAAAAAAGAAAAATTTGTTGCCGCCAAATCATTGAGGAACTTAATTACGTTCAGGTACACAAAGGGAATTTATCATCGCTGAAAGATAATCAAATGGAAATCAAAATGGAGATGACACGACAACAAAAATCAATAGCAATTACTGCACCAAAGGGTTATTCAAAAGTACAAGCCATCATTCAAGAAAAGGATTCAAAAATTGAAAAATTTTCTGAAGAAATGGATGAAGCAATTATAAAAATGGAAAAACAGGAAAAAACTGAAAAACCAGAGAAGCCGGAAAAATTGGAGAAATCTGACAAGGAAGATGAAAAATTTAAATTACAAAATGGAGCTTCTCATCCGACTCCACCGAAACCACTACCTCGTGCTTCCAGAGCAAATAGTCTTTCTGAAGAGGAACCAAAACCCGTTGCACGTCCTCGAACAACTCCAAGTCCTGGATCGGTGGTAACATCCGTAAATCCAAACATTGTTGGAGGATACAAGGTTCGACTGAGGACAAAATTGATTTTGTATAATTGTAGTAGGAAATTGAATTTTGTGTGTATGTGAATGAGTGATAATTTAATAAAATAATTCGTCCGATAATTATATTTATAAATATAAATTATTAATTTGATAACGTTTTTGTTAAGAGAATTTTTTTTTTTTTCATTTTGTCACAGCCTCGTCTTGGACCAAAACCATTTCAAGCGAAATCTGGTAATCAGGAATTTTCATTTGACAAAGTATTTTCCGTGCCAGTTGCACCAACGAATGAAAATAATGGCTATTTAAACGACTGTAATATACAGACGGAAGCCAATTCAGAGAAGACTGATGCCGAAAAATCTCCAACACAGGAAAATGATCGTGTCAAGGAGGCTGAAAATGGAAAAAGTGATTCAAGTTCCATAGAAGAAGATGCGAATTCCAGTGATTCTGGATATAAGCCAAAAACACCGAGCACTGCCGAGAGACGTAAATTGTTTGAATCTAAAGTCAAGGATGAATCGCCAGAGAATGAGGATTCGGGAAATTTTGAAAGAGGAAATGTTAATAGAAATTCAATCGCCGAGAGAAGGAGATTATATGAGAGTCGTTCAGTGTCGGTAACAGATGGTAATTTGGCGGAGAAAGCAATGGGATCACCAACACCATTGAGACGAAGGGATTCATTTAAAACGAAAAATGAAATTATCAAAGAGGAGGAAGTTAAGAAAAATGTACCAATTTTACGACAACAAAGCATGGATCCAAGGTTAGAGAAACCTGAACCAACGCCTACTCCAAAAAGAACATCTACTGTTTTTGGTAAGTTGAAAATTTCAACTATTTTCTTTATATCTCGTTTAATTTTTAATAACTTTAAATTATAAACTTATTTTTAGGTCGAGTTTCGAAATTTAGACACTTGAAAGGTACTCCTGGTCATAAATCTACTCACATTGAAAACATTCGAAATATCAGTCGACAAATATCTGGAGAGTGCGATGGATTTCATGGTCAGTAATATATTTAAAATTCATAATTAATTTTTATTATTGCAATTTATTTATTTTATAAACAATTAGAAAACTAGTAATAAAATTGGTGTTTTAATTTTTTCAGCAAATGCAGATCGGGTGGCGGTACCTTTAAGTGGACCAGGTGGAAAAATAGCAGTTTTAGAATTAAAAAAAACCGGAAGACTACCAGATGGTGTTATGCCTGCATTAGTGCATGGTGCAACTGTTATGGATTTCCAATGGGATCCGTTTAATAATCAACGACTTGCAGTCGGTAAGTGATTTTCTTCTATAATAATTATGAAATTGAATTTTTTTTTCTAACGAATTATTTAATAAAATTGTTTTTTTTTTTGCAGCTTGTGACGATGGAATGATTCGATTGTGGGAAATACCAGCAACAGGTTTAACGGAGCCAACTAACGAGCCGGCTTTTACTGTTGAAGCACACACAGACAAAATTTATCTTATTAAATACCATCCGTTAGCACTGAATATTCTAGCTTCTGCTTCCTATGACATGAGTGTAAAAATTTGGGATTTGGAACCATTATCTTCCGGTGAATTTGTTAAGGCAAAAATTACTTTAATGGGACATACAGATCAAATTTTTAGTCTCGCGTGGTCTCCATGTGGTCAATATCTTGCGAGTACTTGCAAAGATGGAAAAATTCGAATATATAAGCCGCGAAGCAATGACACTCCAATTCGTGAGGGAAAAGGACCGGTGGGCACAAGAGGAGCACGAATTGTTTGGGCACTCGATGGTCGATATTTAGTTGTGATGGGTTTTGATAAGTATGTACAACAAATTTTTTTAATTTTTAAAACTATAATTTTCACCGCTAAAAAATTGAATCATGTTGGAATTTTTAAAAATAATTTAAATAATTACAGAGTTTCAGAAAGACAAATCATGGTTTTCAAAGCGGATAATCTTAATTCTTCATTGAATACAGTTGGTTTAGACGTTTCGCCGGCAATTTTAATGCCATTTTATGATGAGGATAGTTCAACATTATTCCTGACTGGTCGGGTATGTGTGATGTATTTAATATTTTATCAAATAAAGTCAATTATGTAAATGATTAAAAATTATTTTCAAATTTTCAGGGGGATTCGACAATTTATGCATTCGAAGTGACTGAGGAAGCTCCGTATTGTTGTCCTCTGAGTCATCATCGATGTGCAACTTTACATCAGGGATTATCATTTCTCCCAAAAAATAAATGTGATGTTGCAAGTGTTGAATTCGCTTCTGCTTTGAGGCTTACAAATAATACTATTGAGCCATTGAGTTTTACGGTGCCACGAATCAAAGTAAGCACTGATTTTAAAATTAGAAAATTTTTCATCTATAATTATTTTAAATGAAAACTTATTTATTCTTATTTTCAACAGAGTGAACTTTTCCAAGATGATCTTTTCCCACCAACGAAAATTACTTGGAAATATACAATGACTTCCGGTGAATGGTTTGAAGGAGGAAATAAACAACCAACAAGAATCAGCCTCAAACCACCGGGAATGGATTGTTGTTAGTATTTTATTTTTAGTTTTCTAGAGTTTTTTTTTCATATTTATAAATGAGAATTTATTGAATATGTTTAAAATTTGTTTGTGTAGCCTTTTAATTTTATATATTTTAATTTATGTTTGGGTTCTCATTTTTTCACTAGTGACTGAAAATCAAGGACAAGCTGTTGTCACAGCTCCTGTAGCTGCAAAACAAAATTTTCATAATTCATCTCAGCCGTACAATAGGTCAGGATGGAACCAAGATAACACTAGTCACTCTAAAACAAATGAGGTTTGTTAATTAAAAAATATTCAAATTTTTCTTTTTTTCGTAATTTTTTTCTTATTTTTCAAATGTATACAATTTTTTTGTATTAGATTCAAAAAACTTTGAGCAATCTTTTGGGAGAAGTTATTCAGTGTCCTTTGGAGCAAGATCAAATGGATGGTGTGGATGAACACGAATGGGTACACCACTCTTTTTTTTAAAATAATAATAATTTTCACAGAAAAAAGAATTTCAATTAAAATTTATTTTACAGGATGATTGAATGCAGCATGAATTCTAGAGAGCAAGTCACGAAATTCGGTGATAGATTAATTTATCTTCGATTAAATTGATTGACACTTAATTATAGTAGAAATTACTATATTGAATAATCTAATTTTTTTTATGCTAATGAATGGTTCTGTTTTTTGGGCCATGCCATAAATGTATTTTTCTATTTATTCTGCTTTTTTGTGAATATTATTTTCAAATGATTTGTGTGTAATGTAAATGTATTTTTTTTTTAATTTACATTTGTTCCATATTGATTGTGTTATTTCCGAAATAGCTAATGATGATTTTTATGCCTAATTGAATTGTAAAACTACCAACGTAATTATAGCTTAAGAAGTTTAGTTAAAATATTTATTAATTTAGGTATATTCAACTGTTAGCAAATAATTATATACATGTCCAAGACAAACTTTTTATTATTGACAATTTGTTGCTCAATGATTGAAAATTATATTAGACAAAAGTATAATTTTTCTTTATATACATTTTTTTCGGCGTATTTTTTTATTTATTATTATTATTTTGTTTTTTGTTTTTTTTTTTTTTTTTTTATGTAACGGACGAAGTTTTGAAAATGAATCATGCGTGATTATAGCTCTAGTCTGGAGGTGATTTTTTAGTATTTTCCATTATGCCTAATCTTAAAAAAAAAAAAAAAAAACCAGTAACTCATTAATATAGTGTACGAATCTTATACACTAGTATATTGGACTTTTTAGATTATAAAAATCAAATGATATTATTTAAAATAAAAAAAGGCGACTCATAATCTGAATTAATACATTAGAAACAAAAAAGTTTACATTTTCAGGTCTTTCAAATCGATTATTCTCGTCTTTCATATGTAAAAATTCAAACAGGAATTGGAATCAGTTTTGTAATGATATAAATTAGTAAAACTAATGTCATAAAATAATAAAACAAAAAAAATGGATTTGAATTAAAAATTTAAATATGTAATTTAAAAAATCAGAATGTGGAAATATTTAAAGAATTAAAAAGGTATGTGTGCAATTGAAAACGCAATTTTAATTCTTAAAAAAAAAAAAAATTTTCTCCATATTTATTATTAATTTGTCAATCGTCGAATAAATGACAAATAGTTTTGTTTTTTTATCAAATTGATATTTAAGTTAGTTTTTTTATATTAAAATACAAAATGTGCATCATTGCAATCACATTGATGTAAAAAAAAAACGTTATATCAAATGTGTGATATTAATAATTGTTACTGGATGATGAAAATCTTTATACCATTATTATGAACTCTCCACGCACATACTGAACTAAAAATTAATTATTATAAGAAGGGAAGATATCGATAAATAAGATAATAAACGAGAAATATTAAAAATTATCAATAATTAAGGAAATACTGATAAAAATATTAGAGATAATATGCTTTAAAAAAAAAAAAAAATAATCATAAACTGTACCACAATATACAATTAAGAATATAGATAAAGAGTGGACCGAGTCAAGAGTCGCGTCTATTTTCCACTTTTTTATATTGTTTCAAAACAATACATTTTTGAAAACATGTAACCATATATAAGATAAAAAAATTTTTGCTACGAAGTATTTTATTATAAAAAAAAAAATAATTTGATTTTCATGCATTTGATAGTTATAGCGGTATACCGTATAACATAAAACAAGTGCCAAAATTTGATGGTACTCAGATCTGAGAAAGTATTTCATTTTATTGTATAACTTTTAATGCAATACATTAATAATTAATAATTTCTAATAGAAATTATCTCAATTCTATAATATTATGTAAAACGTAAGATTTTTCACTATATTCCTTATTTATTGTAATTTTTTGAAATCAAAATAACAGATGAAAATTTAGAAATGCAAAAAATAGATTTTGAAATATTGATTATAATTTGAAAAGGCTTCGTAAGCTAAAAAAACATAATTTATAAAAAAAGACACTACATTTAATAATATTCTCATTAATATTAGTGTCTTAAATCGTAATTAAAGAAAGACATATTTTATACCTTTTTTTCCAAATAAGGAACAATTTCCTTCTGTAAAGACTCATATTGTCTAATAATAATTGCATAATCCAGCACCAACTTTATAAAGGCAATGCTGAATTATTACCTGATTCAACTTTTTATATAAAGTTATGTATTTGTATTGACTTTGTACCCTAAATGTATTTCATCTATAAAGTATTCCTACCACTATATTTGTCTTCTAATTTTTTTTCCCTTCATATAATTTTAAAAAAATATATTTATAATTTAATTATAATATTAGTTAAAAAAATTTATAAATATGAATGATTTAAAAAAAATACAATAGTTTAAAAAATGAATAGATATTTATTTTAAGTTTTTAGTAAATAATAAATTTAATGGAATATTAAAATAAAATTATTTCATTTATTTATTATAATTATTTAAATAATTTCTATAGTCAACTAATTCCACCAACACGATCTCTGGGTATTAATCTAAGTTCTGAGCCATGCTTCAAAAAGATGTTTCCTGCAATAAATGGAAACAATTTTTTATAAAATTTTAATTATGAATTCTATTGTTTCTTTTCTTTTAAATTTTTTACATACCCGCTGTTTGCTGTGGATTAATTCCCACACCATCGTCAGTTATTATTGCTGACGTAGCTGGGGTTACTTTGAACTCCTCAGCAGCAAACTTTAACACCGCTGTGAAAGGTGTATTTTCTGGCACGCTCAGTCTGTAACAAATACCCAATGATTGCTCAAAAAAAACTCGGTTATTGTAAAAAAAAAATTTTTTTTTTTATTTAATTAAATAACATTATATGTTATTAAATAATTTTATAATAAATGTTTAAAGATAAGTTTAAAAATTATCAAATATAATAATTATTAACTGTCAAGGAAAAAAATATATATAATTTTTTAATTAAATATTTAAGAATTATTCAAATATCTTGAGGTATTTTTGCAGTAATTATTCTTTGTATACATGAAACTTAATCGACATTATTTTTTACACTATATAAACGAATACAGTCTCTTTCAATTTCCTCCCAAAAATCTCCGTCCTCCATTTCCTTAGCAATATTTAATTGTCTTTGTGTCCGACAGCTAATGTCATTTGATTCCGTTAAAAGGGTTCGAAAAATTTGCGCAATATCTTCATACTGAATACCTTCCTCAGAAATCCAATAACCGTCCTTATAAATCATAGAACGTCCAAAATAAAAGACAGTATCTAAAAAATTGTCACAAAATTTGGAATTCTCGCTGAGAATTTGAATAAGTGATTGTGAATGAATTTTTATAATTTCTTGAAAAAATTTGACATTATTCTCAAAGGCTCTCAATGTAAATCTTTCCATAATTAATTTCTTTGTTTTTGATTTCATTTTAATGTTTAAAATGGCATTAACGAGTTTTAAAATTTGATGATCGTCTAACATATTATCTATATATTCAGTAACCTCAATTAATTTTCCATTACAAATTTGTTTGTCCCAAGTGAAAAAAATTGCTTCGTCGTGTAATTCTGAAATGGGAATTTGTTGTTCCACTAAAGAATTTAGAATTAAATTAAAACACATTGCATCTTTTATAGTAGTGTTGAGAAATTTTTTAAATCTTTCCTGTCCAAAACGACGGATATAGATGTTAAATAATAAATCAATTTTTTTTGTTGAAATACGAGAATCTTTCATAAAGATTTCAAGCATTTTGTCACAAGCTTTCTCAAAATCTGAACACTCGTATGTAGTGGATAGTCGGTAATTTAAATATTTTTCAAAATCTACTTCTTTTTTTTGTTCATGAACATTTGATATAAAGCTTTCAATAAATGTACAATAATCATAAGCTTTATTTAAGTCTTTTTCTTCCATACTTTCAGCTAAATAGGGCTTTTCAAGTATTTGCTTGTATGCCATAAATACTGTCACAACTTGATCAAATTCAGAATCACTCATGATTAATTAGAATTTTTGTTCCAAATTTTAATTCAGTTAACAATTAATTACAATATTAAACGTGTAAAAATCCAACTTACACTTTAAATGGCAATTTAGGATCGGACGTCAAAGTAATTTTAAAAGTGACTTTTGATCTGTAAATAAAACAAATAAAATAAATTTCAACGTCGGTATTATATTTATAGTAAAATTTGTAACACAGCATATCGTTTTAAAAAATATCTATTTACAAAAGCATAAATTTGAAAAATCACATGTCCAAAAACATATGTTTCCAATTCAATGTATCAAATGTAAGTATTTAAAAACAATATTTTAAGTATTTTAAATTATAAAAAGAGTCAAGAAAAAAAGTGCTATTACTTACGCCATGATTTACTAACAAAATGGTAAATAATTGTTCAAATTGAATAAACTTGTTTTCTTTTAACAAGAATACAGAACAAAGTTAACCTCGATTCGCCTCAATTTTTACCAGCTGTCAGATTAGTAAATCTGCGCGTTGTATCTGCGCATGTTGCAGAGGTTAAGTTTCTACTCCGTTTTAAAACGTTAAATAAAATTATCTCATTCAGCAAAAATAATATAAAAATACTTTAAAAATTAAAGCATTAAACTTTAATATTTATTAAATGATTGATTTCAGTGACGACAGTGTTATTATGAATTGATTTTATTGAAAAAGAAATTGTCTGCTCGTCACGTGACCTTTGGAATCGCCATGCGTGTTTTAACTAACATGGCTACCGGTAAAGGACTAACGGCGATTTTTAATCCGAAAAATGTGAATTTAATAACGTGCTCCAAATCAAATAAATTAGGAAGTGGTATTTTACAACGTTGCAATTCCTGTCAACGATATTTTGCTACTATAGCATTGGGTGACGATGTCTGGAATCGTCAAAAACTAGAAAAATGTAATCACTACTATACGTCGTGTCAATGCACGAGTTTTTTTTAGATTACATCATATTTAGTGAATGTTTCCTATTTTCTTTAATTAAATATAATTAAAAGTTTTAAATTAATTTGCATTCTTTTATACGATTATTTTGTTAACAAAGAAAAATGTTGACATTTTTTTTGCATGTCTAACCTTATACCACGTTTCTTGCATGATTGTGAAATTTAAGATAATTACTTGCAAAACAGAAAAGAATACTCCAGAATAAATATAAAAAAGCTCTGGATTATAATTCACTTTTGTTTAATAATATTAATAAGTTAAATTATTATTTAATGTGAAAATTTATGCACATAACCTTAAATTCTTCTTCTATATGATTTTTTTCGCTATTAATAGTTTTGTTTAAATTTTGTTTCAGATCCAATAGGAAAATTTACACAACAAAAAAGAGAATTTCATGTAACTAATAGACTTTTAAAGAAACGTGACTATTATGAAATTTTGGGTGTATCTCGAAATTCTTCAGCAAAGGACATAAAGAAAGCTTATTATCAATTGGCAAAAAAATATCATCCTGATACAAATAAAGATGATCCAAATGCGAGTAAAAAATTTCAAGAAGTTTCTGTGGCCTATGAAGTATTGAGTGATGACGCTAAAAGAAAAGAATACGATGCTTGGGGTGCAACATCAGAGCAAATGGGAATGGGATCTAGTGGAGGGCATCAAGCAAATCAAAATACCCGTGATTTTAATTGGCAATTTAAATCATCAACAATTAATGCCGAGGAATTGTTTAGAAAAATATTTGGTGAAGGTGGTTTTAATAGTTCAGCATTTAATGATTATGAGGATTTAGCGGATTCAAGATATGGTTATGGAGCAGCGCAAGAGGTAAATTTTGATTAATTAAAAATTTGATTTTTTGAATGAATTTTAAATTTAAAAGAAATCTTTTTTTCTTTTCAGGTAATAATGAATCTTACCTTCTCTCAAGCAGCTCGAGGAATTAATAAAGACATAGAACTAAATGTAGTTGATACTTGTCCAAAATGTCAAGGTTCTCGTTGTGAATTAGGAACAAAGGCGATTAAATGCCATTACTGTAATGGAACGGGAATGGAAACTATCAGTACCGGTCCTTTTGTAATGCGTTCTACTTGTCGTTATTGTCATGGTTCTAGAGTATATATAAAATATCCTTGCAATAATTGTGAGGGTAAAGGACAGGCGGTAATTATTTTTTTTTTTTCTACAATAATTATCTCATTTTTTTTATTAAATTGATTTTTTTTCTTTATAGATTCAACGAAAAAAAGTTACAGTACCGGTACCAGCTGGCGTTGAAGATGGACAAACAATTCGAATGGCTGTGGGAAATAAGGAAGTTTTTGTAACATTCCGCGTGGAAAAATCGAGATATTTTCGAAGGGACGGCGCCGATTTACATACAGACGCTCAAGTTTCTCTTTCACAAGCAATTCTTGGTGGTACAATAAGAATTGAGGGTATTTATGAGGATCAAACAATTTTAATTAAACCAGGAACTTCGTCTCATACGCAAATTCGATTAACCGGAAAGGGTTTGAAGAAAGTAAATTCTCTAGGATATGGTGATCATTATGTTCATATAAAAATTACAATACCAACGAAATTGTCAACAAAGCAGAAAGCACTTTTACAAGCGTACGCTGAACTTGAAAGTGATACGCCTGGAACAATTCAGGGTGTGGCATCAAAGAAGGATGGTAAGAAAAATAAATAATACAATTTTGTGGTTACGAACATTGTATAGCTGAAAGAAAAATTGATTTTTTTTTTAGTTTGTTATTATGATTAACAGCGATGCAATGATCGTTACTTTTACGAGATCTTTCAAATATATATTAGAGCATCGCTTGAGTTTCCCAACGTGTATGTTTTTTTTTTGCTTTGAAATAAAGCAGTTTTTTGAAAAAAAATGTATCTGTGCCTTTAATCTCATCAATCTTTTTTTAATAAAAAAAAAAAAAAGAAATACGAACTTTAAAACGAAAAAAAAAAAAAAAATAGACAAAATCGATCACAAATTGCTTTTTTTAGGCACGTCGGAGAAAACTCAAGCGAATCGCCCTGAAGGTCTACTCGATAAGGTCAAGAAGGCAATATTCGGATAAAATTTTATAGTAGGTGAGTGTTTATTTCCGGTGCAGGTACAATTTGTTAGTCAACGTGTTTCCCGAGAGTTTACTGCTTTTTAATTTTATCCCTCATTGAAGAAATCAAAAGAAAGATTTATGGTTAGAAAAATTTCGACTTTGAGAAATAGGAAGTAGACGTTTTGAGAACCGGAGATGCAAGTGATTTTTTTTTTAAACTCATATTTTTTAAATTCTTTTTAAATTTTAATATATAAATGGAAAAATTTTTTCTTTAGGAACAAAAGAAATTTTTGAAGGACCTATTGAACTTGTGAAGGCTTTAAGGGCAGCTTTAGACGATAAGACAATTTCAAAAAAACCCTTGGAATCATTACCAAATGGTCCTGGAGATAAACCGCAGGGTACATTTTCGGAAGCTCAAAATAACAGAGAGGACGCCATGAAGAAGGAACGACGAAAGATGCCCTGATTGTAGATACATTTAAAAAGCAATTAATTTGAGAATTTTCCAGTGAATCAAGAAAGCATTAAGTATGTTAGAATTTACATTATTATCAACATTTATATATCGTTCGTGCTATTTGTAAATGGTTTTATTCTTGTTTTTCGATTATTTTTTTTCTTCAAATTAAGAGTTAAATTTAAAAAAAGAAAATTTTGCTAAAATAAATTAAATTAGATATATAAATTTTTGCAAGACGGCATTTTTCATCTGGTCCTTTTTATTAGACTCTTCTAGTTATTATTGTTTTTAGAAAAATTCTCTTTTTAATAGAAAATAACTGATAGAATGTTACCAAAAAAAAAAAAAAATGTCTCTGAAAAATAAAATCCAGAGTTTTTATGAAAAAATATTTTTCAATTCAAAATACCGTTCTTTCAACAAAAAGCACATTTTTATTTATAATGCAACTTTACTTAATATCTACATCTTTTACAATTATTTCTGTTTGTTCTATTTTTTTTCACGTTTAATTGCGTTATAAAATAATAAATTCGCTATATTTGAGTCAAAGCAGCTGAAAAAAAAAAAAAAAAAATGTGATTCTTTGTGTCAAAATTTTTTTCAAAAATTACAGAAATTGGTCTTTTTGAAACAGTCTTGTGTTTACAGAAAATTCTTGACTTGGAATTATTTTGAATTTTGTCAAGTCATGATTTTGTGTAATTATTATTTTTTTTTTTTTTGGTGAAATATCGGGAGATATTTTAATATACATTTATGTGGAAAATTTTTATATTCTAAAAACACTTTTCTATGCATGAGTTAACAGGCCATATTTCAGTCCAATATTGGTTAAACTTTGTGTAGCTGAAACTTTTAGAATAGCCACTGCTACAGCTGCTATCGTCACGGCACCTTCAAGATAGAGAGCATATAATATTCTAACATGACCGGAAGTTGTTGCTAATCCACCGGCCGCTGTGAAATCCAAAGGAAATAGAAGACTGGCGGCAACCGGTCTCATTCTTGCCGCTCCAAAGCATATTATCCCCATTAAATAATACAGAGCTGACAATTAATCATTCGTCATTAAATGTGAAATTTAAATATTTAGGGGGGGAAAAAAAAGGAAATTTTCTCACCTATACAACAAAATGGTACTGCTTTTACCCATCTTGGAATTGATAATGTGTCCATTATTTCTACATCTTTTTCTTTATTTTTTCGTCTTATTGCATATCTTTGAAGTCGTATTGCCAATAAAAGGCCAAGATTTAATACTAATAGGAAGTGAGCTGGAATACCAATAGCGGCAAAAATCACTGCCACCGTACGACCTGCAGTTGTACGTGGAACTGGTGCTCCAAAACCTATTATCAAAATCTACTTTTACTAAATTTAACAATTAAATGTGAGAATATTGTCGCTTATTTCAAAATTAAGAAAAAAAATGTGACCAAGATAAATTACCGAGCGTTGTAATAAGTGCAATTGCAAATAGCACACAACCGGAAAAATTCCAAAGTTGTCCACTTTGACCACCCTCACCATAGCCGGCATTAACAGCGAGCAATAAAACTTTTTCATGTTTATTCACATATTGTTTAACTTTGTTACTCCAAAGTGGCTCCATTTCTTCTTCCTTTGCTTTCAATTGTCTTAATTCAGTCGCTAAACCAACTGCCAGGTCACGTTGAATATTTTTCAATTTTAAAACTTGCTCTCGTTCACGTGGTCCCTCTGTGGTGTAAAATGCCGCTGCTCCAGCGACTACCCAAAATGTCAAAAGCCAAGCTAAACCTTTACCAAAAAAAAAAATACTTTTTATTTTATTAGTTTAACATTTTTTCTTGTTTTTTAAAAAAAATCAGTTTTCAACATTAATTTTACAAATGTGATAAATTTATTTATATATATTTAAAAAACAATTATTTCAATTGAAAAAATTGTTTTTAAAAAGAAAAACATTTCCAATTCTAAAATGAAATCTTAATTCCGTTGTTTTTTTTCAAGTTAAAAAGTAGAGTACAATTTTTATGAAGAACGTTTAATGTTCGAGCGGGTAAAACAAGTTTTAAAAAAATTATTAATATTGATTGACACGAGCAGTTTGAAACTATACCTGACTCATCATTGTCAATCAATTGAATATAATATATATAAAGAAACTATCCCATTTTTCAAGATGTAATCAATTTTATTACCTAGTAAAAAAAAAAAATAATAAAATCCCAGCGATTTTTAAATATATATATATATTTTTAAATAATAATTGAATTTACCAAATTGCGATAGAGAGAGTCTCCCCAAAAATCTGAGATGCCTACATAGTATCGAGGATTTTTTTGGATCCGCCGAATTTTCTTCATCGACAATATCTTTCACTTTTGGCAGGACTCGTAGCATGTAAGGTAATCCATGAATTGTTTGAACTCCTGTTGATTTTGTCGCAGATGATTGAAAATGATTAGCTTCACAATCTAATCGTGAGGAAATTTCTTCGGAAATTGTTGTAGGTGTGACTAAATAAAAATATTTTTCTTTTTATAAAAAAAAAAATAAATAAATAAATTCTTTCCTTTAAAAATAATGAAAAAAAAATTTTTCTTTTGGTCTTTGAAAAACCAAGAAAAAAAAAGAATCCATAATTTTATTGATTGAACATAAATTTCTTTCAATAAAAGTATTAATTGAAAAAAATCTTTTTTTTTCTTGCTTAAAAAGAACAAAAAACTTTCGTGATTTTAATTACACTCTTAAAAATAAGAAATATGCGCGGTCTAATTAAAACATGTAAATTGCATTAGTATTTTGTATATATTTATAGTGTGTATAAATATATATATATATAGTTATGTACTCATACAAATAGAATTGTTGATATGCACGTGGTGCGAGAAAATAATTGCACATATAAAAAAAAATTGCACAAAAAGAATGTTGCTTCAGTAAACTTTATTAAATTTCAGTTTCATAATTGAATAATAAGTAGAAGATGTTTTTAAACTTTGTTTTTGCTTCTAATTCTTAAAATATCTTCTACTTAATATTTTATCTCTTATTTACTAATTAAATAATTGAATATTGAAAAAAAACAAAAAAAAATTCTAATCAAATTAAAGCAGTGATTAGTGAGAGAAAATATAAAATTATCATTGCATTATGTGCCATCATCGAGAATTTCAATAATGGGTCCTAAATATTTTTACCTTCTAATATGTTTGGTTGACGATCAAGCTCCAATGTAACATGATCTTTATCGATAATGCTAATAGTTACTAAAATATATTAAAACATAAGAGAAATTAATTGCAAATCAAATAAAATTGAAATAAATTTAATTTACAAATTAAATTTAATTTGAAATAAATTTAAATTAAGAAACAAAATTTGAAAATTGTATAATACAATTGAATTTTTATAAAAATTAAATTATTCAGTTTCGCAAATTTATTTTAGAAAAAATTTTCTTTCGTACAAAAATAAAATTTATTGATTTTTCCTTTGTACTCTATCAAACAAAATCCATATAAAAGGATTCATATTTTTTATATTGAACAGATAAAAATGTTGGTACAAAATTGACAAAAAAAAAAAAAACAATTTCCAAAAACAAAAATATTAATTTTAATTAGCAAATAAAATTGAAACCTTCAAAATAAAATATTAGTTTTTGTATTTTACAAATCGTATTTACAAGAAATTCTATTTAATTATAGTATTCTATATATATATGACGTTACATAACACTCTATTATTTAAAGTTATTTTACTATATGTAAACTTTGTCTCTTAAATGATGATTACATATCAGCTGTTCAACACTTGTTGCTAACTTTGACGAATGCTTTTTTTTTTTTTTCCATAAAATTGAACATAAAATGTTACAAAATACATTCGTCATATTTCCTTAGTACATTTTTGTATCTAAATTCTGCTTTTTTTTGCAATTAATTAATAATTTTTTATTAATTACATTAATAATTAATTTTTTTTATTCCAACGAATAAAAATACACCAAAAATTTGGTTTTCAATTTTTGTAATTTTAATTCTTTACTAAAAAAATTCCTCCAAATAAAAGAAGAATGTTTTTTTTATGTTTATTTAATGATATACGTTTTTTAATATTTTTATTTAATTTATTTTCTATTTAATAAACATTAGTATGGGGAAATTTTTCTTCTTCTTTTTTGATATACTGAGTGATAATATAATTATTTTTATTATTCAATTCAAATATCGTTTATAAACCTGTATTGAAATATTTCTTCATTTTCTATTCAATCGAACTCAATCAATAATATAATAACAAAAGCAAATAACAATTTTTTTTTTTCTAATCCCTTGAAATTTTTACTGTTCAAACACACAATTCGTTTTATATAAAAAATTCTTAGCAGTTTAAATAATAAGAAATAAAAAAAAACTTTTGTAATTATATTTAAAAATAATTTATTTTATTTGCATTATTGTAAATGATTTTTATTAAATTGTAGATATTTTTATTATTATAATTATTAAAAAAAAAATTAAAATTAAAATAGTAATTTAAAAAAAAAAAATTTTAAAAGAAAATATGTAATTATAAAATTGTTTTTTTTGGGAAAAATTAATTAAATTTGTAGTTGTAATTTAAAAAAAAAATAATAATAATAACTTGCGATATTATCTACCTGTGGCACATATGACATCAGCATCATCTTCATCGTCTTCTTTACTTCTTCGTTCCGTCATTGTAAGATGAAATTCCGTTACACGTCGTCGTAAATTTTTTTTTCCACTTTCCTTCGACACTTGCCGGGGATGTACAAGATTTTTTCGAAAGTAACAACGTTTTTTTCGTGTAAAATTCGTGGATACCGGTTTTGTTCTTTCGATGAGAGCATGACGTCTGCGCGATACAAATTCACGCGGCAGAGTTTCTCTGGACGTCAGGACGTCCAAAACGTCTCTGCGCGTCAGCGTCGAGACGTCCCGCGTTGGCGGTGCCGGAAAAAGGGGGACGTTCATATACTACCCCTCTTTTATTTATTTTTTTTTCTCTATATACGTATTTAAAATTGAAAAATTAAATTTTTTCTTTCTCTAAAAATATGATTTTGTAAACATTTAATTTTTCAAAAATCCTTCAATGATTTTTCGGTTTTAATTGAATTTTCTTCTTTATTTCCCAAAGGTATATAATATTTCCGTTACGTAAGATTAATCTGCGTGAATAAATTTCTAATTTAACATTTTTTTTTTGAGGTAAATTTTTCTAATTTAGTTGAATTATTTTTATATTATACTTTTTATTTACAATTTCTATCAGAAAAATAATTCAAACTTTAAATTGAGAAAATTTTATTAGATACGTAAATTAAATTTCTATATTGAAAAAAATATTTAATACAAATTAATCTGTTACACTTTAATTGTTATCAAAATATATTTATTTGTATAAAATAATTTTTTAATTGGATCAAATAAATTTTATTCGAATCAAATAATTTCTGTATTTGAAACAAATACAGTTTTTGTATATTTATATTTGATATAAGTAAACATTTATTTGATACAAGTAAATATTTATTTGATACAAATAAATATTTATTTATAGTAACCAATTTTTTTAATTAAATTTTTTTTCTCATTGCATATGGAAAAAGTAAACTTTATCTGGAACGGCGAAAAAATTTCTCTAGAATAGCGAAAAGTTTCTCTGTTTTAGTGAAATATATCTTTGTTCCAGTGAAACTTATCGCTATTATATACAGGTGAATATTTTTTTTCCATGTGGCTAAATACAGTTAATCAAATTTTTGTTTGAATCAATAAAAAAGTTTATTTGTCACAATCAAATTATTCTTTGTTCGTAATATTTATTACAATAAAAACATTTATTTAGATCAAATAAATATTTAATTGAATCAATTAAATTTTATTTAAAATAATAAAAAAAAAAAAAAATTGGGTTAATATTAAGAAAATTATATATATTTGTAAAAGCAATTTTTTTCTGAGTGGTTTAATTAAAATTTGTAATTATTTTTTTGAATTTAATAAAAATTATATGTGTAAAATTTTAAATTACCGGTATAATTAATAAGAAAATGAATTTTCTATTTTTAGTTTTTCAATTTCATAAATATACGATAACAAAATACACGTGTCAGAAGAAACTTTTATCAGGTATTGTGACACGCGTGGATCGAACAATGTACCTCATCATCTCATCTCACAATGTGCAATTGGTACTTGTAATATATATTTCTTTATAAAAAAAATCGTTTTTTTAATAATTAATTTTCTAAATTATAAATTATATACTTGGAAATTATTTTTGTACTTTATTTCTTATTTTTTCATATAATTTTATTGAAAAATTTATTATTTATTGTTATTATTATTATTATTATTATTATTATTATTTAATACTTTCTACGTTTAAAGAGATTTTAAATTAAAAGCATATTTTAGTACAAAAAAAATATTATAATTAAATAAAAAAAAAATAATTATTTTTTTTTAAATTAAAAGAAAATATTTGAATGGTAATTGTAAATAGTGACTAAAATATATGATAATATAATACCATTCATGAATGTTTTGTATGCACTGACTAAAATAATATTTGAAAACATGAAAGAAAAAAAAAAGAAAAAGATTTATGGAAACAGTGATAATATAATGATTTTTTTTTTTTTAAAAAAAGTATAAAAATAGAGTGTTATGAGAAAGTGAGAGAGGAGATAAAAAGAGTGAGAAAGAATAAAGGAAAAAAGTGTGCGGAAAGTCCGCAAAACGCGTTAATTCAAATGGCTCGCGATTTAACGACTGGCATCAGTGAATTCGAAGTTTATGCTTTTGGCGCGTGATATGAAGGAGGGAGTCAGCTTTTCTCCTCCTATCGGCTTACTATAATTAGCTGCGGACTTATAATCAATGCAATGGAACAACGCTCGGTCTTTAGACTATATGCAACTATATATAAAATGCATATATATATATATATATATATATATATATATATATATATATACATATATATATATATATATATATATATATATATATATATATATATATCTTCTAATCTTTTATACATAGAAACATTTTATTCACAATTTTTCAATGACAGAGTTAGAACCCCTGTGTGCGGTCACTTGTCCAAGGTTTCATATTTTGTCATTGAGGAAAATTAATTTTTTTTTTTTTTTTTTTTTTTTATAAAAATTAAGTTTAATTTTTTTTAAAGAATTTAATTAAATTTTTAAAAAAATTTAATTAATTTTTTTACTATATTTATTGTAACCTCGTTCAATTAATTTATTAATTATTGTCATAATTCATTATATTTTAGATAAAAATATTGAAAATAAAAAAAAAATTTTCTTTTAATTATGGAAAAAAAAAATTTATTTCGATACCGCACAATTGTGGGAGAATTTGTTGTTCGTTTTCCTTGTCAAGTTTCTTGACACTAGAGTCGTGATTGCGTCAATTTTTTTTTCTTCTTTTTTTCTTTATCGATTCCCGTTTCTCTGATAATTACTTTTCTCCGCGTATACAATATATATATATATATATATATATATATATATATATATATATATATATATATATATATATATATATATATATATATATATATATATATATATATATATATACGCGGGTAAAAATGCAATAGACCATAAAAATATGTTTTTTTAAAAATTTTATTATTAGACATACTTTGAAATTCAAAATTTCAACTATTTAAAAATAAGCGAAGAAGAATAAATTCTAGTGAAACAATTATTAATATTTACTTAATTTATTTAAATAATATTGAATTATTATTTTGAATATTATATAAATTATTATTTACAATTATTGAATCGGTAATTTGATAATTTTTTTTTTTTTTGAAAAATAGCGACACAGAAAATTAAAAGGCATTAAAATAAGCTTATTATTTTAATCCAATTTTGCTTATTTTAATCCATTTTAGTAGTAAAATAAGCAAAATTTGGATTAAAATAATCAGCTTATTTTAATGCCTTTTAATTTTTTGTGGAGATATTATTAATGTTTAGTTGGAAACCTTTAGAGTTTATAAATTATTTCTAAATTTTCGTTGCTGACCTTTGGAACCAGTAATGAGCTTGATTTATTGATCGTCGGGCAAAGACCTCAGATCAATGAAATAGTATTTATAAACCTCTTACAAGTCATAATCTCTTGCACATATATATATATATATATATTTTTATAATATATTTAATTACAATTACAATTTATAAATTTGAAAAAAACAGTAAAGTTTTTAACTAATTTGAATTTAATTAATTAGTGACTTTTTCGCTTTTTAATTAGTAAAATTGAACTAATTTGAAAACAAAATGTGAGTCACTAATTTAAATTAGTTAACATTTTTACTAATTCTTTAGATAGTAGGTTGTTTTATATATATATAAATAATATTATATTTTGTAATTGTAATTAAGAACAAATAAAATACTGAAATTATGTAAAAGAAATTGAATAACTCTCTAAATCTGAATTAGTAAAAATTTTTACTAATTTGAATTAGTGACTCACTTTTTGCTTCTGAATTAGTAAAATCACAGAAAATTAAAAGGTATTAAAATAAGCTGCAACGCTTATTATTTTAATCCAATTTTGCTTATTTTAATCCATTTTGGTATTAAAATAAGCAAAATTGGATTAAAATAATAAGCGTTGCAGCTTATTTTAATGCCTTTTCATTTTCTGTGATTTTACTAATTATTAGTAACTTTTACTGACAATTAGTAAAATTTAACAATTAGTAACTTTTACTAACAATTAGTAAAATTTAACTAATTCAGAAGCAAAAGGTGAGTCGCTAATTCAAATTAGTAAACATTTTTACTAATTCAGATTTAGAGAGAACTTAAATAATTAAATAATTAAATAAATTTAATAATTTTTGCTTTATTAAATTATTATACAAAATATAGTATAGCTTTGTTATAATGACTATATGCTTCCCTTTGAATAAATTTGATTGATTAGTTTCTTCATTAAAAATTGAACAATATCACTTTGACTTTCTTTAATTACATTTAATTACATTTAATTACATTTAATTACATTTAGTTACATTTATACTAAAAAGACTTTTTTCCAAAAATTTGAATAAATTGTCAAATAAATATTTATTTGTATCAAATAATTATTATGTGAGATGGTATTTGTTTCAAATACAAAAATTATTTGATTCAAGTAAATATTTATTTGATAATAATCAAGTAAACAATTATTTGAATGAAATAAATTTTTTTTTTTCAATGTAAATTAAAGAAATATAAATAAAACATGCGAGTTTATGTAGATATTTATTGTTTAGGTAATAATTATAATTATTAATAATAGTAATTAATAACTAATAATCAATAATAATAATAATATTAATAAAAAATAGTAATAAAAAATAGTAATAAAAAATAGTAATAAAAAATAGTAATAAAATAAAAAATAATAATAAATAATAGTAATTGTAAATACATTATTAATTTTAATATAATAAAAAGTAAATTAAAAAATTTGGTACAAAATCAAAATTTTTTTTTTTTAAAAGACACAATGTGAAGAGTTTATTTCCACGTCCCTGAAGGCAAATTGATAGGAGCATGCGCAAATTAGTATAAATGTAAAGTTTCTTAAGAGAGGATTTAATATTTTTTTTTATTTTTTATTTGCGTACGCGACAGTGAAATGATAAGAAAAACTTTAATGGATTGACACATTACACAGCATCATCTTATCATAATATACATGATTCTGATGATGTGGGAATCTGTAATAATCTCAGGACATAAAGTCACATAGGACATGCGCAAACGATGGTACAGATTGTTCATTTGGTTTGTTTTTATTTTTTCCATTTTCCTGTCAACTCGATTGCTTCTTGGTAAAGGCCTCAGTCGATCTATTCCAATTTTCTTCGATGGTGAACATTTAGAGAGATCGGAAAATGCGCATCTGCAACAGGAACTACCGACTGGTGCGCGCTTCAGAAATATATGTTAAATTACCGTAGTTAATAGACCACCCCCCCTCCACCCCTAATTACCGCAGTAATTACCAAACGCTTATAAGATTTATCGCAATTTAATATATTAGATAGCAATCAATATGCATGGCAAATTAAAAAAAAAAAAAAATTTTTTTGCACCATTTTTTTTCGCAAAAAAAAAATAATTAAATTATATGACTGAATTAATTACAATTAGTTATAAAAATTAAAAAAAAAAAAATTTTTAGCAACAATTTGGTGTATTTTTATTTCGAAAAAAAGAATTTAAAAATTTTCACATTGCTTGTCTGACCTAACTCAAACTTTTTCTACTGAGAATAATAAATGGAGAAATCGTTTTTGAAATATTGTTTATTTTTTTTTATATATATATATATATATTAAAAGATTTAATAAATTATTATATAATATAATATAATTGATAATCGTTTTATTTGAATTATATATTGTCTGACCAAACTTGGATCTTTCTACTTAAAGGGACTGTGTTACATAAAATAACATGAGACCATCTTTGCAATGTTTTGTCTGACTATAATTAGATTTATCTACTGAGGGGCACTCTCCTTAGATAATATTAAACCATCTTCACTGTATATTTTGTCTGACGACACTTCAATTTTTCTACTTCAAATTCGATATTGGCAAAATTAAAGATTGTGTAGAAAAAACAGAGTTGTCAGAAAAAAATTTATTAATTATTATTATTATTATTAAAATAGGTTAAATAACAAAAAACCTTCGTACAATATGATTTTTAGTAAAAAAATTTTTTTTTTAATAAAATCCATTTATCTAAATGTTTTCGCATTTTGTTATTTAATCTATTTTAATATATATTTTGCGCAAAAAAATCTTTACCTAGATCAGCGATACATTTCACTAAAATAGTGAAAGTTTTCGTTATTCTAGAGAAATATATCGCTGTTCCAGAGAAACTTATCGCTGCACTGAAAAAAAAATTTATTTGATTCAAATATCGGTGTATTTGGTTAATTAGCAAATAAATATTTACTTAAATTAAATATTTCTTATTTGAATCAAATAAATAGTATTTGATTCAAATACTGAAATATTTGATACAAATATTATATATTTGATTCAAAATAAGAAATATTTGATTCAAGTAAATATTTATTTGATAATAACCAAATACACCGGTATTTGAATCAAATAAATTTTTTTTTTTCAGTGTAATATTTATTTGTATCAAATAATTATTATTTGACACAATTAAATGGTATTTGTTTCAAATACAGAAATTATTGACACAGAAAATTAAAAGGCATTAAAATCAGCTGCAACGCTTCTTATTTTAATCCATTTTGGTATTAAAATAAGCAAAATTGTATTAAAATAATAAGCGTTGCAGTTTATTTTAATGCCTTTTAATTTTCTGTGGATTCAAATACAATTTGTTGAATTTAAATAAAAATTATTTGGTTCAAGTAAATAATTATTTAAAAATAATTAAGTGTTCTAGATTAAGATTTTTTTGCCTGCGTACTCGGACGTTAAAATTATTTATTTATTATCAAATTAATATTTTAAATATAATTATCATTTGAGATGGTATTTTTTTTTAATAAAATAAAGTTTATTTAATTCAAATAAATATTTATTTAATATAAGTTGTAACGTTTGTAATTTAAAGAATCAATGTTTTAGCTCGCCGAGCCAGGGTTCGTTTTGATTCCAAAAAAACAATGATAACAATAATAACTGGTTAATTACAAACTGATAACAAATTATTTATTTACAAAGGTATTTACAATGTCCAAGTTGTACGAAGATTAAAGTAAATCGCGAAAGTCGGTTTCGAGTAACGATTTTTCGGCGTCTATCAAAATAAATGTTGAGCCGCGGAAATCGAAAATCGGCATCAATCGGGAACGTCGTATATTTGAGCCGCGCATTAACAAAATCGGCTTCAACTCGCTATGATGAGCCATAAATCAGTTACTTTACTGCCTAAAAATTCGCGATACACCGGTGAACCACGAGTAAAACTCGTGTTCCATTATACAAAGAGTAACACTCTAAGTATATCTAAGAACGGAGATTAAAACGGTAATAAAACAAAAGATCTACTTAAAACTTCGAGATTCAAATTTACGTTACTATACATTTCATTATTTTCCTATACATTTCATTATTTTACTATACATTTTGTTACGTTATATTACAAATCGTTACTATACACTATATACATTAAAACCGATATATGTTCGACAGGTAAAACCCGACGAACGAGAGTAAAACTCTCCACAAAGATTCTCGGAGTAAAACTCCTAGTCAGGTGGGTAAGACCCACCCGGACTCCGTGTAGCACGAGAGTGACGGTCCTCGCCGAGAGCGCAGCTTATATAGCCGCTGGGTGGGCTGAGCGCACGCGAGTGAGCTTTGGCGATGCGGCCCGCGCGGCGAAATCGGGTACTACGTCTTTAAGCTCTGCGGTCGGTAACTTGTTTATCGACGCGCGATAATATTTAGTACAAATATTTACCGGCCGATTTCTAACTATCATTACACCCCCCTTTCTTTAAAGGAAGAAAACTTTCGGTGTAGTTTTCTTCATACACTCGTCCGATTTTACTTACAAGATACAATACAAAATATTGGCAGAAAATACGTTACAAAACAAAGTTTAGACATACGATATAAAACGGTATTCATGACATCTTTGTTGAACTGGAACTGACTGGACTGGATGTAGCTTCTCTGGATTCTTCTTCGTTTTTTTCTTTTTACGATTTACAACGACGGTACTTATTTACAACTAAACGAATTATGTACAAAACTTTCGAACGATACGACGATACTAAGAAAAGACAGATAATGAACCAGTGTTGTTCATTCGGTTAAACGGTTACTGTGGACTATATATTTACAAATAAAAACGGTGATAATTACATAAGACGACGTACTTATGGAATTTTCTTGACGGCGACAGGGTTTCCATTTCATGAGCGACGAACAATGTCAGTGAGTATGTAATTCAAACGGAATGTTGCAAGTTTCTTAACAAAATGGTCAGAACTAGGACCAAATGTTTCTTGATACAATTCAACAAACTCAGATGTATGTTTAGGCTTCATGAAACGAAACGAAACAAAACGTTGAAGACGTGTTAAAGGAAATGTCTGTAACGACGACCAGACATTCCTTTTTCGTAACGTGCAAACAACTTCGGTGGTGCACTATGGCACCCGGGATGTACTAATTATATCAAGCACTTCTGATAACAAATTTGATAGACTCGTTCGGTATGTGTTCGATTATTTCGAGTTTAGACACACGAGTTATCACAGGATACGGAACTGATCATTCTAAGATGCACGCATAGTTCTCCTTATGCACTACATTGCATTTCTCGAGTAACAAGAAGGCTATCTTAGAATCGACGGTATGGGTTAACGAAATTTCTATCGTAACAAAAAAAATTATATAACGGGGTCTATTTACATGAATGTATGAAAACGAAAAACGTATATTACGGTGCGCGTGACAATTTCTCGGATAGTCGACCGGTTTACAAATTTACATAGACGTTACACGGATACAATAAATCAAAAGCGAAAAATGACGTTAATTTTACGATATGCTAATATACTATGGAATTTACAATTTTTAAATTAACGGTTGTAACAATTTCAAATGAATTTAACTTTAAAGGTACGAGGAAACATTTCTAAAACGCGATCGGATAAACGGAGGTGACAATTAATCGAAAGAAAACGCGATACATCGGTAAAAATGAAATTACTACGATCGTTTTTTGATTAACTGTCCCTGTTCGGGCGCCAAAATCTGTAACGTTTGTAATTTAAAGAATCAATGTTTTAGCTCGCCGAGCCAGGGTTCGTTTTGATTCCAAAAAAACAATGATAACAATAATAACTGGTTAATTACAAACTGATAACAAATTATTTATTTACAAAGGTATTTACAATGTCCAAGTTGTACGAAGATTAAAGTAAATCGCGAAAGTCGGTTTCGAGTAACGATTTTTCGGCGTCTATCAAAATAAATGTTGAGCCGCGGAAATCGAAAATCGGCATCAATCGGGAACGTCGTATATTTGAGCCGCGCATTAACAAAATCGGCTTCAACTCGCTATGATGAGCCATAAATCAGTTACTTTACTGCCTAAAAATTCGCGATACACCGGTGAACCACGAGTAAAACTCGTGTTCCATTATACAAAGAGTAACACTCTAAGTATATCTAAGAACGGAGATTAAAACGGTAATAAAACAAAAGATCTACTTAAAACTTCGAGATTCAAATTTACGTTACTATACATTTCATTATTTTCCTATACATTTCATTATTTTACTATACATTTTGTTACGTTATATTACAAATCGTTACTATACACTATATACATTAAAACCGATATATGTTCGACAGGTAAAACCCGACGAACGAGAGTAAAACTCTCCACAAAGATTCTCGGAGTAAAACTCCTAGTCAGGTGGGTAAGACCCACCCGGACTCCGTGTAGCACGAGAGTGACGGTCCTCGCCGAGAGCGCAGCTTATATAGCCGCTGGGTGGGCTGAGCGCACGCGAGTGAGCTTTGGCGATGCGGCCCGCGCGGCGAAATCGGGTACTACGTCTTTAAGCTCTGCGGTCGGTAACTTGTTTATCGACGCGCGATAATATTTAGTACAAATATTTACCGGCCGATTTCTAACTATCATTACAAAGTAAATATATTTATTTGATTCGAGTAAATATTTATTTGGATCAAATAAAAATTTTTTTTTTTTTTCAATGGCTTTCTCTATATATAGGTGCGCCTCTTTACGCTGCTGGTTCCTATATGGCAGGAAAACAGATGAAAAATTTGAGTTTCTGCAATTGGCATTACAGTCTACCTCATGAATTTTTCTATTCATCGTCAGAAATTATTTTTAGTCCTGAGGCTGGTGATAAAGGGCCTTATAGAATTCTTCCATTAATTATTGCCTATAAATCAAAAATAATTGAACAACTTCCTCAAATTACATTATGTACCCATTCGACTGCCGATCAAGTTTATTCAATTGTTGAACTTGCAAGACGATGGGAAGGACCTTTAAGTTTTTCAATATTTGCACCTGGCCTCGATGCCGGTTTAGCAGTGGCACTTTTGGATCGAGCCTGCCATTGCGAACCAACAATGTTCAAGGTTGTTTTTTCTATTTCAATTTATAATAATAATTATAATTTTTATTATTATCATTATTTTTTAAATTTTTATTATCATTTTTATTATTACTATTATTATTATTATTATTATTATTATTATTATTATTATTTATTTTATTAAATATTCTTATTTTGTTGCTTTTATTATTATTATTATGGGAAATATTTAATAGGTTTCAGTTCATCTAATATTCCCAACTGGTCGTCCACCGGCTTTAGGCGACTTTAGTCAATACAATAAGGATGATTGTGCGGCTTCAGATCTTCAATGGAGGGAAGCTGATACTGAAAGAAAACAAAGAAAAATGACGTATCCAATAAATGTTGCTAGAAATATTGCACGATTAAAATCAAAAACTGAACGTGTACTTGTCTCTGATATAGAATTATTGCCAAGTTTAAATTTAGCATCAGGATTTGAGGAAATGTTAAAAGAACGTATAACAAAAATTAATGTTGTTTTTGTATTACCTGTTTTTGAAATTGAAGCAAATCAAATGCCGCCCGTAAATAAAAATCAATTACTCGATGCAATTAAAGACGGTTCAGCTGTTTATTTTCACAGGCATGTATATATATATATATATATATATATATTATTTTTATAAGCAATATAATTGAGGAAATAATAATATTTATTATATTTTTTTTTTTATTTTATAATATTTACTTATTTCTTTGTAATAAATACACAATGGAGAAATAAATCCAAAAATAAAATCTACAAAAAAAATATATATATTATTTATATAATAATAATAATAATAATAATAATTTTTGTGAATATATAGATATGTGTGTCCGCACTGTCAAAGATTTCCGGGACTTACACGTAAATGGCTACTTCGACCCAATTCTGGTAAAGTAAAGCCTCTTATTGTGACAAGAGAATTTCCTAATCACAGATGGGAGCCAGTTTTTATTGGAACTAAAAATGATCCACTTTATACGGAAGATATGACATGGGAGGGTCGTCAAGATAAAATGGCTCAGGTATAATTTTAATTTTTAATTAATTTATTATTTTATTTAACAATTAAATTTTTTTTTTTTCAATAAAAAATTAACTATTTTTTTTTTATTTTTAATTAAACAAAAAAATTTGTTTTCTTTATTCAAATTATATTGTTTATATAATATAGATTTTTGAAATGTGCCTCATGAATTATCGTCTTATTATTCTGGATGGTGCTTTTTTGGTACATACACCTGGAATTAAACGTAAAATAATTTCAAATAATAATAAAACACCATTAATTCGTGCTCAGGAGAGAAGAAATGGGAGAATTTATCAAAATGTTATAAAACGTTTACTTAAACAATTTCATTCAAATCGAAAATGCAAACAATAATTACTGAAAAGAAGAAATTAAGAAAAAAAAATAGTGGATATAATTAATTGACAATATATCGAAAAATAATGGTAAAAAAAACAAACTTTTATATAATTGAAAATAAAATGCTTTTCGTATTTTTTGCATAGTCTATTTCTATATATAAAATATCTATTGTTATAGAGTTAAAAAAAAAAAAATGAAAATTTTCTTCCTGATAGGAAAAAAATTAAATAGATTTTTAAATAAATTTTCTTAAAATACAGTTTAATGAAATATATTTAATTATTCAATTTTCAAATTTAGAAATAATAATACAACAACTTTAGATTTAAAAATGTACAATATATTTTTCTTTTGCCGAAATAAAAAATTGCCTTATAAAAATTCTCTGTTTAATTCCAAAATCGAATAATTATCAAATTTTTCTTAATTATTGTTATTTTTTGCCTGTTAATAGGTTTTTTTTTTTTAAACGATTTATTAATTCAATTCAATTATTATCTATTAGTTAATTTATATATTTTTAATAATTTAAATATTTTTAAATTTTTTTTTAAATTTTTTGATTTAAAAAAATTTAATGATACTTCTTTATTTGTATAAAATTATTCGATATTAAAGGATTCTTTATTATCAACTGGGGTGAGTTCAGTTTATAATTCAACCCCTCTATATAGGTGTCACTAAAATACTCAATTTTTTAATAAAAAAAAAAAAAAAAAAAAATTTCAGCCGAGGGAAGAAGGGTTACACTATTTCCAAAAATTTGGATTTTAAGTCCCTATTTTTTGGAAAAGATTTTAATCTAGAAAATTGCATAATATCACAGGAAATTAAAAGGCATTAAAATAAGTTGCAATGCTTATTATTTTAATTCAATTTTGCTTATTTTAATACCAAAATGGATTGAAATAAGCAAAATTGGATTAAAATAATAAACGTTGCAGCTTATTTTAATGCCTTTTAATTTTCAGTGATTTTTTTTAAGTTTCTTTTTTATACGGTATAATTTTTAATTTTTTAGTATTTTAATATTTTAATATTTTAATTTAGGTACTTAATTTATCAAAATAAATTTATTAATATTAATTCATTAAAAATTTTAAAAATATTTATAAATTATATATAAACAGTTTTTATTAAAAAAAATTTTTCGTATTTATAAATGATACGAGGATTTGGTAAAAAAATGGAATCCTGCAAATAATTTTTAATTTCTTAATATTTTAATTTAGGTACTTAATTTATCAAAATAAATTTATTAATTTTAAATTCATTAATTTTAATTAATTCATTAAAAATTTTAAAAATATTTATAAATTATATATAAACAGTTTTTATTAAAAAAAAAATTTCGTATTTATAAATGATACGAGGATTTGGTAAAAAAATGGAATCCTGCAAATAATTTTTTAATTTTTTAATATTTTAATATTTTAATTTAGGTACTTAATTTATCAAAATAAATTTATTAATTTTAAATTCATTAATTTTAATTAATTCATTAAAAATTTTAAAAATATTTATAAATTATATATAAACAGTTTTTATTAAAAAAAAATTTTCGTATTTATAAATGATACGAGGATTTAGTAAAAAAAATGGAATCCTAAAAATGTAAATGAGATTCTGAAAATTTGTCACAATTTTTTATTCGTTTCTCATAATATATATATATATATATATATATATATATATATATATATATATACGGATTGCTGTGTGACTTTAATAATGTAAGGGAACGAAAAATCTCATGAATAATAAATATTTGCCAAAGTTTTTTTTTTGAACAAATTTTGCTGAATATACAAGAAAATTTGTCCTTAGGGACAGATGAAAAATTTCTTTATTGTGTATATTATTTCTATAGAATTAAAAAAAAAAACTATAAAGTATTTATTAATTAGTTTAAAAAAAAAAATTGCCAAAAATAATAAAAATTTACAGCAATGAATTTTAGTTTGAAAATTTTTAATCAAATGAAAAATTTTAATAAATGTAATTTTTTAGATAAAAGCATAAAATTGGCGACATGTTAATAAGTAGCTAAAATGCTTTTAACATCCTGGTGGTGATGCATTAAATTCAAAAAATCTATTATAAAAAAATGTGAATTAAAGAACGTAATTCATAGTGCAATAAAAAATTATATATAATTATTAATTAAATATGAGAAATTTATTTATTTGCTTTCTCCAATAAGAGGTCAATGAAATGAAAATTTTCAAAAAATTTCCTCTTTACCAAAAAAAAAAAAAAAAGAGTGAAAAAAAATAAAAATTGAAACAGGATTTTTTTTATTTCCCACTGCTTGAAATGCAAATAAGATTTTATGATACTTGCAAATATGAAGAAACAATAGGAGGCCAACCGACAGGAGATATTCGCTTTAATCTGCTGCTGGCATTAGGGGACGTTCTGAGCTTGCGCGGAGCTTTTGAAAGGCGCGTTCTAGGCTCTTCTTGTCCGGATCGAGACGAATTTACTCGTCCCTAAACTTCCGAGAGGGACAGAACGCGCACAAAAGGGGGGGCTAGTGTTGGGAATTGTAAATTAAAACCAAAAAAAAAAAAAAAAAAAAACAAACAAAACCAAATAAACAAAACGGAAATAAAATACAAAATAAGGACAAAAAAAAATAATAATAATCCCAATTTCCCTTTTTTTAACGTGTGACAAAAAAAGTTCCTTAGATATTTAAAAAAAAGAAAAAAATATTGTTTATTGTTCCAAAATCGAACTAAGAATTATAAAATTTGGTTCAATGCGAAAAATACCGGTTAACGTGGAAATGTAAATTTCATTTGCGAAAAAAAGGCGTTCGTTCTACGCAGTGGTGATTTTTTTTGTTTTTTTTTGTTTTTTTCTTGAAGCTCATGGCTTGAAATCAAGAAAACGCAAGAGCCAAGTTTTTAAGTGCCAAGTTTATCGTTAACAGCCAGGTGAGAATGTTTATCAAAAAAAAAAAAAATAAAAATTTTGTTTCGGAGATGAATATATTCTTTTTCTTATCAGTTGGAATAAAATTTATCAGAAGAAAATTTTCAAAACGTTTAACGTCGTTTATGAAAGAAAAAAAAAAAAAATTTCAATGATTTGAAAGACGAAATAATATTTTGAAAATAATTTTTTTCATAATATTTTTTGTAAATTTTACATATTTATTTATTTATTACATATGAAAAATTTATCAAAATTTTTGGTCTGAACAATAAAAAAAAATACAATTATAATAAAATGTTAAAAAAATTTAAAATTTTTTTCAATTTTTCCTATCTTTAGGAAATAAATAAATACTAAATAAATAAATAAATAAATCTTTAATAAGATTTTTAAAGAGAAATATTTTTCCTCTGCAAAATTTCTTTGAAATTTCCAATTTATTTTTCATAAACAGTAATTTGTTAAAAAAAGAAATATTATATGGACATTCTTCGTATAATGAAATGTGAAGTTTTTGTATTGATATCTCAACTCCGAAGCAAACTTCTATTATTTATTTGTCTGTTATAAATGGAATGAGTGAATGTTTCATAGTGTTTATGACGTTTTTCGCAAAACAAAAAAAGAAGAAAAATTATTTAATCGATTCTTTCTTCATAGGAAATTTAAAGTTAAATAAAAAAAAAATAAAAAAAAATTTTAATAATTTATGGGAGACATTTTTTTTTTGCAAATTGAAAAAATTCTTTACAATAAGAAAAAAATTGGAATTTAAAAAGAGAATTTGAAAATTAATTACTACAGTTTGGAATTTATAAACTTTGTACGTCTAATGAAAGTAAACAAAACGCAGGAATGATAGCTATAAATTCTTAAATCAGTTTCCGCACCGTTTCACAAAACGTTTAACATTTTAGTGAATTCCATTTAACGTAATTAATTCACGTTAATTTGATTGTACTTTTTTTTTTAAAGAATTTTAATTTTGATAATTTTTATTATTATTTTACTATTTGTTTCATTATTATTATTATTATTACATTATTTGTTTTATTATTATTATTATTATTATTTCATTATTTGTTTTATTATTATTATTATTATTATTATTATTAACGAATTATTTACAATAAATTGATTGATATTTTATCTCCTTAATTAATTAAATAAAAAAATATATATTTGTGAAACTTTCGATATCAGAGCTAAAGTGATTTAGAAACTATTCATTAAACACCAAGGAGAGATAATTGAATATCATAACAAGCTTTAGTTTCAAGTTTCTGAAAAGTTCTTTAATGTATTGTTCAAACTTGTTAGATATAATAAAATGATAATATTCCAATTAAATTCCAATTATAATTAGAAAATTATTCGTTTTTAAATTATATATTATGCATATTCTGCTATTAAATTTGATTTCTATAATAAAATTTTTTTTTTATAGTGACTGTATTAATCTTTGAAATTAGAAAAAAAAAATTACTGCGTTTTTTCAAACATTTATAACGTCTAAATTTATAAATTAAAAATTCTAATTTTAATTAAATTTTAATTAAAATGAAAATTACTAAACAAAAAATAATTATCCAAAAAAAAAAAAAAAAAAACAATTAAGAATAATTTTCTCCTGATAATTTATTGTTGGTATTTGAATTTTTTTTCGCGTTTAATTTTTATCATTATCACACCACCCTAAGAGAGAATTATCAATTTTAGTTAAATTTATTATCGTTCTTCAAAATTTTTTTATTTATTTATTTTTTTTTTATTTTATTTTATTTTTTTTTCTATAAACTAAAATGTATGAAAAAAAAAGAAATGAAAATTTTAATTTGTGTTTATTAAAAAAAAAAAAAAACACATGAAAGTGAACTTAGTTTTAATAGACAGGAAAATGCAATTTGTCTCGTAAATAAGGGAATGTAATATGTTTTTTAAAAATTAAAATTGACTTTAATTAAAATTCACATTTTTCAAGTATTCATTATTTGAGAAAAGTAAATTTTTTAATACATATGCAATTAATTTTGTATAACTATATTTAAAAATTAAATATCAAAAAGTATAGAGAATATAAAATGTATATCAGAGGGAAATTATAATATGTTCTGAAGGGTTTTAAAAACAACCAAACAGACTTTGTCTTACTTACTTTACACAGTTTCCAAGTTTAAATTTAACGTCATTCTTGGAGAAAATTGTGTGAGGTCAACTTTACTTAGTGCTCAAGTTACAATTGTGTCAAACCTCACATTTTTTTTTTTTTTTTTTTTTTTTTTTTTTGTTTTTTAATAATATAACCGTCATTACACACTCTAATTATCTTGAAAAATTTTAATTTCCTTTTTTGCAATGAGAATAAGTCGTTTGAGTGGGAACTTTTTAAAATTCCATTCGAGTCAGTTTCATATAGAGTCATAAAAATGGAACTTCATTTCAACTCACTAAACTTTTCATTTTGAATTTTTTTTTTATACGACGTAGTATTTTTAATTTTTAGGTCAAACAGTATTTTTATTTGAAATTTTGACAAATAATATTAAGTTATTTAGGAACCTCAAAAAAAGAAATTATAATTATTTGTAAAAAAAAGTCTTTTCATAGAATTTATTTTTCAAAACCCAACTAACAATTTAGCTTCTAAATTTTAGTGTGTATTTTTGAAAAAATTTAGAAAAATTATCTATCAATAAAAATGAAATTTTTTGACGAGTTTTTTTCAAACTCTTATTTTTGATCTTATATTTTTGATAATAATAATAATAATGCGAAGCTTTTGCCAAGCAATCTTCTTCTCTTCAAGAACACTCAACTTTTAACCAGGCCCGAGTATCACCTCTTTATGACATTAAAAACAAGTGGCTAATTAAATTTTCTAAAATTACGGATTTAAAAAGGAAAATTTTTTTTTAATTAATTGTAAAAAAAATCTATTTATAATTATTTAGTAACGGATGTATTAAAAAAAAAATTTCGTCTGAAAAATTTAAATTCCAAAAAAAAAAAAAAAATTTCATTTTTATTTCGAAAAACGTTAACAATTAATAATGATGGGATTTCTGCGATATGTGATGGAATTGGCGAATTATATGTTAATTAGGTTTTTGGAATTGAAATTGGAAAGGTCAATCGCATGACCTATTTATGCCGGGCAAACATGTCTAGAGAGATACATCTTCCGGTGCCAGTTTTCATAGTGTTAATTGAATTGATTATAGAAGCTAGAAACACTTTATGGATTTTGAATCAAAGTTCTGTTTACAGAAAATTTATTTTCAATCTGATATCACCGGAGATATTGCACACACAGAGACACATTTAAATAGAAAATAGAAAATTTCTTCGTGAAAAGAAATCGATATTTAATTCTGAAACCAACTGTATTTCTTCTTTATTTTTTTTTACATTAGTAAATAAATATAAATAAATATAAAAAAAATATATATATATAATAAATATAATACAATTAACATAAATATTATTATTATTATTTTTTTTTTTGAGAAAATATTTCATCCAATGTTTACTGTATACGTTTTAATAAAACCAAATTTTATTTTACATTTTTTATTCTACCTTTCAATATTCATTAATGGTGTCTATAAAAATTAAATGGAATATATAAAGTTTAGTAAAAAAAAAGATTTATGAATATTTGATAAAAAATTTACATTTTATAACATTCAACTATATATAGTTTTCACTAAAATGAAAAAAAAATTTATTTGATTCAAATACTCGATTACTTGAGTATTTTCAAATAAATATTTACTTGAAGCAAATAATTTTTAATTGAATTAAATAATAATTATTTAATTAATTTAATTTAATTAATTAATTAAATTTAATTTAAATAATAATTATCTGAGACATTTGTCTCAGTGCCAAATAAATATATTTGTTTCAAATAAATTTTTCTTTTCGCCTAAATAAATTTTAATTTGTGCTGAATTTTTTCATTTAAAACAAAAATAAAAAAGAAATAAAGAAACAATTTCTAATAAACTAAAAATAATTAAATTATTAATAAATATTTCAATTATATCTTTAGGTGGAAAAAAAAGAAAGGGGAATAAATTAAAAATAAGACCCTTATCACTAAAATGAATTAATAAATGAAATAGATTTTATGATACATATATAATTTCAACTACTGCGTCTGACTAAAAATTACTTTTACTACTGATGACAAACTCCAACACACAATATAATTTTTGTCTAACTGTAATTTACTTTTTCTACTTTTATCTTTATTGGCTAAAACTTATTTTAACTACTAATATGAAATCTATATAATTTAAAATATTTTGTCTGACTTAAAATATTTTTTACTACTGGAAATTAAGAGGAGTGTTAAAAAAATTTTCTTTTTTTTTTATCATAAAATAAAATTAGAATTTTTTTATACGAGCATTATTAAATTCAATTTTCCAGCCTTTATTTTTTATCATAAGAATATTTTCATATCAGTTATACGTCATATACATATTATATTGGATCGAAATAAAAAAAAAAAAAAAAATCTAACATTTACTGAAGAGGAAGAGAATAACGAGAAGGAATTGCTCGACAATAACCTTTGATCTCTGTAACGTATTTTCCGGGCATATTGTATAAAAGTTTTCATGGATGGAAAACTATAGCGGAATTCGAAATAAAGTTAATTTTTTTTTTTCAATAAAAACTAATCATTATTTCATTTTTTTATTATTAGATTATATAATAAAAAAAAATTAAAAACAAAAAAAATATTTAATTTTATAAATAAAAATATTTTTCGATTAATTTTTGGAATATTAGATTTTTTTGTTTGATTTTTTCCATGCGGAAATTTTAGTGATAAATTATTATTTTTTCAACGAAAATAGTAGTAAAATTCTATTTTAAAAATAATACTCTTAATATGGAAAAAATGAATTATAAAAAAAATACTTGCTAACAAAATTTTAATGTTTTTGTTATTCATTTACTTTTTTTTTTTTAATTTATATTGTTG